TGAGACATTCAACGAAGCGTACGGATTCCTAAGCCCATGTGCTAGTTCTCATATTACAAAACTCTTTAACAGTAGCCCCTTAGGCAAAAGGCATTAACCCCTTCGACATGAAGAAATACCCCTAAAATTTAGATCGCACAGCACGTGACTTTGATGTGGGCGCAGATTATTGAACTCTTTATTCCATTTTCCTTCTTTTTTTCGATTGACAATTTTGTGAAATTGCTTTTCGATCAGCGTTCGATATGAGCTGAGAGAATTTATAGCAGCTGTCGCTGCACGATATTCTTGGAACAGTTCAAGTGCACAGAGTTCTAGGGAAAGGTACGAAACTGCTATGTGACGCAATGCTGAAGTGTTGGGTACAGCTCTCAGCAGAGTTTTCAAGACATTTCCGGGCTAATTGAATGTTAGATGAAATCCTAATGCCAGGAAACCCTGAAAAGATCGACTGTCATCAATTGTAAGCTCAACAATTGCACAGCAAACATGGCTTAAAGCTTTCCCTATTCCCTGTTTACCGTTGTCGAGGCTGAGAATTTCCTTTATTTAAATGTTTTTTTTTTTTTACTCAGCCATCGTTTAGCTTTAACGACAACAAGGTGCTTATCGAAGCTTTAAGCTTTTGTCATTATATTTGGAAATAAATTGAACTCTCTTGCATGAGCTTTAAGAAGCTTGTATTTTATTCTCTTTACTAATCTTCACTTGTCTCCATTGCAATTGCAGTTCGCCGCTCGCCCTCCTCCTGCCCGGGACCAAATAATTTGCCGCCTTTGCAATTCCATACGGTGCACGGCGACAATATACGCATCTCGAGGGATGGCACGCTGGCACGTCGCTTTGAGAGCTTCTGCCGTGCCATCACGTTCTCGGCACGTCCGGTGCGCATCAATGAGCGCATCTGTGTGAAGTTTGCCGAAATCTCGAACAATTGGAACGGAGGCATACGATTCGGTTTCACCAACAACGATCCGGCCTCGCTGGAGGGCGCGTTGCCCAAGTATGCGTGCCCCGATCTGACAAATCGTCCTGGCTTCTGGGCCAAGGCGCTGCACGAGCAGTACTGCGAGAAGGATAACATTTTATATTACTATGTGAACAACGCTGGCGACGTCATCTATGGCATCAACAATGAGGAGAAGGGCGTCATTCTATCGGGCATCGATACGCGCGGCATGCTCTGGACTGTGATCGACATCTATGGCAATTGCACGGGCATTGAGTTTCTGGATGCGCGCATTTATATGTACCAAACGCAGCAGCAGCAGCAGCAGCAACAGTTGCCGCAGCAGCTGGCGCATCAACAGCAACAACAAATGCAGCAACAACAGCAGCAACAGGTTCCACAGCAGCAGCAGCTCTCAGCACATCACCCACTCCAGCAATCACGGCGCTCGCTGCCAGGCGGCAATTCCGGCATCGTTGCGGATCACGAACTGGAACGACATGTGATGCCATCGCTGCAGTCGCTGCATTTGGCCGGCTCGGTGGCTGGCATTGTGGAGCATGATCTGGCGAACGGCTTGCCGCCGTTGCGCTATAACGCCAATGGACGGCTGATACCCGTGCCCTTCCACATAACGAAGGGTCGGAATGTGAGACTGTCGCACGATCGTTTCATTGCCTCTCGCACCGAGTCGGACTTTTGCCAGGGCTATGTGTTTACGGCGCGTCCCATACGCATTGGCGAGAAACTGATTGTCCAGGTGCTCAAGACCGAACAGATGTACATGGGCGCCTTGGCGCTGGGCCTTACCTCTTGCAATCCGGCGCTGTTGCAGCCAAACGATTTGCCCAACGATTCAGATTTTCTGCTCGATCGCCCCGAATATTGGGTCGTCAGCAAGGACATTGCTGCTGCGCCGCAGCGTGGCGATGAGATTGCCTTCTTTGTGGCGCCCAATGGCGAGGTGAGCATCAGCAAGAACAATGGCCCAGCTGTTGTGGTCATGCATGTGGATCAATCCCTCCAGCTGTGGGCATTCCTCGATGTTTACGGCTCGACACAATCGCTACGCATGTTCCGCCAGCAGCTGCCCAATATGGTGGCCTATCCCTCTCAGCCGCAGCTAGGCGCAGCTGGTGCTTGTGCAGCTGCTGCTGCTGCCGCCTCCTCCGCATCCTCCACAACTGCCTCCAGCTCACGCATGCTGCCCATGACGGAGTCACTGAACAGCCTGAATGCCGCACAATTGTTAGGCGCATCCAAAGTGCAATTGAATGTTACCCAATCGCAGAGCACCTTGGCCTCCAACGGCAATGGCAATGGCAGCCGTATGATCAGTATGCCCTCCAATGGGGACATCCTGCAAATCCAGCCAAACGGCGGCGGTACCGTGCTGGTCGTCAATCTGCCCCCAGCCAACAGCTCGCATGATCTCAATGGCCAGCTAACAGCACGACAGGTGGGCCCAACGGCGACCACTGTTAGCAGCAGCGGCATTCTAGCCGGTGCCTGCTCCAGCGGCACATTGATCAGCACCACCAGCAGCCAGCAATATATTGAGGTGAGTTGGACGCACCTAAAACCTAACACGTCTAGAATTTACTTTTGATTCAATATAAAGCTCAGAAAGTCAATTAATCAGCAAAGTCCTATAAATTTCACTAACTAAAGATTCACATTTTCGTTCTATTGAGACATGGTCACACTTATACACTAAAGAAAAGCAGTCTAACTATTGTTAAGTTGGCCGCGCCATATTCGCATTGAGCTAAATTTATTAATGAAGATGATCAGTTTAAGCACATTTTTATTAATTGTTATTATTATAAAATACTAATTAGTTGTTCTCTCTCGCCTTGCAGCCCGTTGCCCAAAGCACGAACACCTTGAATGGCAGCAAATGGAAGGACAGTCTCAGCGACCAGCAGAGCACCGACTCTAGTGCCGAGTGCACCATTTGCTATGAGAATCCCATTGATTCGGTGCTCTACATGTGTGGACATATGTGCATGTGCTACGATTGCGCCATCGAGCAGTGGCGTGGCGTCGGAGGCGGACAGTGTCCGCTCTGTCGGGCTGTCATCCGCGATGTCATACGTACCTACACCACGTAGACAGCCGACAAAACTAAAATAGAAAAAAAAAATAAACAAACAAAAGCGAATACACCTAAAACATAAAGAAAGCACACAAAACATAACAAAGCAATGCATTTTCTTCAAAAGACGCATCAATTTCCTAACTTTGAACTCGCATTCAAAATAAGCAAAAAAAAAAAAGAAACGAATCAATTTAATATTTTATAAACTAAAAATATCTTCAAAAAAGTTCGACAAAAATTGCTTAGTATTAGCAACTAGTTTTGATAGTAAGAAAGCAACCTGAATCAATTAACTGATAGCTGATATCAATATTTTTGCAAATAATTATAAGAAAAGCCTAAAAATAATTGAAGCAAAAAGAAGAAGAATATGACTTTATTTATGCTTAATATTAGCTGTATAAATATGTTTAGTGAATATATATACATATGTATTTAATTTTTTGTGATTTTAATGCTAAGTGCTAAAGATTTGTTTCAAATTTATATAAATATATATAAATATTTAATTTTTTAAAGAGTTCAATTGCGATGTATTAGCATGTTATATAACATTTAAAAAACACCAAAGTATTTTTGTATAGCTCTTAGTTTCATTGGCATTGACAAATTAAACAAGTTGTTGCAAATTTTTCGTATTTTTTTCAAACGAAATTTCAAAATTCTGTGCAAAAAAGTGGAAACCGAAAATCAACTTAATATATATTATACTTTTTATTTAAATCAGTTTGGTGCTAAATGTTTTGGATTTTAGTATGAAATTGTTAGGATATAAATATATATGAAAAAATTTATTTAAGCTTGCAGCAACTGAATAAAATGCACAATGAGAAACGTTAATGAGCACACAATATATATAGAAGAACCAAAACTCTGCCGTCAACTAATAACTAAAATAAACGAATTAATTATATAAAAAGTGCTTGAGAAAAAATCACACCTAAAAAAACACCAAATGAAAAAGAAAAGTTATTTTAATCACAACATGTTAAGGAAAATGTTGATTTTGCACCAAAATAGACAAGACATATTTTAATTAAGTTTAATCTTTAAGTACTTAAGTTAATTTCTAGTCAACGAATTATACTGAAGTTAAATAGAAAGGATGATTTCATTGGCAAAAATGTTTAGAAGATACAAAAAAAAAAGCTAAAAGAAAAGAAGCGCACGCTTTGCAAATTTTAAGAGATGCATTTTATGGCAACTACCGTTAAGTTTTGCACGGTTTTAAACAAAAATAAAACAAAAACCAACATAGAACAAAAGACTTTGCTTGAAAAATAATATATTTATAATAAATGGATATGAAGCGTCATAAGATTTAAAACGAAAACATGAATACATGCAGTTAGAGAATTGCCAATAATTAATTAACACAAAACACAGACAACCAACCAGAACAAATATAAACTAAACTTTACCTAAGATTGTATTAAAAAAACATGAATTGAAAGAAAAGCAAAAAAAATATTGCTAAATGTAGCAGAAGCTACTTGACTATTTTTGTTATAAGAATTAAAAATGAGAGATGAATTTCAGAGGAAAAAATGAGACACGTGTTATTGCCACTATTGATAATTAATTTTAATTTTTTTAAAAACGTTTACTATTTCGAAATAGAATGAAATGGAACAATGCCTAGTTATGAATAAACAATGTATTTATGAAACTATATATAGTATATGTAAGACAATGCAATGCTGTAATACCATTAAATACTTAACAAGAACATTTAAATTCGAGCGACTTTTTATTCAAAAATAATGGTTTTAATATTGGTTTTTCGTAATTATATTTGAATTTACGTTGTGTGCATCGATCATTTCTGGTGTTTTATGTACCTTTAAAACTATCGATGTATCGCAGTGCATCGTATGGCAGCTCTATACAGTTGCAAGTCGCGATAGACTTATCGAGTCTTTGGTTTTTTAGACTGCTACGGTCACACAGCACACAGTAAACAGTTTTAGATTTTATCGTGTGTGTGCAATTCGTGGAAGAAAATTTGGTAATACGCAACGAAATTTGGTGAAAACTTTCGTCAGTAGCGCCAGAAAATTATAAACATAATCCAGTTTCCATAGTGTTTGATGAACAATGTAAAAATTATTTGTATATAAGGTTAATTTGTTGTGTGTTTCCAAAAACTGTCCATATACACACAAATACACTCACATATACATTGGCAAACGTAGACAAAATACTAAACCCTCCCTCAACTCACGAATCATTTTTCAGAACCGTGCGCTGGGCCGTCGCGGCAAAGCGACCCACATAAAGAAAGCGAACAGCAGGGCAAAGCAAAACTAAGAGAAGTACTCATAAATACACCAACCAACACACACACACACATACACAGGAGAACATAAATACGTACACAACGAGTGAAAGAGTGTGCTAATTAAGTATTCGGATCATGGACGATGCCAACATACAGGACAAGGAGCGCTTTGCTAGCCGCGAGAATCACTGTGAAATCGAACGACGCCGTCGCAACAAAATGACCGCGTACATAACGGAACTCTCGGACATGGTGCCCACCTGCAGCGCATTAGCACGCAAGCCTGACAAGCTGACCATCCTGCGCATGGCCGTGGCTCATATGAAGGCACTGCGTGGCACAGGCAACACAAGCAGCGATGGCACCTACAAGCCCTCATTTCTCACAGACCAAGAGCTGAAGCACTTAATACTGGAGGCTGCTGATGGTTTTCTATTCGTAGTTTCCTGCGATACGGGCCGTGTGATCTATGTCTCCGACTCCGTGACTCCGGTACTGAATTACACACAAAGCGATTGGTACGGTACCAGCCTGTATGAACACATTCATCCGGATGATAGGGACAAGATACGTGAACAGTTGTCCACACAGGAGTCCCAGAATGCGGGTCGCATTCTTGATCTGAAGTCGGGCACTGTCAAGAAGGAGGGCCATCAGTCGAGCATGCGCCTGAGCATGGGAGCTCGACGTGGTTTCATATGTCGCATGCGTGTTGGCAATGTCAATCCCGATGCTATGGTCTCAGGACACTTGAATCGCTTAAAGCAACGCAATTCACTAGGTCCCTCCCGGGATGGATCCAATTATGCGGTGGTCCATTGTACGGGCTATATTAAGAACTGGCCACCTACGGATATGTTTCCCAACGTGCACATGGACCGTGATGTGGATGATATGGCTTCGCATTGCTGCCTGGTGGCCATTGGCCGGCTGCAGGTCACCTCAACGGCTGCCAATGACATGACTGGTAGCAACAATCAGAGTGAGTTCATCACACGCCACGCCTTAGATGGCAAATTTACGTTTGTCGATCAACGTGTGCTGCACATTCTTGGCTATACGCCCACCGAGTTGCTGGGCAAGATATGCTACGATTTCTTTCATCCTGAGGATCAAAGCCACATGAAGGAGAGCTTCGACCAGGTGCTCAAGCAAAAGGGACAAATGTTCTCGTTGCTGTATCGCGCGCGTGCTAAAAGCTCAGAGTTTGTTTGGTTGCGCACCCAGGCGTATGCCTTTCTCAATCCCTACACCGATGAGGTGGAGTACATAGTTTGCACGAACAGCTCCGGCAAGACACTGCACGGCGCTACGCCCGAGCAGCAGCAGCAGCAACAACAGCAGGTGGAACAGCAGCAACATGTCTATGTGCAGGCGCCGGGTGTGGATTATACACTGCAGCCACCGCGCCGTGAGATTACGCCAACTGGCGGAGACGCTGGTATCTATCAGATGCACATGCAGGCGCCACCAGCACGTCCTGCCTCGGCACAGAATACGCCAGTGGGTTATAGCTATGATGCCACGCACTCGCCGTATGGCGCCGCAACAGGTGGCGGCGGTCCCTCGCCCCTAGCTAAGCTTCCCAAATCAGGCACTTCGCCCACGCCTAATGCCTGGGGAGCGCGTCCCATGCCCGGACAGCAACAGCCACAACCAACTGCCACTGAGGCTTATCCAGCCTATCAGCAAAGCAGTCCGGCCCGCTCGCCGAGTGGCCCCACCTACACGCAGCTCAGCGCCGGCAATGGCCAGCAACAACAGCAACAACAACAACAGCAACAACAACAACAACGTCAACAGCAGCAACAACAGGCATCTGCGTATCAAGCGGCACCAACGGCAACACCTTGGGATTGGCAAAATGCGGCGGCCACACATACGGCACACCCGCATCCACATCCGCATCCGCATGCTCACCATCCACATGCGCATGCGCATGCGCATCCAGGCGCCGCTGTTGCAGCGAGCGCACAGCAGCCCCAGGGTCAGGAGTTCTCCGATATGCTTCAAATGCTTGATCACAGCGCCACAACACCATTCGAGGATCTAAATATTAATATGTTTAGCACGCAATTCGAGTGAATGTAATGACATTCGCTCTCCCTCTATCTCTCTGTCACTTACACCATTCGGAACTCTCTCTGGTAGGGATGAGCGCGTGTTTTACTCCATCATCTTTGGTACTAATATTTTGCAAGTACTAATTTTAAAAGCCACATCGCATTTTCTCGTGACACGCGCTAATCTCCTGTTCTCGACACAAAGCTCAGTTTTTAATTATTTTTCAAGTGCAATCTACAAGAGAAACATTTTCTACAAAATTGTTGAAATATTTTAGCCAGCATACAAACACATATAGCTTATGTACAAACGCAAGTCAAGTCAGATATAAAGCGAAAAAATTAAAATGTAATCTCGTAAATAGGCACTTAGGTACATAACGGTAGTCACGTACCGTACACGCTCTCGATATCGATATCAATGTTTGCTTCCACATGAAAAGCCGCCAACCCGCACACACACATACAGAGACAAAACCTCTGCCTGTGTCTCTGCCAAGCAGTGTAAAAGTATTTGAAATAGCTGTAAATCAACGACACTCATTATGCAAATTGCAAAGTTTATTAACGAACAAAATAACACTATTTGATATATGTATATATAAATATATATATATATATATATAATTAAATACTTACAAGTGTAATTTCTAGACTAATAAACAACACAATTCTAATTGTAAGCACTTGCACACACACTACTGCATATAAACTGTCGGCCGCGCTCTTCATCTTCATCACCCACACGTTAGCACACTCGCTCATTGCTTTGCAACATTGACACCAATGTTTTGTTGTTGCTCAGTTTTTGCTACGTATTTTTCATGCGGAAAAGCAGTTCAAGTGCAAATACTGAAAACAATAATTGCTTAATTTCCATTTTTTTTTTGACAGATTTGGTAAAAAGTGCAAGCTTAACTCTTAAAAGTTTGGCTAACAGGCGCGGATCAAATAAAACGGCAGCTCCAAATTGACGTATTACATACATACTATTTCCATATAACATTTCATAGTTTTAACATACAAATTAGCGAATAAAGCGCATGGCAAGCAAATGAAGAGAACAACAAATTTAAATCAATTTTTATACGCTAAGCCTTTGTAATTAAGCAAAAAAGAAAATGCTATATACATACTTATATTATAGAATTGGGTAATGAGAACAAAACTTTTGGTTTTTAATGCAAATAAATTTTAAATACTATAAAGAAAAACTTTAACTGATGCTTTCATTAATGCTACAAGTGTTCATTTTACAGTTGAACGCTGTCAGTGGGCTCCGATTTGACCTTAATATCGGCGCTCTTTTCACAACGCGGCCGCTTGGCGGCGTTTTGTACATGAGGTGAAGATGGACTGCGTTTAATGGTGTTGAGATTTGCCTTTTGCTGGGGTTGCTCCTCTGCGCTGGACTTGACATTGTCTTGCTGATGCTGATGCTGTGACTTGTTTCCAGTTAGCCAGGCCAACATACCTTTTGGCTTTTCCGGCTTGGCCGCCAATTCAAGTGGTTTATTGCATTCATCGCTTTTATTGCGCGAATTGTTGACACATTTAGCAACCCGATGCCACTTCAAGGATGTAGCAGGGCGAAGTGCAGCCAAAGCTTGAGCGTCACTTACATGCTTAAAATTCAGCCAGTCCTAAAGAGGAGCATATTATTAAATGTACATTCAATTGCTAAAGAATTATTTACATTCATTTGCTGTTCCGTTTCGAGAATCGCTGGCATGCGATAGTGCATCCAGGACATAATTTCGCTAGATTGGAATGTAATGATACTGTAACTATACATCTTATCGCCGCTCTCGTCCTGCCACACATCGAATAAGCCAGCCATACGCAATAGTTTCACATTCGCCGGTGACCAGGTGTTCTTGTCATAGATCTTCACCTCCGACTCCTGCGGCACGTAGACCAAATATGCCTCACGCTCCGATGGCTTAGCCGATTTTGTGGTTTGCCATTCGTAAAAGCCCTCACATATCACAACACAGCGTTGGCCACGCTTGAAGGGGCCACGATACAGTTTGGAGTCCATCAAATGCTCCAATCGGCAGTTGTTTGTGGTTAATCCATGTTTACGATAGTCGCCCTTATGCCAGCTAGGGATCATGCCCCACATCATAGGTACGACAACTCGTGCATTTTGTTGATCATCCGCTTCACTGAAATGCGCCGCGGATACACTAAAAAGTGGGCGACAAAATTAATTTCTATTTACCATAATTCATAATTTGAGATCAAAATACATAACGGGTGTTATATCCGTGGGCGCAATGTTATATGAGGGTTGATATCGCCTTCCCAAATTAAACTCTGCGCGCCATTCGGGTGTTTCGGATTCCTGTTTGATTTGCTCTTCTACTTTTATATTATTTCGGGAAGGGTATTTGCATGCGCATAGTACCTGATCCGGATCAAGCGTTCTGCATAGGAAACGTTAAATAACAAATGCATTTTAAATCTGTACAAATTACTCACAAACAAGTTCGACCGCACATTGTGATTGCTTACAGCAACATTAACAGTTTCTTAACAGTCATTTCATTTTTGCGTTCAGTTCAAACGAACTAGTTCAGTACTACACCAAACACCTCTAAAAACAAACAGCATTTGGCGTACAGCATAAGTTTGTATTTATTGTGAAAAAATGGGTGAACGTTATAACATACACAGTCAGTTGGAGCATCTGCAAAGCAAATATATCGGTACTGGACACGCGGATACCACCAAATTTGAGTGGCTTACCAATCAACATAGAGACTCACTGGCCAGTTATATGGGACATTATGATATGTTAAATTATTTTGCCATCGCTGAGAATGAATCAAAAGCGCGTGTGCGATTTAATTTAATGGAACGGATGCTGCAACCTTGTGGACCGCCTCCAGAAAAACTAGAAGATTGAGCAAAAATTAATAAAATAAAAACAGTAATATAACAAACCCAAGCAGCGTTTGGTTAAATAAAAGGGTTGGGAACAAAGCAATGGATAATTTAGTATTTTTTGGCTTGTCGACGTCTGGTCGCACTGCAGCTGCAGTCGGGGGAAAGCTTTCAACTCGATATAACTTATTTTCGTTTCAATTATATATTTATTTGAGTGCTAGTGTTTTATTTAAATAGTAAATAATAATTAATTAGTCAATGTTACAGCGCAATAAATTACATGTATGTGTATCAACAAATGGGTGTTAAAAATGTGTTAGCGCAACAGCCAATAAAAAAAATGGAACGTGTATAAAAAAAAAATACATACATTTGTGCATAAGTACATAAATGCATCAGTATGTGCACACAAATTCAATAGGATCAACACAAAAACGTCTACAGCCACAATGCAACTTATTTTATTTGGGCACGATGAAAATTCGCGACGAACAAAGATTTCAGCTGAAATTATTTTCGATTGCGTAGATTGTATGTGTATATTATACATACACATACACAGAAAAGGGTGTATATATGTGTCTAAAGATGAATGTACCATAATTACGCGCCGTTGAATTCTGAAAACGCAAAAGCTTAAAAATAGTGTCGCAAACAATTAAATATAATTTCCCACAACAAACGGCACAAAGTAACAAAGCTGCCTTCATCTGTTTCTGTGACAGCGTGCAAATGTCATGGTTATTTAACAAGCTATAGTGTACCAGAAAAAGAGGAAGAAACAGTATTACTATTCTCTGACATCTGGATAGCTTTATCTTCATATACATTCGCACATACACAAGCAATCAATTTAATAATACGCCTCCTCCGAGACAACTATGATCTATCGTCTGAGTGAACACTGCAAGTCATTTAAATAGTTAAAGTGCATTTATCAGCTGCCAATCGGCATGTTGGGTCATGCGCTTTAAGCGCACAGTTTCTATTCTTATGTCTAGCACTGTATGGTGTGACAGGCAATTGCAAAAAGCTCATGCAATTCCATTTGGCGTTGCCATATATTGAACATATGGTATGGTAACACCAATGTAAAATGCAGAACCGTATGTGCATATTGCTAGCATTAAAATTTTATTAAATCAGGTGTCGAAATTGTTTATAAACAATTTGCTTATACTTTATGTAAACAATAAGGACTTTGGCTTTTGGTTTATTTACGTTTGACCATTGCACTACGTTTTTGGCAAATGTGGCAGCACTCGACACACAGCAGGAGGTGGTTAGGGGGGCGAGCAAACAGCGCAGCGACACACAAAAGCACACGACGACGACAACGACGGACGGGTCGAATGAGTTGAAAATTTTCGCGAAACGAAAAAGTTAAAAATAAATGTTTACAGTGCATGGTTAAAATACTTAGTATATATATTTTTTATAGTACTTAAATATTATTGTGGACTGCGTTTATGGTTTTCACTTTACACACTGCCAGTTTGCCTTTAATTTTGCTATTGAATTAAAAAAAATTATAGCTCACAAGCTTGTGTTAGTGCGTGCTGCCACTGCAAGACGTAAGGGGGGAAAGCAGTGTGCGATTTATACCATTTGCTTGTTTCTATTCATTTCATTTTCGGACGACAAACGCGAAAGGTAACACCAAAAGAGAAAGAACCGTAATCGTCTTCTATTAGCAGAGCAAAGAAAGGCGAAAAGAAAATCAGAAAGTAGAAATAAAGGAGAGAAAAAATCGTTGCATCTGCGAGGGCGGGCTGCATTTGAGAATAAATAGGTGTTGGTGTACATATACATATACACACACACACATATATATATATATATATATATATATATATGTGTGTTAGCCCTGTTACTTAATTTTGCCGTTTTCCTTTGTTGTCATCTGTTTACATTCGATGACTGACTAGCTCCTTTTTCCATTTCGCATTGCAGCTCCTTTGCATTCTACACATGTGTACATAGGAATCTCTAACTCAAAACATAGTGTAAAAAAGAAAAAAAACCAAACGAAACGAAGTGCTGAAAGCTCAGCCGAAAGTTCATTGAAATAAAATCAAATCGAAATCATCGCTAGAACGGTAGAACGGGCGCCTAAAAAGGGAACGGCACCTATCGAGTGGACGCGAAGACGTCGTCGCTGCTGCTGCTGCTGCTGGTGGTGACTCGGCCGCTGCCGCTCTGCTGCTGCTGCTAAATAATGAGTCGTCATGAAGGTAATAAACAAAGTTCCTTTCTCTCTTCATCATCTGATATCTTAAAGTATGCATGCATTTATTTATGCGTTTGATTTAGGTGTCAGCTGCGATTCATGTCTAAAAAGTAACTTTACTGGACGTCGCTATAAGTGTTTAATTTGTTATGATTACGATCTGTGCGCCGATTGCTATGAAGATGGCGTCACCTCCACTCGCCATCTGGTTGAGCACCCAATGCAGTGCATACTTACCCGTTCCGATATTGAGTTATATTTTGGCGGTGAGATGCTAACAACGGATCAGCCGCAATCATTTACGTGTCCTTATTGCAAAAAAATGGGCTTCAGTGATGCAACACTATTGGAGCATGTCTCTGCAGAGCATACAGAGACCAGTTTGGAGGTCGTCTGTCCCGTTTGTGCCGGGTTACCTGGCGGTGAGCCGAATCTAGTCACAGATGATTTTGCTGGTCATCTAACATTGGAACATCGGCAAGGACCCCGAGAGCTAATATCTTTTTTGATATCCTTTTACCAAACAAAATCATTAATTAAATGAGTTTATTTTCAGTCAGATAGCAGTTAGGAAAGTTTTGCTAGAATTTGATTCTTTACATAAAGGAAAATCGACAAATTTATATTAAACTTACCATTTCCTGTCGTTGTCTTCCATAAATCTGTGTGCGCATTTTGAACAATGTATTTTAAGCCCGTTTGGTTCTCTTTTATCAAAATCTTGGTAATATTTCCTATTTGGTAAATACTTTATAGTATAGGTAACTTATTATAAATTAAGATGGATCGAATTTTGTTTTGGTTGCCTTAACCTTTAGACAATACGACGAGCCCTCGGCCATACGTCATGGCGGTGGTGTGCGTCGTATACCGGGACGCACTTTAGGCGGGCCTCGCACCCGTCGCTCCAATATGCACTTTAGCTCATCGAGCGGACTGTCGGCATTATCGCCATCGGGTCGCGAATCTGTCGATCCCATTGCAGAGCTCCTCTCTCAACTATCCGGTGTTAGACGTGGCGTTCCACCAACATCGCAATTGCAACAATTGCAGATGCAAATGCAAATGGATCGGCAACAGTTGACGGTAAGCAGCGCATTTGTTGTTATTATAAGCTTGTGTGTATAAGGCAACAAAAAAGAAAAACAAAACAAAAATAAAATAAAACTTGTGAATGTTTTCCTTTAACGCTTTCGTTATTTTAGGCATCGCGCCAAATTGATCGGCTGCCAAGACGCACGCATCCCATAGTCTCAACATCGAATTCTAATGCCACCATGGCCGAGGTGATTAGTGGTGGCGGCGGCAGCAGCGGTGCAGTTGGCAGTGGTGGCATGAGTGCCAGTGGTGTGAGCGCACCGTCTAATCTGCGCACCACAGAATGGCCGGTGGGCGCGACCTTCTCATCGACCAGCAGCCATCAGCAGACACAGTCTAGCAGCCTGGCCGCCAATTCACTCAACGCCAGAGAAGTAGCTACAAAACATTTTGTTAAACAAATCTCAATTGTTAAAACTAATGTGTATTTAATTGTGTCCTTGCAGGCGGTCGGCAACAGTTGCATTGGCAGCGGCAGCGGTACTAGTAATGCGCTGGGCATAAGCGTCGGCACCGGAGGCTCCACAATAGCCAATGGCGGGGGCAACACTAACGTCATGTCTGGCCAGGCTGGCGGCCAAGCTGCAGCTGGCGAGGCATCGCAATCGCAGTACTTGCTGGCCAAATTCATGCAGCCCACGCTAACGGAGGCCGAGTGGGCGGATATTGAGCGCAAGCGCGCCGATCGGTAGGAGTTTATCTAAATATATTAATATATAAATCGTTTAGTTATTGATCTTTAATTTCTTTTCATAGCTCCATGTTTGTGCAGTCGATGTTGTTATCGTTGTTATGCGCAGAGGAGCTAGACTTGAATACGTCCAATGAGGATGGTGACTGTTTAGCCAAGAGTGATAATGTAAATAAGGAGCAGAATGGCAGTGACAGCAAGCAGCAACAGCAACAACAGCAGCAGCAGGAGGAACAGGAAACGCTGCTTAACAACAATGCAGATGAGCAGCAACAGCCGCAACAGCAACGCGCTGTGGTACGACAGGTGAATCAAATGCAACAGACCTCGCCAGAGGACTTCGTATGCGATGAATATCGCTACAAAAACAAGAAAGCCAATAACACAACAGCAACAACACAAACAAGCGGCACTGCTGCAACAGGAGGATGTGGAGGGGCAGGCGTCGTTGGTGCTGGCGGGGCTGGTAGTGCAGCGGCCGCTGCAGTTGGCGGCAGGCCAACAGCAGCTGATCGAGGTGGCCTCGAAAGACGTGGCCGATCACAGCAAGCAGAGACTGCTACGGGCTCACAGCAGCAGTTGCAGCAACAGCAACAAAAATACAAACAAAACGTGAATGCGGCGGCAAACACAAATCAAATACCCGATACTAGGTAGTGTCTCTCAACCATAACAGCAAAAACAAACACAGCAACATGTTGTAGCTGCTGCAGACTAAGTAACAACAGCAATACGCCAACAAAAAATGGAACATTTTACCAACCACACCAACAACATCAACAAGAACACATTATCAATCAATACAGCAACAGCAGCAGCAACAACTACAACATACACAGCCGTAAGATTAACAACAACAACAGCAACAAAAGTAACCGCAGCCGCCGTCGCAGCAGCAGCCGCAATTTTGTCAAAAACTATATTATATGTATCGTTTATTAAATATATTAAAATTTATATAATTATAAAAAAAACCGATTGAACAGAGATGTGCAGAAAGAAAAATTATTATAATCATTGAATTAATTATAATTTAAACAAAATTATAAATATTTATTAGTGTTATTTTGATTTATTTCAATCAATTTTGGAACATAGTAAACACTAAACTACCGATAATCAAAGAAATTGAATTTAAAGTCGATATTTAAATTCTAAAAATCATGGTTAAATTTGGATTTGAATAGGTCTAATTGTCTACAAACCTACTTTAAGCATAAAGGGAAGTGATTCTTAAATATTTTTACATATATCTTAAATCAACTGTATGGTACTGAGATTAATGGTTTAAAAGTTTAAACCTGTATTGCTTATAACTTCCCAACAAGAACATGGTACCTTTAATTAGGAACACTAAATACCTGTATATGTAGTTCGCATCCGAGATTTCTAAAAGTCCGAGTGTTGTAATTAAAATGCCTTACAAAGATATTTCTGCTAGCATACTTAAAAAATATTTTCAAATATTTAAAGCTGGAAAAGTTTTTCTGTTAACCTCAACGGTTTAACAATCATTTCGCTCAATGAACATAGGCGGCATCAATTCCAGATCAAGCGCATTTTGAATACCTCGGGGTTGGATGCAAAACACATATTCCACGGCTTGTTTGACTTGCCGATCGCTGGCATATGGATTGATCAGTACTATATTGTTGGCCAGCATTTTTGCTAACTTTTTGAATAGAAAACGATTGGCAATTAGACCTTCCTGCAGCGGACGCATCAAATGCCGTACGATCCAGGGGCGTATACGCAATATGCAGCTGGCCAGCAGCACCTCATCAACCAGATCGATACTAGGACTAGTTATATGCGTGGCAAATTCATCGTCACTGTCCTCTCCGAAAAGCATATGAAACTTGTAACGCAAAGTATCTTCACAGCGCCAATCCGCATCTAACAAATGCACCAAGCACGCATTGAGTCGCCGCCGCTGAGCATACAATTCGCAGGGCCAGAGACTATTCCTCAGATCCGGAGTGCTTTTGCTAGACGGCCCAGTTGACGGCGTGACAGGTGATATTAAAGGCTTTAACTGTCCTGCTGCAGCGGAGGATTCGTTTAGTGCATCTGCATCTGTCATGGTTTCTACATCAATACCAAATATGGCACTTAAATCAGTTGGCTCGTCGTCAAACAGCTTGGCTAGCTCCAGCGCAACTTCATCCTCTGTAGTGGACATGGGAGTTGCAAGTATTTCTTTAACATTGACTTCTACCAATTTCTGCTGCACCAGCTGCTCTTCGCATTCAAGCTCTGCCAGTTGCGACTGAAACATATCGATTTTCTGGCACAGCGTATAGCTTGTGTAACTGTCGTTCCGCTCATCATTTGGCATGCTTGTCGTTTGAGTTGATTCGTCGACCAGGCGGGGTTTGGCATTGGCATTGGCATATGATGCTTTCGTTGACGGCGAATTTTCGTCTAATTGCTGCATTTGCTGTTGCATTTGGTCGAACAGCGCATCCGCTAGACGACATTCCTGTGTGTTACGTCGCACGGCGGCGATCTAAATAGACCAACTTAAAAAAGGACTCAATAAATGACTCATTTTGATAACTTTACCATCTTGACCATGGCACGCTGATAGAGCTGTGCCGCCTGACACGCTTTAATTGCTTGCGTCTCCATTGCCTTGACGCTGTGGTCAATGCAAGCCCAGGCTGTTGGCTTGTGATGATTTCTGGAAGTCCCTGCCCAGACGCAGACGTTTTCCTGCAGCTGACGCTCTAAATAGCGAACATATTGCTGGCGCACCTGTTAAAAAGCATTTATCAGTAGTTTATTAAATTTATCCAAGAAGTGACGTGATTGTTTTTTACCACTTCCGTGAGTATAACTGTTTCGCTGCTGCTATTTGTAGTGGCCATGCTCTAAAGTCTATTTTATTTACCAAAATTCCAATTACTTAAAACATTTTAGCTTCAGTTCTAAACAATTAGTTGGCTCAAAATTTGCGCCTTGGTACACAAACAACAAACACATACATGAACAACGCAAACTTGGATGATGGCGTTGCCACCCTGCTGTGTTTGCTGACAGCTGACGGATGTTCTTTCATATTCTTCTTTTTAAGGCGCAGCTGCAGTTTTAGAATTAAAATTCTTGTAATATTTTTATTAAATAATTTGTTGTGATCAATAAATTTCACAATTAGCTTTAAGTGCTTTACATGTTAGTTTTTTAACTAGTAGCTAGTTACAGTTTATAGTTAAACAACTTTTGTTATTTTTAGAATAAAGTGCAAATACAATGCTTTGTTATCTTCTTCATATTTGTAGTACAATAAATATATGTAATTGAAGTTAATTTATACATAACTTGTATAAAAGTTGCTAATCGCCTCACTATGCTTACAGCATTTAAGTGCTGTGAAAATATGAAATGAAAAACAACAAATTTGCAAATATTGTTTACGAGCCCTTTTTTAAACGAAACAAAAGTAAAGCGTATCTATAATTATTTTCGTTGAGGTTTTTTTTTTGCGTTTTTTCTTTTATAAATATATGCAACTGTTTGGATTTTATGTGCTAACGCTTACGTTGCGTGGGCTTTAATTTTGAATATCAGGTTTACCATCCACATTCCGAACCGATCCGTTACAGTCGACCCGATCCCCTATCCATAATAATCTATGAATTAGTCCAAAAACATATTGTCATCGTCAAAGGTGAACACGTTGTTGCGCTGCTGTGTGGCTGCTGGGGCTGTTGTCTGCTCCGATTGTGAGGCAGCTGTTTGACTAGATGCATTGGCGGATATTGGCGCTCTTGTAGTAGGATAGCTGCTTCCGCCTGCGCGTCCGCTGCCATTCTCATCGATAAAGCTGTTCAGCAGCGCATAGTCCTCATCAATGGAAGCGGCGTCGTCGTTGTCATCATCGTTGGCTAAAGATTTGCGGCAAATGGGACAAGTGCTGTGCAGATTCAGCCATGGCACAATACAATTTTCATGATAAAGATGCGAACAAGGAAGCTTGCGTACTGACTCATCCAGCTTGAAGTCATCCCAACAAACAGAACATTGCATTTTGCGTTCCACTTCCTCGGCACTAATTTTCACATTTGGTATTTCGTTGATGCGTTGCGTGGACAAGGGCGGTGGACCCGATGTCTCCATTTGATTGAGCATCTGAGTAACGATCGTATCGAGCCCTTCACGTCCCCACGCATAGTCGCCCGGATTGCCCATAAAGAACATATGAGAATGGCCTGTGCCGCCAACGCCACCGCCACCACCTGGACCGGTTACAATTTCAGCTGTCGCGCCAGCCAAAGGCAAACTCTGCAGAAAATCATACAGCACGTTGTCCAAACGATCCAAATTGGCCGGTCGCACCCGACCACCAGCAATACTGGGCGCCCCACTAGACGAACCGCTCGAACCAATGCCACCGGCGGGGCCACCCAAGTGCATGACACCGGTATGACGTCTATTTGGCTCGATTGTTATTTCCAAATTAGGCACATTCCGCATGCTGAGCAGCGACACAATATCGTTCCGTAGTGATTCAACGGCGCTGTTACCGCTACTAGAGGCATTGGTACCACTTATGCTGGTACCTGCGCTGGCCGTATCATTATTTAAAGCGCTACTGCTGGTAGAGGCTGACAATTCGGGTGCGTTTGCTGGCAACTCCTCAACGAATCCATACGAGCAAAGTGGGCAAGTGTAATCGGTATTCGGAATGTTGATCTCCACATTGCACATGTGACAGAAAAAACGTTTCGGCACCGTGGGGTGCTCTTCAACGACCATTGCCTCAGCCATTTTTATTGACGGATGTTATCTGTGTGGTATGTTAGATATTTGTTGCCGTTGCACTAGCAATTTTTCACTAATTTGTTATATTGTTGTTGTGCAAGCAACCTGCAGTCGGCTTACCTATCGGCTTTCCTGGTTGTTGTTGCTGTTAGATGTTATTGTTTGTTCTGATTCGGTTGTGATAAAACTGTGCGCAGGCAATGAAACAACGTAAGCTCGACCGTCGCCACTTCAAACATTTAGTGTTGTTTTTAATGTAAAATTTTATACAGTTTTAAAAGGACATCGTGCTACTGCAAGCTATTACTACTCGATTGATTTGACAGCCGTCGATAGACGCCTATCGATGATGCTAAAAAGCCTTAAAAATAATGCCAGCAACACATATATATATATATATAAAAGGTATTGTCAATATTTTTGTTTTGAAAACACTTTCAATCATATTTAGATTGATAAAATTCTTTACGTGCTTATCTAGCTGGATTCGTTGATTATCGCTTCCTGAGAGGTACCGATAGCTTAGTCGGATGTACAACACAAAGTTTTAAAACCAGTGCTAAGTATCTCTGTATCTTTTATCTTCGATGCATCAGCTAATACAACCAATTAAAAGTAATGGTCTGATCTTGTAATTGTTGAAAGTAAATTAATTGAATTTAGGAATCCCCATATTTTTATTATTTATATTTAAGTTATCTATGTCACTTCGATAACATTCGTGTGCTAAATAAGTGCTGCCGGCCTGTCAAAAAATTTGCAGTTTTATTTAGTACATTAGTGTTAAAAACATTCTGGCAACGTCAAACTATAGGGGCAGAAACAAAAAGTCATCTTCGAAGCGGCGTTTAGCATTTATTTTTGCAAGTCTTATTTACGCCAGTCTTATTTACAGAATTTCATCAAATTAAATATGTCTATTCTGGCCTATAACGGAGGTTGTGTGGTTGCCATGCGGGGCAAAGACTGTGTGGCTATTGCAACGGATCATCGCTTCGGCGTGCAGGCCCAAACCATTTCCACAGACTTCAAAAAAGTGTTTCACATTGCTCCGCGTATGTTTCTGGGATTGACTGGACTACAAACGGATATATTGACGGTGCGCGATCGTCTGATGTTCCGCAAGAATATCTATGAAACGAAAGAGAATCGTGAAATGGCACCCAAACCATTCTCAGCCATGTTGTCCAGTTTTCTCTACGAGCATCGCTTTGGACCCTACTTCATTGAGCCGGTGGTAGCTGGCCTAGATCCAAAAACTATGAAGCCTTTCATTTGCAACATGGACCTAATCGGTTGCCCCAATGAGCCCGATGATTTTGTTGTAGCTGGCACCTGTGCTGAGCAATTGTACGGCATGTGCGAGACACTATGGCGCCCGGACTTGGAACCGGACCAATTGTTCGAGGTCATTTCACAATCGATGGTGAACGCTTTCGATCGTGATGCAATGAGCGGATGGGGTGCCACCGTCTACATTATTGAGAAGGACAAGATTACGGAGCGTTCGTTGAAAACCCGCATGGATTAGGCATTTCTTTTTTTTTTTCAAAATATGAAGCAAATAAAATTTGTAAGGAAAGGAAACAATTTATTAATTTTTTTTAAAGGAATTATTCTTCGACAAATTCTATACTCTTTAGTGCCATAGCCAGCGCTGCTTCCTTTGTCTTTGCACCGCCAATGAAGCCTGTGTGGTGCACAAATATGAGATCTTCAATGCCAGCCATTTGGCACAGCTCCTCATCGCGCAGTCCACGCCAAGGTGTGGGCAGAAATTTACGTCCAAGGAAACTGCTGGGTGTGACGGGCACCCCAGCAACACGCCAGCTGTTGCCCTCATTGAAAATTATCAGTTTGGCCACACCCTCAACATCATATTCCTTTTCCAAAATGTCTAAGTGTGCCTTCCACGGACAGAAGGTGTTCAGCAGAAGAATTTGCCTGCTTTCATGCACCGATTTGGCTTGTTCCAAGGCCAACCGTACGTGATCACGGGCTGCTATCCACGAACAGGCCACTTCCAGCACGTTCTCGACAAACTCCTTGCCCGCTACTGACATGGCCATGTGAAATCGTTCGTCAGAATCCGTTTTTGTGTCCTGCCACGAGGGATTCAGCTTGCCAATGCGTGCCGAAAGATGCGTAGATATCTTGTAGCGTGGCTCACCACCTTCGAACATAGGTACGCCATTGTCAATGGCATCAAGTTCGTTTATAAAATTGCGGTATATTTGCGAGAAGGCCAATTTCAGATTGGATTCAGATAGTTGCACATTTCGTTCGCGTTGCAAAATACTTTGTATCACACGCTCCCCATAGAAGCAGTAAATCAAACCCGCGCTGCTCAGTCTGCAAATAAAAAATTAAAGTTTGTATCCATCCATCTGTTGATCTAATCATGTATTTCACTTACCTAATGTTGAAATCGTCACAGATGTTGGGGTGTATCGTGCTAAAGGTGTCCTTAAACGTTAGCTGATGATGGTCGTACCATTTTTTTTCGTGATCGAAGACACCACCCACATCTACAATTATATCACATTTAGAACGCAGTGCGCTATCATCCCGACTACGGAATATTTCGGCATTCTCATATTCCGGCAATTGCTTGAGCATAAAACATGCAACTACCTCGTCACAATGAAAGGTGCCGTTGTGGGTACCAATTGTTGGGGGCGTGGCGCGTTTAGGTGGCGACGGTAGTATATTAGCGGCAGTGCTCATAGTCGAATGGAAAGTAAATTGATCAAATGCAACAATTGGTAGAAAACGCGGTAAAAATCGTGTTACCATTGGCCCAATGTATCCACACTCTGGTCGGTTAAATAATGTTGGTTACAGACTGAATGAGTGTGTACACGTCAAAAAAATAAAGAATGCCATTGTGAATGATTATTTCACAGGGTGTACCCACAAATGGCGCCAAATATAAAAAAACCTGAAGTAGTGTTTTTCAGTTTTTAAGCTACAAAGTGCATTTATTACTAGTCATATTAATATGTCAACAGTTTTAAGCACATTTCTTAGTAATTTGCCCTGCCTTTAAGTCAATGCAAACAGCCACGTCACAAAGTATGTACATATGTGCGTATATATTAGCTTGTGCAATTAACAGTTCATAGCTAATTTATTAGACAAAAAACTTTATTGGTTCGGCTTATGCGATTTTTGGCCTGTATACGATGTTCACAAGAAATACTTGAAGATCGCTCATCAGTACGCTAACAGACTTCGAAAGTAGCAAATGGATATTGTATTTATTCTATAGCTATCGGAAATTCAGGATATGTAAGAAAATGGCGGAGGCTCGCCTACGCAGAAACATAAGTCGACAAGCGCCCATGCTGTACGTAAATGTATAATATGTTTATAATAATAAGTGGATACATACTTCGTAAATACAAAAATACATACTTCCATAATAAAATGAAAGTCATGCCCAGTATTATTTTTGCTTTCGATTTAGCACTTACTATCAAGCTGAGTGTGATTTTGTGTGTGTTGCTTATATAATCGAGTGATGCCATACATTATTTAAATTTTGGATTTCCGTTAATTGTGTGCTGAGAGAATTTCTCAGTTGAAATGTGTTTCTGGCAGCGCGGCAATTAAGAAAAAAAGTTTAAAAACCTATCAAAAGCCATCAGACACTTGTTTATGGCGTACTTAAATCACTGTCAATGTTCACGTGTGCGTGGCATCGAAAAACGTTTATTTCAAATTGTTTGCAAACATGTACAGACGATCACATTCTCTACGCTGTTGTTGTCTCCCATGACCTTCAGTTCGGAAATCGACAGCGATTCGACTCGAAATGAATCGCCGTGTGTAACGGAAATGCAAGTGTATTGCATTGAGTTTTAGGTAAGGGAAATGAAACACGATAAATCACGCAGCACCTGTCACCTGAAAGCAGTTATCATATTCGAAACGAAAATACACAATCCTAATTATAATTAAATGGTTACCCGTTTTCGTGCTTTATTACAACCAGTGAAAAGCAAATAACTATTTCAGTAGCCATAAATGTTTTACACCAAACACATTGTAGTTTAATTTTCCGTTTCTGTAAACAAATACACCATTCTCGAAAAGTAAAAGCGTCTTTGATTTTATTGGTAATTTATTTCGAAACCTGTTAAAATTGTTCGTATTGATTTTCTCTCTCCCTCTCTATCACACACTGCCAAACAGCTCAATTCTTAAAATACCGTTTTATTTGCCGTTAATTGCCCATGTGTAAATTCCCTCTATGCCTGCGTCTGTCTGGCAGCATTATGCTTTGTGACGTCGCTTCGTCGTCGTCGTTGTCGGTGTAGTCGTCGTCGCTTTGTCGCTTACAGAAAGCTGCACTGCTTTGTTGAACTACAATAACAATTGAAGCTGTGTGGATGTATGTATGTGTGTATTATAAGCGCAGCTCTGATTGATTTTATTTTTGATACAAACGGTGTCTGTTGGATAAATTTAGATACCGGTTTGCGCCTGCTTGCGCCAGTAAATAGAATAAGCCGGTCTGGCATTTCATACTAATGCCTTGTAATTGTTGCTCTTCATAGATATTGCCGAACTGAGAATAATGTTAACTGCAATAATAGCAAAGGTTTAAATATATTTATTTTAATAGTTAAATTGTGTCGCCGAGTTTCCTTTAATGAAATGTACACTGTCGAACATGATCTCATTTACCTTACTTGTGAATATGCAATGAATACTTAATACCTAGTATTATGCAGGAACCAGAAACTTAGCTTTAAAAGTACTTAATGCATTTGCTAAGCCATTGAACGCGTCGCAAGCAGTGCTGCCGACAGCGACGTCGACGCTGACCGAGCCGAGACTTTATTTTGTAAGCTGCGTTTGCAGCAAACATGTGTGTTTGAGTTTCTAATGTTATTGTTGTTGTTGCTGTTTCGCTGTTGCTGTAAGTGACGCGCTTAGCTTCGGGCTTGTGTTGGGCTTTTAGGTTTCCGTTTTCTGTTTTCAGTTTGTTTTGACCGCGCAACCCGTTCTGATGTTGGCCTAAAGCGAATCGCACAGTTACAATAAAGTGTAGATATATTAATTAAATGGCAACAACAAAACTAAAACTGATTGAAAACCTAACACACAGTTGCACTTGCAATTATCAATAAATATGCAAGGCTTGTCTTATTAAATATTAACCCAGAGTGTTCCCTGTGTCGCGGCTTCCGTTCTTTCAACTCGAAGGTTTCTTTTACTTACGAAGTTTGCGGTTCCGGCTGTGGCTTATGGCATTTGCATAAGCAATTGTTATGCGACTTGTGCAACTATTTCAATGCGGAGACTGGTCACAGAGCTAGACAGATCGTAAATTTGTGGAATCCAATGTAGAAAATACAAAGGAGATTTATGAAGCTTGTGAATTGAAATGAGTTTCGGGAAAAATACTGTGAAGACAAAACTAAAAATATAAAAAAAAATAAATATATCTAATATGGTGAGCTTGAAACCCAAGCCCAACTAATTTATGCCACTTGGCGATTAATTTATTGTGGAGCTTATGCAAATGTCACAATGCAAATTTCTGATACATAATTAGAAACCAGTTTCGATATATAAAAAATACGAGTAATTTTTTTTTTATAAACTTTGTTTACGCCTTCACCTGAGATGGTACCACATAACACCTGCGGGTGCGTTCCAGTTGGCACACAGTACCAGAAATAGCTAGCAAAACAAATAGCAACAGCAACCACAACAGCAAAGCGTACCCCTGAAATACCCTATAAACAAAAGCAACAATTTAAACTTGAATTTGAATTTGAATTTGAATTTCAATTTCAATTTTAACTTATACTAAACTCTTTCATATAGGTTAAAGTCAATGTCAGAATATTTAGTTCGAATTAACTGGTTTAAATGCTTATGCTCTTCTGTCCCTGACCTCAATATTAAGCACTTTTAGGAGGAAAGATAAATAAATTTCGAATATCTCTGACAGGAAAAGCTTGTTTTAAAGCTTCCAAGTACGCTGAACCTGCAAACTTTACAGGCTTAAGACGCCAAGCTATATATATGTATATATTTTATATTACACATACATATACATATACTACGCAGTTTCAGTTGGCAGCTGTTGTATTTGTATATAAATAATTATATATACATATATAATATGCATCAATGTGTATATCATATATTAAAAAGCATCACTGAATAATTAATAATCGTTCAGCAGTTAAGCATAAAGCAGCTTGTTTTTTATTAAGCAATAAAGAGTTGTTAATAAGTTAATTGCAACATATATTAATAACGCCTACAAAGCAACAAACCGCAAAAATGGCTAAAAGAAATTAAAAACAATTTACACATATTAACACGTAACAACAATTTGTGTCAAAAAAGAATACGCCGCGACGCTCCCAAGCGCATAACAATCAAAAGCAACAAAATTAAATATGTCAAAGAAAGCCAACCACTAATCGCTGTGACGCATCGGATTGAATTTTTGGCAATTAGCCGTTGGCAATTAAAAGTTTCAATAAGTCACAATAGACAACGTGTTGAGTAGTGTTGCGTTCGGTTCAATGTCGCGTAAGGTGCAGAGCATTAAGTTGGCTGCGTTAAGTTTGATGCGCTAAGTTAACGATTCGTTAAGTTGTCTACGGACCGCATTCTGCAGCGCCATTTGAAAAGTTATTTGAATGGTCTCAGTAAATGTGTGATGGGTTATGCAAAACACACATAAAATATATGAGCACAAGAACAAATAACACAATATAGGAAATCACAGCGTAACACATTAAGTATACGACACGATGTTCAATGGCAAAGCAGCTGTATCAGCTGAGAAAAATGGGTAAACAAAATGCTGGCGTAAACTATAAACAACTATAAGCTGCGATTATACAATGTCTAAAAACTTGTTTTATCTTTATTTTGATTGTTAATAGCGCACTGAATGATCGTCCTTTATTCATGCACAATGGCCACAACAACAATCGTCGCATTTCGGGTGTAAACGATGTGGAAGTGAGCAACTTTCGACGGGCCCTGCCACAGTTTCTAGCTGTTAGTATTAAGAACCTATTGCTTTTCGGTAAATAACTTATAATATTCGCATTTCTTAATTATATGTGCATATTAGACGCAACAGTTGTGTGTCAAGCGGGGAATGAAGCTAGTCAAATTAACAATTAACAATGCAAAATTCACAATAATCAAAATCATTTTCGCTTTTAAGTGTCTGTCGAATCTATTGTTTACCCGGTTATTATTCTCTTCAATGGAAAAACTAAGACAAAGAACATTTAGAATTTGAAGACTTCATTCCCAAGCTCAATCAAATTGAAAATATTTACAATTTAAAGCAAAGCCAATTCCAATAAACGTTTAATTCAATTCGTAATGCAGGCTATGGCATGACTCTTGGCTTTCCCACAATTGTTATACCTGCCATACAGGGCGGCGAGGGACGCGGAGAGGGGCAGGACAGTGGCATAGTGCTTAACAAAGAGGAAATATCATGGTTCAGTAAGTCGGCCGGCATCACAGCGCTGTAATGAGTGTGAAAACTAATTGACTATACGCAGGCTCCATTAATTTGATTTGTGTGCCGTTGGGCTGTCTCTTCTCTGGCTTGTTAACCCAGCCCCTGGGCAAGCGGCGAGCTATGCAGGTGCGTATCCCTCACATAGACCGTCAGCAAATATCTCTGAAGGCATTGACACACTGAACTGGAAGCTCATTTCATTTCGCAATTATGCCAATGCTCGAAGCTGTGTGCTCTTTAGCTTTGTTGTATCTGAGTGCGCGTGCTAATGTATCTGTATCTGTGTCTGTGTCTCCGATTTCGTTTTGCAGTTTGTCAACCTGCCCATACTGGCTGCCTGGCTTATGTTTCACTTCGCCACGCGCACGGAGCATCTGTATGCGGCTTTATGCTTGGCTGGTCTCGGCGGTGGCCTGATGGAAGCACCCGTAAGTGATCACGATCCATTCACAGTCAGCCCACTAACCAACTAATTGCATTTATATATCCACAAGTATTTCGGTTTGACCTTGCTAGACGTTGCAGTTGAATGCAACTGACTGCATAATACTCGTTCACGCTCCGGAAGCAGCCTAATTGAATCAAATATCAATATTTTCTCGCTTGTCACGTCCCTAAGGGTTGATAAATAAGAACTGCATAACTTGGGGATCTCTGATTCTTCGCCCTAAATTATTGGGCCAATTTATGCATTGAAGAAAATACAGTTTTTCAAGGTATATAACTTAAAATTAAATATAATGCTGCTCAAAGCGAATGTGTAATCCAGGCTCGAAGTCTCAAGCTTCAATAAAAACATAATAATTAAACATATACTAAATCCCGATTCGCCCCAGTGAAAATGATGAAAAAATCTTAGTGCATTTCTCTTTCTTTCGTAAACCCAATATATAAAACACGAGAATACAGAAAATTGAGAGAACAGTTGGATTAAAATACAAACAAGTTCAATGCTCTCAGAGCTTCGTTGTCATAATTGATAACTCCAATTTACTGTGATTTGTATATGAAAATATATTTCAATTATACAATCATAATTCACGCAAGCAAAAATATGATAATTTCTAAAAAAAAAAAAAACCAAATTTGAACTCACTTTCCAAAAATTACACGCACAATAAGCCCATGATGTATGGATTTCGAAAGGCGATGCAAATATCTTTTGAATATATTTTTTTATCCCAAATCAAATAATTTATCAATTTAAATGCAAAAATGTTAAAAGAGCCTTGACCAAAGAGTGGCATGAGAGGCTTGGGACAGGCATGAGTGGTTAGGTTGCAATTTACATAAAAGACCTATAATATTAAACATTATATAGTATAGACTGATCGTCTGGTGGTAAGCCTTTGTCTGACTGTGTCATTTGCCTGGGTAATGCATACTTAAGTTAATCCTAAAACCATCCAAAGTTATGTCAAACAACACAAAAAGTGCTAACGATGCACACATCAAATCTTTGAATGCCAAATCTTAGCTGGCAACATTAAATTGATGCTAAGGCGCGAGGCCAAGTCGCAGCTGGCAGCGCGTAATTGCTGCAAATTCCCATTTGAAGTACTGCATATAGACACTAAGACTGCAAGAGGCACTTTTATTGTAGCCAAGTGCATGCATTGTATATGCTACTGTTCGATAGCTAGGTATTTGAGTGGAGCACAAATATATTGTCATTGTTAGATAGTCTCGAAGGTCTCCTTGAAACGTCAATGATTGTTTAGCTAAAGCCGGTTAATGTCAATGCACTAAGCGATCTTCACCTTTTGCAGGTGCTGACCTATGTGGCGGAGATAACGGAGCCGAAATATCGCGGTATTTTGTCAGCGCTGGGCACCACCTGTGTCATCACTGGCGTCTTCGTCCAATTCATATTGGGCTCCTTAATGGACTGGCGTAGCGTAGCAGCAGTGAGTGCTGCGTTTCCAGTGATTACGATTGTCATGCTGTGCTTTGTGCCCGAGAGTCCCATTTGGTTGATACGGGAGCAGAGGTACCGGGAGGCAGTCAAATCGCTGCAATGGCTGCGTGGCTGGGTGCCGGAGCATCAGGTCGAGGTGGAGTTCAATCAGCTCTACGATGAGCTGATCACCCAAAAGGCCATCGAGGAGGCCACCGAGGGCAGCGGCGCAGTGCCCGGACAGCGACGCACGCTGAAGTATCGGCTACGAATGTGGCGCAAGCGCACCTTCCTGGCGCCTTTCCTGCTCGTCTCGTTTACTTTCTTCACGGGCCACTTCTCCGGCAAAACGCCGCTGCAAACATATGCTGTACAGATCTTCCATACGCTGAAAGCACCCATGAATAAGTACCACGCCACGATACTGCTGGGCGTGGCTGAGATGCTGTCCACCATACTGGGCGTAGCTCTGATACATTTTACGGGCAAGCGGCCGCTGGTGCTTGTTTCGACAATAGGCACCGGCTTGTGCTTCTTCGGCACCGCGACCTATGCGCACTTTCTGAATGATGTGCCCGGATTTGCGGTCAACAATGTCGTGGTGAATGCCTCGGCGCTTGTGCCCAAGGGAAGCATCATATCGCAGGCAAATATATCGAAGATCTTTGAGAATCAATATCAGGATGAGCTGGTTCTGCAGCAGCAGCATGAGCAACAACTGACTACGATGTGGCCCGACCTGGAGCAGGAGCCAGATACGACCACGATGGAAATACTTGATACAACAACGGAGTTATGGAATCGTAGCAAACGCGGACTGGATACAACGTTGAATCCAAATGATGTTGGGGAATTTGAAGCTACGACGCTGTTGCCTGAACCAGCAGCGGCTACTCCTGCCAGCGTCAGCAGGGACGTGGCGCCATCGAAGCCACCGATTTCGGAAGATCTGTTGCTGGTTGTGCCCAAACAGGAGCACAATTATTTGGTATGGGTGCCGCTGATACTGTTGCTATTATCCGCCTTCTTCTCACATCTGGGAATACGCATGATACCCTGGATACTCATTGGCGAAGTCTTTCCCGCTGATATACGCAACAGCGCATCCGGCTTTGCTGGCGGCATCGGCTACGTCTTTGGATTTCTGGCCAACAAGCTGTTCCTGGTGATGCTCAGTGCATTGACGTTGCCGGGCACGTTTGCGTTCTATGCCACCGTTGCATTCATTGGCACCATTGTGCTCTACTTCACGCTGCCTGAGACGGAGGGTCGCACGCTGGGGGTAAGAAAATCTTAAAGTAACTATCGTGGCAGTGATTGTGCCTCACATTCCACATTTTCCTTGCAGGAAATTGAGGCGCATTTCTCCAAGAAATCAGATCTGAATCTGTTGCGCAAGCAGCCGCGACAGCACGAAAGCGAAAAGCAGCAGAGCCCACCTACAAACGGAACGAATGCGATCCAGCTGGACAACTTACAGGATCTGCATATGCCGGTCGGCTCGCAGCAACAGACAAAGATTATACATTTGCAGCAGAGCGACTTTGTGCCACAGACGCATATGGAACGGCCAACGAGCCGAGGCCCTTCCTTGGTCGGTGTCACCAATCCCGCCTTCGAGGAGACCAGTAATACGACACATCTCTGAAGTCGATTCATACAAATTTCTTACCCTTTCAGTGATATTTCTAAGCATTAAAGTAATAACAAAATAAGTTGCAAATCATGTTTAAAGAATACGTTGCATCCACATAGCATTTTTATTATATTCACTTAATGTTTTCAATTTTCAGCTTTCTTCTTTGGGGGCTCAATGTCATATAGCTTCTCCATCGGCTTGATTTTCTCATTATACAAACAGGTCATATAAACTGTATAGTTGTCTGCGGATTGGTGCACTAAAAAACCGCAACCCATTCTAGTATTCTTGTGATATGCTATGTTTGCAAATACCTTATGCATTTCGTTATCTGACTCTTGATAACTCGATACATATTCAGGTGGAAAATCATTAATGCTGCTGGTAAAATACTTATTTGCAGCATTTAGATAGTGTGATGGCTTCGGAGTAGAAACTGTGTATGTGTACGAAGTATGAGCCACATTTAAGAATCGTGGAACATTCAAACACTTGGTATACTTCTCAGAATTGCAATAATTGGTAACGCGCATAGCCACCATGGCGAGTTCGTCGTCCCACCGAAGAATTGGCAAAAAGGAGGCTGTTGGCAAGTTTTTCGGCACGTCTAATAGAGATACGCGCATCAAATTATGATTCGCTAAAATTTGAGATCCATAAACTTCCATGTTAATACCAAAGTGTGGCTTGGGGCACTGTTCGTCCCACTTTTATAAAGTAATTTATATTTAAATATGCCTAGCGAGTTCAAAGGTGGCTTCTACAAACTTACAAATGGATAATTACAGCAAATATGAGGAGTACCCCTCGGGCAGAGACCTTTCATGCAGTAGTCTGACGGCTTTCTGGGAACCGTCGGTTGTTCACGATTGTATGTTGGTATTTTAGTCTTAAACAGTGTGATTTTCCAAGCAGCGCCATTTGTGGTAACTATGTTGTTCACAATATAAGCGAATGCCAGGAAGAGAGCTGGGATGCTGTTCATCTTGGAGGTAACTTTAACTTACTACATTCTAGAATCCAAAACTGGGAACATGCGATTTGATTCATGTTCCACTTATTTAAGAATTAAAGTATTGCTAATTACTACAATTGATGCAACCGTTGCAAATCCGAACTGGATACGGCTTTGCGGCAAGGCAAAACGCTGGACCTGTTGCTGACTGCGACCAACAACAAGAACTTAACTCGGTGGTGTAGGTGCCTCCTACTCTATTGACCAAATTTCAATTCATATTTCCATATTTTAAAATCTAAAACGCCCTTCAATACTTCTTTCAAAATGTTTAGGCAGCAAATGGAGGGCATGGTGGGAACGTTAGAAATTTTTACTCAATTACGTTTATAATTTTTAAGGTTTTTTGGTTAGTGAATACGCATGTTAAGGTGTTAATACATTCTACACCTTAACATGCTGTGGGACAGTATTCGGGCGACTTATGGTTGAGTGTATTTTAGCTCTCAAGTGTGAGACACTTCATGGATGATCAATTAATCAGTTAAGGTTAGATTGAATACCAGAACTAGGGAGAGGTTCATCTAGGCAACATTTTTACGTAGCAGAAATTACAAACTGTAATAGTCGAATTAAGTTATTTGTTAACTACAGTTTTATGTGAACTTCGACTTGTAACGTAGATTTATAGCATGCTTAAATATAATATTGTATAACACGATTCTCATAGATATATGAAGATATTAATATGCTTGTACAGCCGCCACACATTTGTTGTTGTTCAACCTTAAGTTTCGTCATCCTGCAACTCCAGGAACTGTGTACATACATCGCGGCTGCATTCACCTTTGTTATTGAATAGGAATTTATAGTAGTGGCCGTCAGCGCAAATGGCTAAAAGAAGTAAAAACCAAGTATATTTTATTAACACGAAAGAAAACAAAAACTAATTCGTGTTTCAAATGCGACTTACCCACAACCGAATTGGAATCGGCACCAAAGGCACAAATACAGCGAGGTCCCTGGGGTATGGAGAATTTAACAAAACTCCATTGACTTGAGAAATACTTGGGTATCATCGGTAGCGATGATTCACGTTGCTTGTTGTCCTCCAAATTAAAGACATGAATGGTGCCATGATCCGAGGCCACTACAATCATTGTGGACTGATGATTGAAATTTATGCAAAATATGTTTGCATGATTACTGCCGCGTCGTAGCTCCGAGACCTTCTTGCCATTTTCTGTGTCAAAAATGCGTATCAATGTGCCTTTCTCGCCAGCGGTGGCCAATCGAGTGCCTTGCAAATTTAGCGCAATGCAACTGATGGCCGCCTCATGAGCAATCACCTCTAGTGGGGCTCGTTCGGTATTGGCAAGATCAACGATTTGTACATGACCGGTTCGCCGGCCGGGGAATGCGAGTAGACTTTTATTGCTGTGTGGACAGAGGACGCATAGGCCGTTGGGATTGGCGCTCGTCTCAAAGACATGCAGTTGCTGTGGCTGCTGTGTGAATGTGTACACCTTAATGACACCCTCTAGTACAACGACAATCCGATCCCGTCTCAGGCGTACTGCCCGGACCGGCTGATTGAAATCCAGAGATATAGCCGGTGATTTCTTAAGATCATCCCAAACAATCACCTTATTTGGCGGATACAGTGGTCGAATACCGCCACCGACAAGCGCCAGATAATTGCAGCGAAAGAGCATTTCGACATGACTGAGGCCACCTGCAACATGCAAAATAAAAACATTGTTAATGAATTGTGGAAAAGTCTCACACACAATATGATAATGTGTTAATATGTATATAATGCTTGAATAGAGCGGATGTATACGAAAGATGGGAGAAATAGTAGTCGGAAATTAAAAGATACGCATAACACTTTTACTAATTAAAAATTAAAAATACATAAGTTGTTAAATATTTTGTGTCTAATGTAAAAACATTGACAAAAGATAATAAAAAAGTATATTCCGTTAGCAATGTATAATGCTAAACGGTCCACAAGATGGCTTTACTTGATATTATCAATATATTTTAAGGGAAAACTATTCCTTGCAAATTATTAAGCACGGGCATACATACATATATATATATATATATATATACACTTACCTTCGGGAAAGTATTGGCGTTCCTTTTCCTTTAGTGGATCACAATTGTAAACTCGAAACCCGGTGTCTGTGGCACAAGCAAAACATCCTGCGGCGCAATTAGATTAGTAAATGGTTATAAGCATATATATATTTTATATATAGTATGTTTATTGCACGTTGAAAGTTCGTGTTCATAAATATGTAAACAACAAACAAAGTAGATGTACATACCTTGGTCCTGGTTGAAGCCAGCATAAAGCAGGCCATTGCCATACGGATTCTGCTCCGTTAAGTTCATAATAAAGTCGTTGCACTTTAAATAATTTATAAATTGTCTCGTCTAGTCCAGCACACAAAGATTTTTAACTGCGTGATGATTTATATTTATTTTTTTTATGCATTTGTACTAGGGCTGACAGCGCATGTAGTCGTGACGCACCAACTTCATGCTGCTCAAACTTGCGTTTGCAAACTTCAGAAGTGTTTTGCGATATAAGTGTGTGGTATTTTAATACTAGTGTTGTAATTTGGTAAAATAATTTTAAGTATATTAAAATCGGGAGTTTTTGCCGATTTAATATAATAATATAAAACTAATTATTATTTTAATAATTTATATTTATTCATCTAAATTAGTATTATTAAAAATAAACTTTAGTCAAATAAAAAATTAAGGTATTTGTTTGTTGGTATTATTGTATGGATCGGAATTTGTGATATTTTTCAGCATTCAACAAGCTGTCACACAATACGAATCACTGTGCATTTATATTGCTATATTTTCTAGAATCGTGTTAATGAGTTTGTTGTATGCAATTACCTAGTAAACAGCTGAAACGGCATGGATTGTAACGATCTAAACACTTTCGGAGACGACGACATTATTGAACCATGTCGAACGTGCGGCATTTATTTCATATCCAACCATGCAGTCATCCAGCCAATATTTACAATCCCTGGAACCGGTGACATTTCTAATGGCTGCATGCAGGAAATAGTGGAGCAAATGAATGCTTGGAATCTTGAGGTAGTGGTGAACATTGGTTGTTAGCCGAGTAAATGAAATAAACTCTCATAACAGGTGGACAGAAACGACGGCCGACCACAATACATGTGCATTGCGTGCATTGGCGAATTTCAGAAGGTGTTAAACTTCAAGCGCAGCTGCCTTGATACACAGGAACAATTTGATGAAATTGATTGCAAGCGTGCACACAATGGACTTGTGATCAAAAAGGAAATTGATTCGCCCAGTGAAGTTAATAAATACTGTGGGTTTATTTATATAGATACAGACGAAGAGTGTGGCAGCGAAGAGGATGGCAGCAGGCGCGTCTGTGCTCCTTTCGATATACCACATGTGCCTATTAAGGAAGAGCATACGGCTCGTGTGCCACTAGAGACACAATTTGAGCCACCAGTGCCATTACTTAGTAATTTGTCCGATGAAGCGACTTTTGCAAAAGTCAAGCCTGAGCTGCTCGCCGCTTCTAATGGCTTCAACTCCAAAGTATTTGAGAGTGCCCCTCAGCCAATTGCCAGCCAAGAGACCGATGACGATATCATCAAGTTCACCTATGAAGATGACGAGGACGACGAACCATTGGTCACACTACCGGCGCCAATTGAAGATCCCGGTGTCTTTTGCAAACTTTGTGGGCATGCATCTGGTACACAAGAAAGACACAACGAGCATATGAGTCGCATACACATGCTTAAGGATTGCGAGTGCTATATATGCGGCAAGAAATTCGCCAACGCACATGAATCACGTCTCAGGTTTCACATGAAATGGCACAAACTACAAAAACATCTAAAGTGCCCCATCTGCGGCTTCTTTTGTAATTCCAAAGACACGCTCAAGGAGCACAAACTGGCAGTGCATACCCGTTCGAAATGTGAATTCTGCGGCAAGAGTATGTTTAAGTATTTAATCAATTGTTTTGTTTATGTTAACGATATTTATTTTCCAACTGATAGCCATAAAGCACAGACAGCTACAGGCGCATCTTAATCGGCATATACAAGGTACCCACATTTAGATATTGTTAGTATTATATACTTTATACATGAATTGCTTATTTGTTTGTTACAGATCATGAAGAAGAATTAGCGCGTAAAATGCGTTTAATGCAAACAATAGAAACCACGGTCCCATTATCTCCGAATTTGATACAATGCGCCTTTTGCGTGTGTACATTTGACGATGCTGAAGACCTGCAGAACCATGTGCTGTCCGTACATCAAATGCCGGACGAAGAGCGGCCCGAACCGGAGCAGTTGCCAGCAATTGATACTTCCACACTAACCGGCCAAATAGAGTTACCAAAGTCGGCAACTATTTATGAAATGCCCATACTAGATGCTACTAATAGTACTATAAATTCTAGCAGTAGTGCGCGTCACAAAAAGTCTATCTGCGAGTGTAGTATTTGCGGCAAACAATTCGATTTAAAGATTAAACTCAATCGACATCTGAAGATGCATGCTAAGACACCACTCTGATGGATACACAATGTTACTAAAGTTTTTCCAATTCCTGAAATAGCAGCCTCAACTGGATAACAATTCAAACTTCATGCACACATAAATTATGCCATTATGTCATTGTTAATATTCAATATTTCATTCAGATTTATACTATTTTTCTTTATATACTTCAATGAAACATACTTTCCTAGAATATATAGTATTTTAAAAATATTACTGAGCGAAAAATGTTCTGCTAGATAACAAGCAGGCAATTTCATTTCTGAATTCTCATATATTATACGAAGCAAAATTTGTATTGTTAAACTTTTTGCTTAAAAATCGTAAATTACATTATGTTAGCTACTATGTATAGTTATATATATGTATATATAAATGATAAATGTTAAATCCAAACAACTGATTATGTAAACAACATAGTTTTAACAAGCCTCTGCCAATTGCGTCCTTTTACTTAATTACCATGTCCCCCACTGGCCGTCTTCAGCACAGCGGCGGGCAACAGTTTAGTATTCAACGTTTTGCCAGCTACCGCATCAACAGTTGCCGTCGTTACATTGCTCAGTTTAACACCACTGCCGGCGCCGACAGTTGTCGCCGTGGACATGGGTATTACCTTCATGCTGGACAACGGTTTCAGATTGACACCCTGCAGTCCAGGCGTAAAGAACAATTGGCCGCCATTGTTCTGCACGGCAAATACCAGATTATTGGCAGGTGTTGCAGTGGTTGTGGCCACCGTTGATGTGGTGCTTACACTACTGCCACTGCTGGCCGCGAGCAGCACATTCTTGCCTAAACGCAACGTTTGTGTTGCACCAGCGCCAATAAGCAGAGTTTTGGGAGCACTTGCAATGCCACTGGACGTGCTAGGCAAGCTATTGTTGCTGTTGTTGATGCTGGTCGTGTTACTGCTATTGCTGCTGGTGGCGAGACGCAGCAACTGGTTTCCCATGATGACCGTCTGCATAGGTGCACCTGAAGCATTGCGCGTTGGAATAGTCTGCAAGAGATATGTATGTTACGGGTGCATCTTCAAGCTTATTAATGTATCATGGTTACCGTTCCCTGCAGCTTCACCGTCTGCCCACCAATCACAATGTTTTGCGCCGTCTTCAAACCAGCGACACTGCCACCGCTGGTTAGTGTGGTGGCTGTACTTGTTTGTGTGCTAACTACTGCAGTGCCGCCCAGCTTCAGTGTCTTAGCGTGCAACAGCAGCGGTTTTCCGGGCATGACCGTCGTCTTGCCTATGATTTTTGGTACCATTGCAGCATGGCCAGCGGTAACAATTCGCGCCGTTGTCGGAAGCTGCTTGGTCGTGGTCAACTGCTGTTGCTGATTCTGGGGTTGAGCCGAAGGTGTAAGCGTTATTACATTGCTACCGGTGGTTGTTGTCGCTAGCTGTATGAGCTTGCCAGCATTTTGTTTCTGCAACAGACTCTCCAGCGTCAATATGTGTCCACCTTGCGTTGCTGTAGCTGTGCCCGCGGATGTTGTTGTTGCCGTCACCGGACTCGTGCGTATGATACGTGTTGTTGTCTGTGAGGTAGCAGCAGCAACTGCAGCTGCTGCTGATGTAGATATCGGCTGCTTGAAGCTTTGCAATACAATGCGCTGCTGCTGCGGCGAGAGATTCGCGGTGGCCAGCGGTTTGGCCTGCCCAGTCATGGTGCTGAGTATTTTAGGTGCTGCTTTTGGTAGCGCCTGGAACACAATGTTTTTGTTCGATGATATTGCCGTGTTGCCTGTAAAGAAAATAATTAATTAGCAAAATATTTATATAGTGAAATATTAGTCTCCGGTACTTACCCACGAGTATTCGCTGCTGCGGCTGTTGTTGCTGTGACTGCTGTTGTTTCTGCTTCAATTGCTGTTGCTGCAGAGTGGCGAACGCCTGTGGTGACATCTTTACAATGGTACCCGTGCCCGTTGTCGTGCCACTAGCTGTGGCATTGGCGATTGGACTTCCACTGGTCGTGTTCGTAGGTTTATTGTTGATAATGGAAACACCGCCAATCTTTTGTTGCAAAGGCCGCACAGTGGTCTGTGCGAGCATGCGTGGTCCAAGTATTTGAACAGGTGTCGAGGGCCTAAGAGCGCTCGGACTTCCGGGCAGTTGTACAACTGAAGGTTTACTAGCAACTGGACTCGCTGCCCCACTTGCGGGTAGTAGGCGTATAATATTTTTGGGCATTTGTTGGCGCGCGGGCGAAACTTTATTGGGCTGGCTGAGTTGTTGCTGTTGTTGTTGATCCAATGGCAAAATAAAGCTGCCCGTTGATGTTGCAGCTGTTGCTGTACTTGATGCCTGTGTTTGTGTGGGCGTATTGATGACAATGGGCTTTTTGATGGCCATCTTTTTATTGGGCGTGGCAGCCACATGAACAGTTTGCAATCCGCTGGGCGTGGACACAAGTATGGGCGTGGTATTACGAGTCGGGCTGCTGTTATGTCCCACCTGCTGTTGTTGCTGGAGAGTTTTGGGTGACGTTTTAAGTAACTGCACGGTACCAGCTGCTGGCGACCTTTCCAGTAGCGTTACAACGCCGCTGCGCTGCGTCGACTTAAGCAAAGATTTCTGTGCAGTCACTAGATGTTGGGAGGAAATGACAGCGTTGGCACCAGGTGCTGTGGCTCCGGCAGGCGGTACATGATATTTTAGCGGCGGCACAGGTGGAAATTTTACCTGCAATGGTAACGTTGACGAAGGCGGATGCTTCTTGATTAACACTCCTGTGGAAGTAGGTGCTGTGGATGTTGCTACTGTTGCTGTGGCAGCTGTTGTAGCTGCTGTTGCTGTGGAAGCTGCCACCAGGGCGGGCAGCTCCTGTGAGCACTGGTCAATTAATTCATCCTTCTTTGGCTTATTGTGCTTGCGCTGCTGCTGCTTTTGCTTGACCATCGTCTGATTCTGGCGGTGCATGCGCTCAAAGTCCGCCTCACTGCGATTGCGATGTAAATAGATCCAGATCTTGCGACGTGCATCGTAGCGCACACACGGATCCAGGCCGCCATGCATTCGATCCAGCGCGCCGCTCACAATCGTTTGCAACACATTCTCTGCCGCCTGCCGATTGACGAACTGCGAACACTTTAGCAGTTCGGATATCTCTGACCTTGTACCCTCGCCATTGGGCAACCGTGCGGTGGCATCTCGCACTAGCGTCAAGATGGTCACATATGGCGGCCTATCGTCTACCATGACGGCATGACCGCGCGCCTTATTTAGGGCCAAGCTCTGCGTATATATGCCCTTCACGGGTCCCACAACGCTCTCGTACCCGTGCATGCGATACGTGAAGGGACGATGTGGTTGCTCGAAGCGCAGGCGTTCCTGTCGCTGGAACTCCAGCATCTCTGACTGGGTCGCCACGCGTACTGCCCAACTGGTGGGGCAACGCGGCGGCGGCGTAGGCGTCACATCCAGTGCAGCAATGGGACTCAATTGTTGATGTGGTGCCAACTGTTGTTGCTGTTGCAGCGGCAACTGTTGCATCGTCATTGTGTCCTCCTTGCGACGCTGCAGCCAATATTGGCAGAGCGTTTGCAGACGCGTATCCGAGTCGCGGCCAGCACCAATCCATTGATATATGTTCAGTTGCGTTTTATGTTCAATGTAGGGCACATATTCTGAAGGAAGCGTGACAAAGTCACCCGACAGGAAGCTAACAGCTGATTGCAGTAATTGTGTCCAATCGTTGGGCAGTAGGCGAAGCCAATCTGGTAAGCCACCAGTGGAGCTATCCGTTCGCCACTTGTGCAGCTGCGACTGCAACTCCAGGTAGGTCAAACGATGTTGCGGCGTGGACACAAACAGATCTCGTAACAGCGAAAAGTAACAGGCATGTGACCGTTGGGTGATCGCTGTAGTTGCGTGTTCTCGGGTGGGACTGCCAGTGATATGGGCACCTGCCTTGATTAACGCCCGAGGCGAATTGCTGGTGAAGACAGCACGAGCCACAATCGGTTCCAGTTTTGGCAATTGCTGGGCAAGCGCAGATACTGCTGTTGGTTCCAATGTCTTGGACATTGGCTGTATCTCCGACTGCTCTTGCAACTCCTGCTCTAACTCCTCCTCATCCGGTTCAAGGGCAGCGCGCCCATAAAGCTGCTGCGGCTCATCGGTGAGCAGCTCAGTTACAGGTTCCACCTGCTTGACCTTGACACCAATAGGCACCAGGGCGGGGGGCTCATTCACCTGCTGCTGATTGAGACGAGCTGTCAAGGCTTTCGGCTTGCGTCCTGGTTTAAAATTGCCCACAAATTGAGCGCGTGTGCAAATGTCACGCAATCGTATGTCAGCGGTATCAAAGTCGGGCAATTGCTGTAAAACAACAAATAGATCTGTTTTAATTTCTCTGCTCACTTTTCTCTATTGACTTTAGCCATTATGAATGAGAATATATTGTACTTGCTATCAGCAATTGATGAACAGCAAAATAATTAGACATTTCATTGAGCTTTAAGTAGGCATTGATTCAAATTTGGATAAGCATAATTTAAAGGGAAACAATTACAAGTTTTATAATCAATTTATCATTTGCTTCGTCTTATATGATTTGCATTTGAAAAATTGTGGTCGTAATCGTATAGTAATTGGCTTTACTTACCGGTTGCTGGATTTTCCGCCGCTTATAGTCGCGTAAATACTTCTTGAAGTTTTTCTCGTTCAGTGGCTGGATCTTGTCCGACTGCATGCTGCGCAGCACTTGCTCATCCTCTAGGCCAGGACGACGCTTGAAGAAGGTACTGTAAATGCATTTCTTATCCGCCGCGTTTGAAGGCCGCGTAATCGTTTCTGACTTCAGCTGGCGCTCCTCGGCAATTATTGCCAATTGAGCCGCTTCCTCGTCCTGTTCGTCAGCGCTGATGTCGCCGGGCTGCAATTTCAATTCACGTGCTAACTGGACGAGCTCTTGGCAGTATCGTTTGCGTGCACGTTCCACACAGAATTTGTTTTCTCGGTGCAGCGTAGGCGTTTTACGTTTGCGTGGGCGTGGCTGCTCTTTAAATGTATCACCATCGTGCGGAGGCGGTGCCATTGTATAGACCTGTTGCAGCACTTGCTCCCGGGAAAGAAATAGTTCCTTGGCTAGCCGACTGAGGCGCTCGGCTTTCTGGAAGCGACACTCCCGTCTCTGTGAACGCTCAATACTTAGGCGCAGCTGCAACACATCCGGCCGTAAGCTACCTTCTTCTAGTTGTCGTTGCAGTCGCAATAATGGTGACTGACCGAAGCGTTGCATACCCCCATTGAAAAGCTGCAGAAGCGTCCGTTGCTGTTCCGCGGCCGCCTGTGCTGGCGTCAGAAAGGCTGCATAGCTAGGCAGTAAGGGCTGCAGGCGTGCCTGCATGTTATTGGGGAGCATTTGCCAGGTTTCAACTGAAAAGAATTCATGAAAAATGCTCGCATTTTCGCAGAGTCCGCGGGGCAAGCGAAATATATGCTGCTCGCTAAGCTGGGCCAGTTCTAGCTCATCGGATTGCGTGGTTGTGGCATCATCCGAATCGGTATCAGTATGTGTGTCCTGATCCGTGGCGTCATCATCGTCATCGTCATCGTCCTCATCGCTGGAGTTGCTATTGGAACTGCTTGCCGTTTTTCCGCTGCTGCTGGCAGCGCTGCTGTTACTGCTGCTACAGTCACTTAACTGACCACCATTGTCATTGATGTTGTAAGACCCGCTGAGCTCCTCCTCCTCTTCTTCGGATTCCGGGTATGGCATGCTGGTGCTGTTGATATTGTTGCTGTTTTTGTTGCTCATAGCTACTTGAGGATTTTTTTTAGTGGTTTTTACACAATTAATGAATGCAGCTTTGCTTCTCTTCGCACACTGGGCAATTTTTTCTCTACACTGATTTATAATTTTTGTCTCTTCCGCTGCCTCGTTATATCAAACATATTTGCTGCTTGTTTTCCTCTTTTTTTTATTGCTTTTGCTTCTTCGACTGTTAGCATGTTTTCTCTGCGTTTTTTGGTGTTTTTCTTCGCTTCGTATTTTCGGCACGTGTTGGCAGCGCTCAACACTTGAATCACGGTCTGGCAGCACTAGAAGAAAAAACAGCTGGCGCGGCATGGACATAAATTGTATAAAATTTAATTAAAATAATGATTATAACTAATAACAGTGTAAGAAACAGCCATTGTCATTACACTGGGTAAAGTTTGATCTAAAATATTAACAGTTTAGTAGGCGTTGTACATTTGTGTGTCAAAGTAGGATGGATATGATTATAAATTACGTTGACAAAAGAGTAATTCGTAGATTCCGTAATGTTTAGCAAACCCTTAAACGATTTATTTTTTTAATAACGTGTCCTAATTCTTAAGTCTGTTCCTAATGATTCGATTAAAATTTTATTTAATTTAACAACTTTCGATATGAAGTCTCACTGTGACTAAGTAGCATGTAAGCAAATATTGTCCATCTCTAGTGTCGGCGCTAGAGTTGCCTTTGCTATTATCAACATCTGTGTGCTTGTGTGCTGTGTATACCAGCAAATAAAATTTTTAGCGGCGGTGTTTGCAGTGCAATGCTACTACACCAATTTATACACATAATTGTTTTTAACTAATAAAAATCAGCTCTAAATGTGGAGGGTGAACATTGAAAATGCGATGCGAAATGTAAACGCACCTGAAAAATCGCAATAGGTGAGTGGAGCATTACATGTGTTTGTATGTATGTACATGTGTGCGTAAGTTTCTAAGTGTGAGTGTGGTACGCGTCTGTGCCAAAAAGCGCGGCGGTGGAATGCTGAAAAAATGAACTACCTTTGAATATTGTCTAAGTGAAGTACGGTTTTAGCCGCACATCGAGTGTGAACGTTAATGTGACAAATGTACACTTGTTAAAAGCCTTCCATCTATCCATCTAAACAAAAAAGACTACTTGCAAATTGAAAAGAAAGGAAAATTGTTAATGAAGAAGAAGCACAACGCAACAAAAACGCCGCTGCGAATGCAGCTCTGCGAATTTTAACCATAAGTAGAAAAAATGCAACAAAGAAAAAAATAAATTGTGCTCAATTTTTCCTTTTTTTTTTATTTATTTTTTGTTGTGTTTTGTATTTATTTTGATATACGGTTTAGCTATTTTCGAATTTGAAACGCGGCGCACCGAAGCTCGTAAACGCTGTTACCTATGGGAGAGGAAAAGTCAGACTCTCGGGAGACATTTGTTGCAACTTTGATCAATCCACTTGATGGCGACAACAGCAGCAGCAGCAGCAACGACAAAGGCAACAGCAGCGATCAACCACAGAACAAAAAATGTATAAAAACTGAGCAACCAGAGTCAAGTGACACAAGCAACAATGTCAACGAGAGCCCAACAAAAAAAAAAACTACTGAAGCGAACAAGAAAACTGGCAACAAAAGTAATGGCATTAACGGAAGCGAAACAGCAACAGCAACAACAGAAGCAGCAGCAGCAGCCGATGCACTAACCGCCGATCCACCCGTAACACACGAGAAGCCAGCATTCAAAATAAGTATTGTTCCACTGGAGAAACTGCTAGCACAGCCAAACAAGAAACACAGTAGCATCAGTCCAAGCACCAGATCAACTAGAAACGCCGCCGCCGGCAACGATACTGTTCAAACAAACAAAGCGAAAACTAATTTGAGGCCATCCTCTGCGCTGCCGCCGCGGCAAAGTCGAAATAAAAACGTATCGATTATCGAGCTGAGCGACAACGAGGATTCAACTGACGAAGACGAAATTGTTGTGCGAAAATCCACGCGTAGTACGCGCATCACATCGCCACCGTCAGATCGAAGCAAAGAACGCGCCCAGAAGAACCCAAACAAACAGAGTTTGCTCTCTAAGCTGCTGATTGACAGCGACAGCGGCACTAGCGAAGAGCCTACATTAAAGGTACGTCGCTGCGTGGTACGAGTTAAGCGTGTTAAGTTGCCTAGAGTAGGACATAGATCAAGAAGAGTTGCACCATCAGCAGTTGCAGAAAGTGCAGCAGCAGAAGAAAGTGCAGCAGCAGAGAGTGCAGCTGCAGAAAGTGCTGCATCAGAACGTGCAGCATCAGAAGGTGCAGCACCAGAAGGTGCAGCATCAGAACGTGCAGTATCAGAAGGTGCAGTGTCAGAAAGTGCAGCATCAGAAGGCGTGAAGAAAGAACACACTAAGCGCAAGATGAGCAGCGATTCCGGGCAGGAACAGGCGAGCACCTCGAAACGCAATCGCCGCAATAGAAAAGCAAGCGACAACAACTCCGATTACAAAGCCGATGAAGAGCAAGCCGAGTCGGAACAGGAAAATCTTGATAACTCCGATGTCGATGAGGATGCTAGCGCACAGACAGAAGATGGTCAGAGCAGCGACAGTGAGGTGATGCCGCAACGCAAGCGTCGTAATTTTGGCAAGAAAGATGACGACTCGGCACAGGACTCATCCGATTTTGAACCTGAGGAGAAAAAGAAAAAGAAACGCAAACGAATAAAAAAGAATTCCAGCGGCGATAGCGATGATGGCGATGACGAAAAGAACAAGAATAAGCGTAAGCATATTCGCAAAATAATTAAGACTAAAGATTTGGATTTGACCACCAAGGAGGCGGCTAAAGAGGAGGAGGATCGTCGCAAACGTATCGAAGAGCGGCAAAAACTCTACAATCGCATCTTTGAGAAATCGGAAAACATTGAAATTAGTGAGTTGGTACTGGACTTTGATGAGGAGTCCAAAAAGGCGCTGCTCCAGGTGGACAAGGGTCTGCTCAAGAAGCTAAAACCTCACCAGGTAGCGGGCGTCAAGTTCATGTGGGATGCCTGCTTCGAGACCCTCAATGAAAGCAAGCAAAAGCCAGGCTCTGGCTGCATTCTGGCTCATTGCATGGGTCTAGGCAAAACCCTGCAAGTGGTAACACTTTCCCATACATTGCTTGTTAATACGCGACGCACCGGCGTAGAGCGTGTGCTGGTCATCTCTCCGCTGAGTACCGTTAATAACTGGGCCCGTGAGTTTGTCCATTGGATGGCTTTTGCCCATCGCCGCGACATTGAAGTCTATGACATTTCACGCTACAAGGACAAACCGACTCGCATCTTTAAGTTGAACGAATGGTACGAAGAAGGCGGCGTCTGTATACTGGGCTACGATATGTATCGTATATTGGCTAACGAGAAGGCTAAGGGTTTGCGCAAGAAACAGCGTGAGCAGCTGCAGCAAGCGCTCGTCGATCCAGGCCCCGATCTGGTTGTCTGCGACGAGGGACATCTGCTGAAGAATGAGAAGACATCCATTAGCAAGGCGGTCACTCGTATGCGGACTAAACGTCGTATTGTACTAACCGGCACACCGCTCCAAAATAATCTCAAAGAATGTAAGTAACTAAAGCCACTACTACTTATACTACTATTTCTACTACTGCAATTTCTACTATCACCTACTGATACTATTTCTACTACTACTATTTCAACTAAATTTATTTTAACTACTGTTATTTCTACTACTATTACTTAAAATACTACTATTTCTACTAGTAATACTACTATTAGCAATAAATCGATTTATTTGAATAGTTTGTTACGATTAAACAACTTATATAACTAGCATTATCTTTAGTCACGATTTTAATGAACAGTAAACTATATATAAGATGTCTATTTTTTCATTTTCTTTAGACTATTGTATGATTCAGTTTGTGAAGCCAAGTTTGTTGGGCACATATAAGGAGTATATGAATCGATTTGTTAATCCGATAAGCAATGGCCAGTACACGGACTCTACGGAGCGGGATTTGCGATTGATGAAGCATCGCTCGCATATCCTGCACAAGCTTCTGGAGGGATGTATTCAGCGTCGTGATTACTCTGTGTTGGCGCCATATTTGCCGCCTAAGCATGAGTATGTCGTATATACGACACTTTCAGAACTGCAACAGCAGCTTTATGGCTACTATATGACAACACATCGGGATCAGGGTAGCTCCGATATTTGCGGCAAGGGTGCACGTCTGTTTCAGGACTTTCAGGACTTGCGTCGCATTTGGACACATCCAATGAATCTGCGTGTGAATAGCGATAATGTCATTGCAAAGCGTTTGTTAAGCAACGACGATTCGGACGAAATGGAGGGCTTCATCTGTGATGATACCGAAGATGATGAGGCGGCGTCCAATTCATCGGATAGTGCTGATACTTTTAAATCAGATGCTAGCTTACCCCTTGGCGGCTCAGATGCCGCAGGCGGCAGTAAAGTAAAGAGTCGAAAGACACGCACAGCGCCACAGGACAGCGATTCGGATGTGGAGGCTATTGGTGGAACATCAGGGCAGAAGGACGATCCCTCTGAATGGTGGAAGCCTTTCGTTGAAGAGAGGGAGCTAAACAATGTTAATCATTCCCCCAAGCTGCTAATTCTGCTGCGTTTATTGCAACAGTGTGAGGCAATTGGTGACAAACTGCTCGTCTTCTCCCAATCCTTACAATCTCTGGATGTCATTGAGCACTTCCTGTCATTGGTGGACAGCAATACCAAGGGCTATGAATTTGAAGGTGAATGTTTTGGCATTTTGTCTTATTCCACAAGCTAACCATTGCTTTCTAGGTGATGTGGGAAACTTTAAGGGCTGCTGGACACCTGGCGAAGATTATTTCCGTTTGGATGGCTCATGCAGCGTGGAGCAGCGTGAATCAATGTGCAAAAAATTCAATAATGCCACCAATTTGCGTGCCCGTCTCTTTCTCATCTCAACGCGTGCCGGCGGGTTGGGCATAAATTTGGTAGCCGCCAATCGTGTGGTCATATTTGATGTCTCATGGAATCCCTCTCACGATACGCAGAGCATCTTTCGTGTGTACCGTTTTGGACAGGTAAAACCGTGCTACATCTATCGTTTAATAGCCATGGGTACCATGGAACAGAAGGTTTATGAGCGCCAGGTGGCAAAGCAGGCAACAGCTAAGCGTGTCATTGATGAGCAGCAAATCTCACGACATTACAATCAAACGGATCTAATGGAATTATACACGTATGAACTGAAGCCGAGCATTGAACGCGAGATGCCGCTGCTGCCTAAAGATCGGCTGTTTGCCGAGCTGTTGACGGAACATGAGAAGCTGATATTCAAATACCATGAGCACGACTCGCTGCTGGAACAGGAGGAGCACGAGAATCTAACTGAGGAGGAGCGTAAATCCGCATGGGCTGAATACGAGGCGGAGAAGACGCGCGCTGTGCAGGCGTCTCAATACATGAGCTATGATCGAAATGCCTTTGGGGCTCAGATGGTCAGTCAATTTGGCAATGCCTCGGGCAGCGTTACATCCAACAAGATATTTGGCTTCCGGTCGGATATCCTGTTGCAGTTGCTCAACATGAAAATATCGAAAGATCATCCGGAGCTAACACAGAATCAGGTTATACAACTGGTGCCCAGCTATTTGCAGCAGTTGTACAATGAGATGAACAACGGTGATCCAACTATGTATAAGGATCTATTACAGCTACACACACACATTGTGCATCCCAGCGGCATGTACATGAATCCCTTGCTCTATGCCAATCAAAACCCATCAGCGGCGGGCTACACTCAAGGCACCGGGCAGGCAGCTGGAGTCGCTGTACCTGCTCCCAGCAATGTCAATCCTCCAGGATTTGAAGCGGACAAGGTATATGAGATTGACTAGATGGCATCCTCCCGAAATCCTATTATAATCACACACACATAACTCACGTTGTGGTGAGGAAGGTAGAATTGGGATTCCCATTGCTTGTCGAGCTGTCCCCATCCAACATTATATATGTTGTTTATTTTTATCGATACCATTTAATGTTAGTTAATTGACGTCTTTATTTTCATATTGGTAACAAAAAAATTCATTTGTTTTCATGCATTCATGAATATAGCCCAAACATAAGTTTATGTAGTTTTCATGCCTCAATTAAGTTCAAAACTGTCCTAATACATTTAGAATTACATTAGATATCGATACCAATTTACACCCACATGCAGCCACACTCACACATACACCCACACATAAGCGAGCAAACATATGAGTTATATACATAGATATATTAGCTATTATACGCGATCTTTGCTAAGGTCTACAAAATTTAACTACACACGCAGCAAAATAACAAACAATAAATGGCACAGAATACGGTAACTAAATATTTTAAATGCGTTTCATTCGTGACAGAACATCTTTCGGGAAAAATAAGAATATATTTCACTTTATTGATAGGTTTCCAAAGCAGGTAACGACCATACCTAGACGCTGGATCTATCATTTTCGGCAGCGTATAGGTTTCATTTATTAAAAAGTTATATGACTTAATCTTTAAATTATGTACTATAATAATAGATAATCACTTAGGTGGTAGTTTGCCCATCATACGCATTTGCATTTGTTGTGCCTGCAATAAATGTTGTTGGCCTCCCGGCATTTGACCGACGGATGGCATGCCACCCGGCGGCATACCGCTCATTAGGCCAGGACGCGGCCCTGGGCCACCTAGAGCTTGCATACCTCCGGGGCATGGACCTGGCATCATGGCCGGGCTGGGACGAGTGTGCACACCTTGCTGTATATCCGATAGACAAGCCTTCCACTCCTCCAACCGATTATAGTGTTTTTGTAATAGTGTCTCTTTACGTTGTATCTCAATGCTGAGGTCTTGATTCTCATCCTTGATGAGCATATATGGTTTCAGTGTGGAAACAAGAAATCGCTTTTGCAGAAAGAATGCTTCCATTTGGCGAGCTACATCAATAAATCGATTTGTTGTCTTTTGCACCTCCAACTCAATTTCTTCTTTATTAGTGCCGGAGTTGGGTTCCTGTTTAGTAAGCGACAGCAGACAGGCCTGAAAGGCTTCCTCAAATTCATCCATTAAATTTCCGCCACCATTTTCATTATTTGGCGTAGACATGATTTTTTCAGTTTGTTTCTTCGATTTAAATCGTATTTCGAAATGTAATTTCTATTATTGTAATGTAAACAATTATTAGGCGTTTGCAAAATAAAGCGGTCTAGCAAAGTACTAAAAAATACCACAAAATATTTAATTGGTAAGGTATCACTGCTTATCGAAACAAGCATGTGAATTAATAGATTTCTTTCTTTCTTGCGTTAATTATAATTAATTGAATTGTTAAGATATGCAAAGCATTTAATGCTTAAAACAATAAATATTTCCTTATTATATAAGAGATAAAAGGCAGGAAAATGAGCCATGTGTCAATCGATAAGTCTAGAGAAATCGATACGTTTTCACTACCGGAATACCTCTATTTCTCAATTGTTACCATAATAACTTGCGTGCCGCTTAGTCGCACAACCTTTTATAAGGCTAAAATGAAATCACATCTCATAATAAGGAGCTTGTATACAGCACAATGGGGACTTTTGGCTCGTGTACCACGCCGTGCCAATCCCGGCATGGCATATCAATTGCAAGATTTGCAACAACAGGCAGCGGATGCGAGGGAGGATTATGCCGACAATGAAGCGGATTTTATGTCTGCACATAAAGCACATCGCCAATACGAGGTGCAATTGCAGCAACAAAGGGATCGTGTTCGCCAGTTTATGATTAAGCATAAATATTTTCGTGATGCTAAGTTACCAAATTTTTTGCTGTACGCAGAAAAAGAGCAAATGCGTGTGCTGCACGAGCGCGATGCAGACGAATGGAGTGTTGATCGACTCGCCGAGAGCTTTCCAGCTACTCCGGGCATTGTGCAAAAAGTGTTGCGATCCAAATGGCGGCCACAGAGTGTGGAACGCATACGTTCCCATGATGCCGGCGTCATGAACAATTGGTCCCGATTGCGTGCTGGCAAATGCGCCGAAGTGCCAACTGAATTCCTGCAGCATCTGCAAAAGTTTGCCGAGCGCCAGCGACAAGATCTCCAGCAGTTGTCTCCAGAGCAGTGGCCAACGCGGCCGGAGCTGCCGGTACCCCAAAAAACAGAATTTCGCGCATTGCTCGGAAGTAAATCCAACAAGCAGCTGATAACCAAGGAGCTTAGCCAGCGAGCAGAGACTAGGATAATAAGTCCCTCGGAGGCCGAGGAGGAAACTTATTTGTTGGACAAAGTAAAAAACAAGCGTAATATGCGTTTTCAGGATCTAAGAAAGGCACAGCTACTACCCCAACAGGAGCAAAAGCAGCATCTGATGGAGCGAACGTTGCCAAATCCCAGTGGAACGGGTGTCTTACCCAATTTCGTGCAGAAATTTGAACGCAGTGAAATTGTGGTTAGTGTTGAGGATCAACGTAAATATGAGATAAGCAAAGTGAAGGATTGCATAGTTATACCACGCAAATTATATCGAAAAGGAGCCACATATCGCGTAGAAGATGTATATTACGATGATGATGGGGAGTTCCTATATAGAGTGCCCGGCATGACGGGCGGAAGCCGATAAATTAATATATGTAAAATATCCCAGTGCAGCATAACCAGTGTTGTAACATATGCCATTCGTGTCCTTAGGAAATTTATCGGCCTGTCGATAACCCATTGCAATATAAGAAGGGCAACGTTTTACTACAAAAATATAAACATATCAACTTTGATTGTTATAGATTTAGTGATTAAAGGCAGCGGCGATAAGATCGCTGCCCGCTAGCAGTGTATCCGAGGCCACAGTTATTTGAGCGCCAGTTAGTTTGGCCACAAAATCACAGGCTGCAATCTCTGCATAATTTGCGCCTCCCACCACAAACACAAACAAGTTGCGCAGGCGCAGTGGAAAAACATCAGCACTTTCTATTGATGCCATTTTTAAATTTGCCGCATAAGCTTTGAGCGTGTTCACTTGCGCGCCCACATGTACGTGTAGGCCGTCAATCATGGCCAGTTTTGTGGCTAATTGCTCACCGCTGTTAGCATTGAGGAGCATGGAGCAGAGCTGCGCTGCGAGCGGTATGTACATTCCGTTGAACACAAAACTAGGACAGGATTTGATAGCTGGATGGCCACTGGCGCTGCCAGACGCAGCCGGTTGTTCTGCATCTGCAAATGAGGTCAATAGTTTCAGACGATTAGCATTGGCTTGAAATTCGGTTTGCTGAAACTTTGGCAGTGGCAAATTGGATAATAGTTTAGCAGATGTTTTACGTTCTGGTAGCAGAACCGGCAAGAGGCCTGCCTGTGCCAGCTGCTGGAACACACACAATTCCCGGTGGCCAAACATGTTGCAATAATTCCGGGCAAAGCTTTGCAATTCATCGGGCGTCACGCCTACGCATAAATGTAACAGGCAGAGCAGGCGCAATGTATTGTAACGTTGTCCATCCGTTGTCAGCAACTCATCGATCCCGGTGAGCAAGCGTTTGCGTGATACATTATTCAGGATGTCCTCTTCTAGCGTTTGAAGCCGACGAAAATTGCCAAGCATTTGTATAACAATTTCGGACGCATTTAGATGACGCAATACTTTAGCTTTTAGCTCTGTCAGCTTGGGCAGTTTGCGTGCTACGTAGTCGTGCATTTCCTCCAACTTCATGTCGTTGAGTTTCTGCAGCTCTAGACCCAATGTTTTCACTTGGGCGCGCACCAAGCTGCTGGCTTGTGCAAAATGTTTGTAACGATTGTCCCCGTAGATCTCATCACAGGCGGAGTTAAGGCGTAGGCAACTGGGCTTTGCTTGATTGGGAGCATACTCCGTTTTGCCCTGGAGCAGCTGCAGCTTTTGACTGCGTATTTTGTTGTTGGCATTGTCTACGATAATTTCACCGGCACTCAGCTGGAAGACTTCCAAAAGCAGACCGGCATAAATGGCAGGTGTCAGTAATGTCGATACGTAGTCCTTATCTCTGTCAATTATTAGCCAGGCGCCGAAGTCAGGTGGGTTTGGAGACTGAGGCACTGTTCCTAGTGCCTGTAGCAACTGCACCAGTTGTGCGGAGTGGTTGCCAAAGGTGAGAGTCACAGAGGGTGGGCCACAAATCATTTGCAACAGGCGCAAACTCTGCGCTATAGACGGCAATGCAGAGCTGTTGCTTTGCAGATAAAGGCACTCATAGAGCTGCGGGTATGGGCATGGGAATTAGAAGTTGTAGGCAATTTGTGGCTTTACTCACATTCGGTAGCTCCAGGCTAAGCACACCTTGGTCCAGATATATAAAATCCCAGTTGTAATGATGTAGTTGCACCACACCACACAATCCCGCTTGTTCGAGTAGCGCATGAAAGTACGCATAACAGCTGGGCACGCAAATTATGTGAAATGCACGCAATTCCAAGTCAGGTGACTCACTAGTCGTCTGTATAGCCAGTGGCTGCAGTTGACGAAGCAGAGTTTGATAAGTGCCCAGTAGACTGCGAATCATATAAATGTGCACTTGATCGGCGGCGTGTGGCAGACGTTGCTTCGCATCGTGTTTGTAAATACGCTGGATTCCTTTCAATCTGTAAGAAGTGATGCGTTAATAACAGCTGTTAATTAATTCTTGCATATATTCACTTCAGCCAGGAAGCGGTGCATACATGCTCCAATGGCTTGATCAGTTCTGGCTCCAAGATGAGCTCCTTTTTGCCTGGTATGGAACATAGTATAGCCTGCAACTGTAAGGACAACACAATAATTTATATTTTTGGTTTTGAACTATTAATTTAGTTGTTGCGCATACCTTTTCCTGTGCTACCAGTTGAAATCCTTGCAGTTTCTTCTCCAATGTAACATCCATTTGAGAGAATGCGTTGCGATACTTTTAGGTTTTGTGTGTATCGATAATTGAATTGTACCGATAACAGTTTGCGATAAAGCGTTGTTTTGTTTAAGCACATATCTAAGGTGCATACAGAAAATATAATTTAAACATGCTATTTAATAGATATAAGTTTAGACCTTGATTACCTATTTTTTCGACTTTTTTACTTAGTCATTTTTAATAAGCTAAACGCTCAACTGTTTGATTTTTTTTATATATTTTTGTCTATATCCTTATAATACCCATACCCATTTAATAACCAATTAAAGAATAATAATCTGATTAGAATGACTTCATGGCAGTATTTGTTTAATTTGTTATAATTAATTTGTGGCAAACATTTTCATTAATCATTTAAAGCAAATGCAAAAGTGGAATTGCTATTGATGTACTTCACTTGCATTACCCATTTAATGATTAGATTGCTAACTCTATTAACCAGGAAGGGTTTGATACTCGTAATCTTATCGAAATATTAACTGCATGTCTGTATTATAATTTTTTCAATCGCTTTATTTAATGAATTTATGAAATGTACTTTTCGTTTAACTTTTTAAGCTTTTCAGTTTGTTTTGTGAAATACTCGAGACAGCACTTAAACACACTAAAGAGCTTTAGAGTAAAAAGCTTTAGATCACTTGTTTGTTTTGGGGAACTTGAAATAAAGCTTGTTTTTAATTTGTTTGCAAAACAATATCGGATCAAAGCTTTAACGCGAATCGGTGGGAGTCGCCCAGATGGCTGATTTCGCAATTTTGTATATTAATAATTAATAATTATCAGCCTGAAGTGCGATACCATCAAATCTTACCTCAACTCTTACTATCGTTAATCAAGTGACTTTATATATGAAAACTCAAATATGTACCTGAACTTTCTAATTAAATGAATGTAGCAAATTCAAATAGAAGTGCAGCGCATCTGCAGATGTCATTGAAATGAATTATAAAGAGGATCTCATGACCAGTGGAAGAGGTTTGCAAGTTTTTAAGGCGCGTCCAACAGCGGGAGCATTTTCCATAATGAATAATTAGGCTTAGGTATATTGAGTCGATAATAATGCTTGTAAATAATTGCTTACTTTTGTTGACTATAGGTCAGGTACTTCAAATCTATATATTTTACCTTATCAATGCACAAACTCAAAGTAATTTCCAGTATTTTGTAACCAACTCACTAATATGTAACTATAAATATATATAAATTAGTGGAGATATGACAAATAATCTCAAGTATATATTATATTATAGTGATTTTCGGATAAATCTTTCAGTCACCATTACAATTTTTTTTAAATATAATTTTCTAATATTCCTTAAATAAATAAAATTCATATTCTCAAGTTTCGAATCTGGATCACTTTTTAGATTCGCCTATTTTTATTTTTAATTTAATTTTTTTTTTTTATTTGGAGATAACGCTCTGTGCTTAACAATCATTTGTACAGCGTTTCATAGCAATTATGTAATTTACAATAACAAAACAAAAATTCATTCAGTTTTAGCTCGATAGAGTATAGAAAGCTTTCATCAAGAATAGTTTAAATAGACGTGCGCACTATGCGGAAGCTCATTATTAGTAGTTTCGTTGATTCGTTCGCTCGCTCGGTTGAATACGTTATTATAGTATAGTTACAGTGCAAACAAAATGACATCGACAAATGAGAATAATAGCTATAATGCCGATGAGTTGGTAGCCCCCAAATGGCTAAATGCGCAGTTTCTGGAGCCAGTGCTGAGTAAATACGAAAAGGCACCTGAGCTGAAAGTTGTCAGTGTGAATATTTCTCCGGCGAGTGCCAAGGGTGACCACTATGCCAGCATTATGTTTCGGGGCAATGTTTCGTATACTACACAAAGAGGAAACCATTCCAAGTCGTTGATCATCAAGACAGTCCCCGAGGAGGAGGGTCACAAGAAGGAAATGCTTAAGGATACCTATCTCTTTAAGACCGAGATTGGCATGTACACCAAGGTGCTGCCCAGATTCGAAGAGATACTCAAGGCATCCGGCGATGAAACTCAGCTTTGTGCGTCTTGTATCTATCACAGCTTGGAGCCACGCGAGGTAATGATATTTGAGGATTTGGTACCGCTGGGCTATACTGTTCTACGAGATCGGAATGCAACGGTCGAGGAGATAAAGGGCGCATTTTTGAAGCTCGCTAAATTGCATGCGGTTAGCTTTAAGATTCTACAGGAGGTAGGTCAAGCGTGAGTGATAATAAATTGATAATAATCAGTTCTTTTATCCAAGACACCAGAGTTTCTGAAAGATTTCCAAAATGGTATTTGCAAAATGCCAAACATTTTGAACGATCCATTTATGACAACGGGTCTGAGCAATTTTCTGGAACTGCTCGATTCGAAGCCAGAGTTTGCTAAGTATAGGCCGTATTTTAGGAGCAAGGCGAATACCCATATGGATCTTTTCGTTGATATTTCGGAGGAGTATCGTAGAAATCCACAGCCCAATGGATACTATGTACTATCCCATGGGGATTTCCATCTGCGTAATATGATGTTCAAGCACAATGCATTGGATCAAAGCTTCGAGGACTGCATGTTACTGGATTATCAAATATGCAATATCTGTCCCATAACTATTGATGTGATCTATGCTACTTATATGGTGCTGTCGCCGGAGGACCGTCAGCAGAACCTCGAGCAACTAATTGACTTTTATTTTTCAAGTTTTGTACAAACACTGCAAAAGATTGGCTACAAAGGCGAACTGCCAAATTTTGTGGAATTTCAGAGGCAAATGACTCGTCACAATTTCTATGGTATGTTAAATTGAATTAAAAAAGAAATTGAAATAAACATTTTCATTTTTTTCATTACAGATTTCTTTTTGATATCGGCATTCCTACCCCTACTGCATGGTGTTAGAGAAAATGTCATGGATATAACTGAGGCCCTGCAGCAAAATGAAGTTCGCAAAAAGTTATTTTTCTTGGATACCTATGTTGAAGATGTCAGTTTTTTGTTGGCCAAATTTGAAAAATTAGGCTATTTTGACTGATGTCGTTATTTTGCTTGATCGTATTAATATCAAACCAAAGAGCGTAATCTTTTAATGTCATACAAAAATAATAAATATTTCATGTTGTTTGGTATTTCTAGCTAACAGATTTAAAATGTCTTTTACTGGAAGATAGCGAGTAGATAACTTGGATGAAATAAGTTTGGGGAGTAGACAGAAATTAGATAATATTATTTTCTTAAAAGCTGAGAGAGCTTTTAAAATGTTGCTAAATAATATCATAAACACTTTTATGCTCAACCTTTTAGCGTTGATAGAGAATACTTAACAGCAGTTTTAGCCACATCTAATGCCTCAATGATTATAATAGTCCTACTCTTATTGCTTGTCATGATTACAAGTTTAATCAATGAATGTAATGTGAACACCGTGTGTTGAAATTGATAATGATCGAAGGCGTGTTTGCAGCTAGCTTATAAAATAAAATGATAAGAAAAGAGATGCAAACTTAATCAAAAGATTATTTTTAATTACACTTAGCATAATGAAAAAAACTTATCTAAAAATAGATTCATTTTATAGCTCTTCAAAGTAGCCGAGATGCAGCATGCGAGGAAGCATATCTTCCAGATCATCTAGGTATTCCTTTTGATAGTACAGTTGTCCAAGCTTCTGCTCATCCTCTACTATCTCTTCAGCTCCGTTGCGGAAATGTTTAATCAACGGTAGAAATGCAATAATCAGCAGGAAATCTTACAAAATTAAAGTAAACCCTTGTAAGCTATATAAAAAAGAAAGAATCCTATTTATATACTCTTACCATTATATCTGTTTTCAAACATTTGACGCCGAAACTCAAGCAAGCAAGGCAACTTGTCCTGGTAGCCAATGTGCATTAGGGTATTCATGAAGGTGTGGAAGTAGTTGTAAATCAGCTCATCCGATTTCTCTCTACGTATCTTCGCATCGAACAGCACATACATGGCATATATTATGTCGCTGGTCATAGGTCCCACATGGGCCATCTGGAAATCAAGTAGCGTACACTCGAGCCCCCTGAACATCATGTTGCGCAGATGAAAGTCCCCATGGCAGAGCACATAGTAACTGTTTTCTTGGCGATTATCGCGATATTCGCGCACAATGTTCACCCAACTCTGGATTAGGTTTCCCTTTTGATGAAGTGGTTCGAAGTAGTTTCGATAGCGTTTCAAGCTCTCCACATTGTCGAGCATATTTAAAAAGTGTCCTAAGGCTTGCGTAATGAAAGGCTGATCCAAAAACTTCGGCAGTGTGCTCATATCATATTGTAGCTGATCGAACAGTTTGGTTTGTTCGTTGAGCAACTTGTAGCTAACTGCATGCCACTTGGCCAGCTTTGTTAGCGCTGCTTGGAGCTCATCTGCAGTGGCAAATCGGCGAATGATAGCGTAGCCGAGCGGTAACAGATCCTCAAACACCATAACTTGTTGCGGCTTTAAGCTATGATAGATGCACGAAGCACCAAATGTGGTCTCATCTCCGACCTCTCGTAATATCTCCTCGAACTTGGGCAGTACCTCGGTGTACATTTCAACCTCCGTCCTAAAAATATGCGATTCGTCCAGCAGCTCTTTCGCCTGACCGTCCTGTTCGGGCATTGTCTTGATGATCAGGGATATTTTGTTTGAGTTCTCATTCTGTGGTGTTTCATACTCAACGACAGCTCGAAACATAAGACTAAGGCAATGATCTCCCTTGGCACTGGCTGGGAAGAACTTTACATCAACGACTCTCAGCTCAGGTATCTTGAAATGCTGACCCAAGATCTCTCTAATGAAATAACTGTTTAGCCATTGTGGCACATGCAACTCATCCGATGCGTAGCTCTCGCTATTGGACGGCATTCCGGATGCTCTTATCAGGGCTTTTAAGAACGAACTAAGAGCGAATCTACCATAAGCCCCAAGTTAAGTATTCCTACTCGGAAAGCTTTCAGAGCTTTCAGTATTAGTTAGTCGACTGAAATCGAGTTAGATAGGTTTGTATAGTGCAATTAGTTATAAGCACTCATACACTAATATACATATATTTATATATCAAACAAATGTCTGGCTAGACTATAAAACCAAGTCATACAAATGTGTTTAAAAGTTACATCGTCAAAGTAGACCCTATATCGAATTTAACAACATTCAAGTGTGTATTTAGAGATAACACAAAATACAGATAAGATCTAGTTGCTAATAGATAACTGTCCACTATGAGGTTATTCAATGTTTCCACGTAATTATAATGCTCTACACGTTAAAATATGCACAGTTGAAGGTAAACACTACAAATGGAATTCTAGTCATGTTTTATATATACCCGTCACATTTAAAGTGGCTCAAAGTAGCCCAGATGCAGCATTCGCGGGAGTATGACCTTCAGATTATCGATGTATTCCGTTTGATAGTAAATCTGACTAGTCATTTGTTCGTCCTCTACGACTTCTCCAGGATCGGCGCCTTGGCGCATACTTATAATCAAAGGTTGAAAGGTGGTCAGCAGGAGAAAATCTAAGAAATTATATAAATACATTATACACTAATAACAAATTTCTGAAGAACTTACCCAAATAACGGTTTTGAAACATTTGCCGTCGGAACTCTATCAAATTGGGCAATTTATCCTGATAGCCAATATTCTTTAAGGTGCTCAGAAAGGCTTGGAAGTAGCTGAAGATGAGCTCATCTGTGTTATTTCTTTGTATCTCGCCGTCAAACAGCATGTAGATGGCATATATAACGTCATTGGTCATAGATCCCACATGGGACATCTGGAAATCCAACAACATGCAGTCGAGTCCCTTGAACATCATATTACGAAGGTGAAAGTCACCATGGCACACAACATAATAACTATTTTCTTGGCGATTATCGCGATATTCGCGTACCACATCTACGTAACGCTGGATTATCTTTCCACGCATCGGCTCGAAGTATTTTTGAAAGGGCTTCAAGCTCGCTTCTTTGCCCAGCATATCTATAAAGTGTCCCAACGATTTAGTCATGAAGTCCTGCTCCAGCATGTTTGGTACTGTTGTCAAATCATATTTTAAGTGACCAAATTGTTTGGGCTGTTCCTTGAGCAACTTGAAGCTGACTGCGTGCCACTTGGCCAGCTTTGTAAGTGCTGCTTGGAGCTCCTCAAGGTTAGCATTTCGCCGTAAGACGGAGTATCCTTTAGGCAATAGATCCTCAAAGACCATTACCTGACGGGGCTTCAAGCTATGATAGATGCATGGGGTACAAAATGCTGTTTCATCCTCAGCCTCGCGCAGGATCTTCTCAAACTTGGGCAGCACCTCGGTGTACATCGCTATCTCCGTTTCAAAGATGTGTGATTCGCCCAGCATCTCCTTTTTTAGGCCCTCTTCCTCGGGCATTGTCTTAATGATGAGCGATATTGTGTCAGAATCTTTGCTCTTCGGCGTTTCATATTTAACAGCTGCACGGAACATTACGCTGGCATAATGATCTCCCTTCACACTGGCTGGGGAGAACTTAACTTCAATTACTTTTAGATGCGGGATCTTGAGATGTTGATCCAAGATTTCTTTCATGAACTGAGCACTGAGCCATTCGGGAGCATCCAACTCATCCGAGTTGTAGGTCGCGTTATTTGCTGCCATTTCAGATGCTTTTCTGAGAACAAACTAAAACCAGTTAATTGAATTTTCTTTTTTATATAGTTGTCATGAAAGCTTTAAGAGCTTTTTTAGCCAATTCATAGAGTAATAATCGCTGCTTAGGCATGAGATAGTAACTTTTGGTTGTTTGTAAAACTATTGGCCTTTTATGTGCAAAAGTAATTATGGGGAAATCGCAGATAAATGTAAGCTTGTAATTTAAATTGTTCTAAAATTAAGATTGACTATTGAATACTCTGCGTAAGCAAACGCTTTATAGTAACAAATGGCTCTGCTCTTCGTTTTCGAAACTAATAAAATAGAATAAAATAAAATATAAAATAAAATTAGTGTGCCTTTAATGTATATTAAATTACTTCAAAGATGTTGAGTACAACATCTTTAATCTCTAATAGTTAACTTTAGCAAATATTGAACTCATAGTATAGATAATTGGTGTAAATATCAAAACTTTAACAACTGTTATCTGATGAACCATAAAGCTCAAATACTCTTTTATTTCACAATACACATAAATTGCCTTTAGGTGCTTTAAAGCTATTTCAAAGCTTTTGACAGCTTTCAACGCACGGTTTTTAAGTAGCAGAGGGAACGATGTTGAGTTTAGTCAACAACATAGCTTCATCAGTACATATAACAATGGAAAGCTTCAATTCTGATGAGTTGGTGGCTCCCGCGTGGCTCAATGCTCAGTTTATTGAGGAGGTGCTTAGAAAACATGAAAAGGTAGCAGAACTTAATGTCTTGGATGTTCGAATGTCTCCGGCAAGTGCCAAGGGCGATCACTATGCGAGCATTATGTTTCGGGCGAATGTCTCGTATGCTATCAAAGGGGCAAAACAATCTAAGTCGCTGATCATCAAGACAATGCCCGATCAGGAGGGTCACAAGAAGGAGCTGCTGAGTGAGTCCCATATCTTTGAAACAGAGATTGGCATGTATACCAAAGTGCTGCCCAGATTCGAGGAGATACTAAGCGCGGCGGGCGATAATACTAGACTATGTGTGCCCTGTTTGTATTGCTCGTTGGAACCGCGTCAAGTTATGATCTTTGAAGATCTGGTGCCGCTGGGATATACGGTCGTCCGGAAACGCGAGCCATTCAGTGAGGAACTGAAGCTTGCCTTATTGAAGCTGGCCAAGTTGCATGCGGTTAGCTTCCATATGCTTCACGAGGTAAGTTTGGATAAAAATAACTAACCTACATATATTTAATGCCAATATGTTTCCACTTAAGCAACCCGATTATCTGCAAGAATTCAAACACGGAATCTTCGAGATACCAAATATCCGGCAACACCCCTTTTGCAGCAAAGGCATGGAAAAGTTCCTAGATTTCCTGGAAGAAGTTCCAGAGTTGAGAAAGTATAAGCCGCACTTCAAGAAGCTGGAAAATGATTACATAGATCGCTTGGAAAATGTAATGCAGGAGTATCGCAAGAATCGCCAATCGGGCGGATATTATGTCCTATGCCACGGCGACTTTCATCTGAAGAACATGATGTTCAAGCGGCGGGAAAATGGAGCTTTGGAAGATGTTATGCTACTGGACTTCCAAATGAGTAACATTTGCCCCATTACCATGGATCTGATATATGCCGTATATATGTTGATGAGCATGGAAGATCGGCGCAATAACTATAAAGAGCTTATTAACTATTATTTCTCCGAGTTCCTTGCAACATTACAGAAAATTGGCTATAAAGGTGAATTACCCAGTTCGGTGGAGTTCTGGAAGCAAATCTCCCAGCATAAGTGCTATGGTAAGTTCCAAATCGAAGTACCCTAGTTAGATTTAATAGTTATTTTGGAAAATTTCAGACATCTATTTGCTAACCACCTGCTTGCCAATGATTTATGCCCTTAAGCTCTACGACGTTGATCCCGCTGATATATTTCAAAAGGAAGACGTACAAAGAAGACTCTACCGATTAGACTTGTACGTTCAGGATGTTAAGCATTTGTTGGCCAGATTTGAGAAAGATGGCTTCTTTGAATAGCATATTCAAATTGTACTAATTAGTCAATTATAAGAAAAAATTACTACGACCGACCAGCATCAGGTTAGGCACGAGACTGATCGAGCTCTGCAGCTGGCTCGCCTTTTATATATGAGAGACCCAAAATAGAGACTCAAAATAGAGCCGAACTATTGAGTGTTTCTTTAACGATGTAAAATGAGGTCTTTGATTTCATGCATTGGGGAATAAGAATATGGAGATGATTATGATGGATCATCTCCATCATAATTATAATTAAAATATATATAATTAAAATATATAATTTATAATTAAAATATATAATTTATTTATAACTAGATTATTACATACTAATGTACAATACTTCAAATTTAAAGGGTAAGGATAGAAGAGCAAACGCCGAAGAGAGAATAGAAGAGAGAAAGAGAAGGAAAGAGAGACACGTTACTTTAGCACCCGTGCTCAATGTTGATTGACTAAAATTAATGATTAAATAATTCATTAATGATTAAAATAATTGTTATATTTACTCTTGTAAGTAATTTGATAGTATTTTATCAAAATTCATGTTAAATTTGTTATCATTTTTTATATCAGATATTGCTAAAGCTTTCCAAAGCTTTCAAACGAAAAAACACTTAAATAGTTGAATTGTGTTCGGAAGTCTTTCAGTATTTTGTGCTCAGTTGAATTGCTAGCACAACTATTAGTTACAAAAGCAGCCATATTACCAATAGGTCCTGGAAAGATGACGTCAGCTGCCGACAACGAGATGTTCAATGTCGATGAATTGGTGGCGCCCGCGTGGTTAAACACACAGTTCCTCGAGGAAGTGTTAATTGAGCATGGAAAGACACCAGAACTGAAAGTCGTTGATGTTAAGATATCCCCGGCAAGTGTTAAGGGCGATCACTATGCGAGCGTTATGTTTCGGGCACTTGTCTCGTACACCACACAGGCGGGGGACCAATCCAAATCGCTTATCATCAAGACAATGCCCGAGCAGGAAGGGCACAAGAAAGATATGGTCGGTAGCTCGCAAATCTTTGTCACCGAGATCGGCATGTACACCAAGGCACTTCCCAAGTTCGAGGAAATGCTTCGCGAGGCCGGCGATAATACGAAGCTGTATGTGCCCTGCATCTATCACAGCTTAGAGCCGCGTCAGGTTATGATCTTTGAAGATTTGCTGCCGGAGGGTTATACGATCATTCGAAAACGAGATCCAACCGTCGCTGAGCTGAAGACCGCGTTTCAAAAGCTAGCCAAATGGCACGCGTGCAGCTTCAAAGTGCTGAACGAAGTAAGTTCAGAAATAATTAGAACATAATAAGATAATCATAAAATTCACTTACTTTCAGCAACCCGATTTCCTGCAAGAATTCAAGTACGGCTTGTTTACCATGCATTCCGTTTTGGAAACTTCTTATTTCACCGCTGGCATGGGCACATTCATTGGGTTGCTCGAGGAGATTCCTGAATTTCGAAAATATGTTCCTCACTTCAATAAGATAAAAGCTGATTATGTGCACCAAATGAGAGCGATATTTCGGGAGTATTACGAAAACCGAAAACCTAATGGGTATTACGTGCTTGGCCATTGCGACTTTCACGCTCGCAATATGATGTTCAAGCACAAGGAAGATGGCAGCGTGGAGGATGTCATGCTGCTGGACTTCCAAATGAGCAACATTTGCCCCATAACCTCCGATATAATATATTCTGTATATATGCTGATGGGCCCCGAAGAGCGTCACAATAACTATAAGGAACTAATAGACTACTATTTCTCCGAGTTCCTTGCAACATTACAGAAAATTGGCTATAAGGGCGAACTGCCCACTTCGGCGGAGTTTTGGAAGAAAATCTCCCAGCACAAGATCTGTGGTAATTATTCATTGGAAAATTGTCCTACTTAAGCAGGATATAAACCACTTTTTTTGTACAACTTTTTAGATTTCTTTTTGGTGTCAACTTTTTTGCCAATGATGGGATGTCTTCAGCTAAAGGACTTTGACCCCGTGGAACTGATGCAAAAGGAAGAGGCACGGAAACCCTTGTACCGCCTAGACAGTTACGTCAAAGATATTAAGTTCTTATTGGCCAGATATGAGGAACAGGGCTACTTTGAGTAAATGCTGCACACTTAATTCTTAAAGAACATCAAATGGGATAAAGCCTGAACTAAAAGAAAAGTATCATTTCTGCATTTGTAGTTAATTGGTAGTTAATATAGTAATGGGATTGTTTTCCTTTCACATGATATATCTCTTATATTTATATATATATTTATATAAAATATAATATGTTTTAGATGTAATACAGTTTTTGTATTTATAGCTCGAATGTACTTTTGATATAACATATTTTATGTGTGATGTGTAAAAACAATTTGATGTCATTAAAAACTACTGTGTATACAGTGTAGACTACTGGAAGCCCTATTTGTTCACGTATTGAAGGGAATTACGTATCCAAAAAACCGTTTAATTCGAACTCCTTGACTGTACGCTGTAAAAATGCGCGATATTTTGGATTCTCAACGTTCTCGCGTCGGAAATTGTCACCAATCTCTGTGCGTGAGTTCAAATCCTCCAGATTTTCAAATCCACCATCTTCCCTGAATATCAGAGGCGTAAGACAAGTGGCAGCAATAACACCTAAGCAAAGATAGAGTATTACATATATAGTATTTTTTACTACATTTTATTTGAAACCCACCAATCAGGCTATTATTGATTAGCTCAATGTGTATATCTTTGAGTGTTGGAATGTGTCCGTCGTACTTGAGCTTTTCCAATGTTTCCCGTAGTACGCGTTGATATTCGTGTATTATATACTTGAAATGTACCTTGCGTACATTCTCGTTGAGGGAGCCAAATAGAAAATAGTTTAGATCGACAGCTGGCGAGCCCACATAGGCCAGCTGGAAATCAAGCTGTAAGAGATAACATTTGTTAAAGCAAGTCGGGGATGTATGACTAGAAGCTCAATTTAAAAAATAAAATATATTTGAATAAGGAAAAAATTAAAGTAAATATCGTGAGTACGGGCACAGAAAGTTTCGACGGGCAAATGTTTATGAGAAGTTAAAAATATATATGAGAATCTGATATTATCTTCGAGATAACGAAAATTAAAATATTAAACGATCGAGGATAAATTAAATATATTGTCTATTCCGATTAACTCATCGGTTGCTGATAAGAAAAATGTTTTCTTCTTGAAATCAAAGCTTATCTGTCACATATATACTCTGCATTCGTCACATACATATATGTACAGGGTATACTTAAAGCTCCAAAAACTTACAGCAACAACATTATCGGGCTCCTTGGTTTCATTGTTGATATGAAACATTAGATTGTTGATCCATATGTCGGCCATGTTGAACACTCTGAAGCCCTTCTCTTGTTGATCGTACATGTGGATGGCGCTCTGGAGCACGTTTTCGGCCAGCTTGAACATCTTCTCGGTGATCTCTTCATAGCCCTTCCAGTGGGCAATTTCCTCAGCCACGCAGCGTATGTTCACCGGAAAGAAGCTAAGGAAGTCACGACGATCCGGATTGCGGGAAATGGGCGCCTCGTTGAAGAACTGCAGTACCTCGGGATTCTGCTTGGCAATGACAGCGCTGCAGGCATGCAACTTGGCCAGCTTCTCCACACTGGGCAGCACGTAGTCCAGGTTGAGCAGTCGCCCTCGTTCAAAGTTCTCAAATCCGCTTAGCTGCATATCCTCCAAAATGAGGAAGGGCTCCGGAGTTTCCGTTGTATAGTAGCAGACGGGAGCTATTTGCGTCTTGTCGCCAATGGACTCCAGCAGCGCCTGGACACGGGGCAGTACTTCCTTATAGGTGAGTATTTCACGCTTGAAGAGTTTGCTGCGTAGAGCAATGGCGCCGGTCTGACCCTTTGGATGGTCCTTGACGAAGACGGAGAATTTGCTCTTCACGTTGCCGCGCTGCAGATTGAAGCAGGCGCGATGCATTTCGCTGGCAAAGCCGGCAACCACATCGCCCACCTGGGCGCTCTTCACCAGTAAATCGGTTACAGCTAGCGATTCCTCTTTAAAGTGCTCCTTCAACACGTCCTGCAGAAACTCCGCAGTCAGCCACTCGGGTGCCTGGTAGTTCTTCTTGCCGGTTCCCATTTTATTTAAATGTAAATTTTCTTATTTTTCAAGTCACCTGACTGTGGTCACAAAAAATGAAATGCTTAATAAACACCAAGCAGCTGAGCGTTAGCGGCTGTTGCGTTAAGCTGACAAATACGGAGTGCGAGCGAGCGCGAGAGCGATAGCAAGAGAAAAGCTCTCGTTGGCAGCAACTCACGTGCCCGCGACGCGAGTCGAAAAGCTCTCTCTGTTGTTAGCTTTCGTTGGCATGGGACTGGCTTATCAGCTGACGGTCAGTGGAATGGGAATGAGAGCATGGCGAATGCCATGAAAATGAGAGCGTGAGAGATGAGTGATATCTGACTTTAAAATACCCTAACCTCTTCATTATTTTGAGAAACAAAAGGAAACCTTTCAGCGGTTTTTTGTCAAGAACTAATAAACGATAGTTGGCTAATACGATTTTTAAATAAGTATTTATGGGTGTAAACTTGTGTTAAATCCTGTCAAATTGTAAGAACTTCAAGAATAGTTTGAAGATAATAATAAAAAGTGTGTAAAATATACAGCCAGCTATCAGAAGACTGCTACGAAAACAGATAACAAACGTTATTTATAGTTTTTATCAGTTTAACCAATTTTTTTATATAACAAATTATATAAGAAATGCTAAATCTTGATAAATCAAATTAATCATTCACGGTTAAAGCCCTTAAATATTTTGTTTGTGATAGGTCGAAGCCAGTTGCTTTTAAACTATATTATAAAAAGCTGCAAACGAGATAAACAAATAAGGAACAAGTACTTGACTGCATATAAGCTACAAAATACCCTGCAAATAGGTGTACCACAACATTAGGAAATATTGAGGTATCTAAAAATAAAAACTATATGATTAAAAAGCACTTGCAGCTGAACATATTTGATACTTTATATTACAGCTCTTATACTCATAATTTATAATTGCAGAGAATACGGTAGCCGAGTAGGCCTCTTGGCATCATGCTCAGTTGTTTTCTGTTTTTGTGTTCTGCGAGATAAAATATTCAACAGGCTTTGTCGCAGCTAAACAAAAGATAAATCTTGCAAGATAGTCAAAAAGTGACTTCTTGACACACATATAAATATATATTTACAGATAGGGAAAATTCGTCAAGACGTGGTTAAGTAAATAGAAATTGGAACTGACTAAAACTCTAACAGGCCACGCCTCTGCAGAAACGGAAAGATGCTCAGGGCGGCCCGCACATACAAGGGATTCGTGTAGACCTTGGCACGACAGCGATCGCCCTCCTCGCCCGGCAACATTAGCTTGGGCAGACTTGCATCCTTGTCCACGGGTAGCAAAATGAGCACCAGGTGCATAAACGTGGTAAAGTAGCCTAGGAAGGAGATCATTGTTTTGACTATTCCCGATCGGAACTAGTTCGCAAGTGAACTCACCCCAGAAGCCATGCCGGAGCATGCTCATATGCAGCTCTCTGAGGAGGGGCAGTGGCTTGGCGTAGTTGAGTAGCTTGAGGCATTGTATCAGATGTGTGTGATATATGCGAACAAAGCAATCGAATTGCTTGATCCGCAGACTGTGATGCGCCGAGCAGATGATCAGCTCCCATAGATCTTGGGCGGGACTGCCCCACTTGCAGCGCTGAAAGTCCACAAAACGTATCTCGTTGATATCACAAGCCAAAGTGCTGCTCAGCAAAATATTGCCAGACCAGAAATCGCCATGATTAAGTACTTGAAATTCTTGTGGATCGTTGTTGAAGCAACGCGCTGCCGATTGCACAAATTGATCCGCTGTGGGCTACACATAAATGCAGGGTATATTATGGAGCGCAGTTGGATTTCAAATGTACTTACTAAGCGGCTCATGTAGGTCTCGGCATTGGCGAAGCCCCAGCTGGCCATGGCCATCTTATAGCTCTGTATGCGTGCCTGATACGACTTGGATTTGTGATAATTGGCTGGCAGATAGATACGTTCGAAATCCTCCGGATATGGACCATTGCGCTGATGCCAGACCGCGCTGGCCGCATGGAACTCGGCCAGTTTCTCCAGCACGCGTTGCATCTGCTTCATATTGAAGCCCTTGAGTCGGTTGATATTGCTAAACTTTTTAGTCCTCAGGTCTTCTAGTATCAACGAGATGCGGCCATTCACATTCTCCATCCAGTGGCATTTGGGTGCGAATTTAACAGTTCTGCCCTGCTCCTGATAGAGCTGCTCCAGCTGTGGCAGTATTAGCTCATACATCTGCTTCTCCTTGGGAAAGATGTTCAGAGTGTTCACAAATCCAACGCCTGCCGCATCCGACAGCATAGTTTTCATAATATACGACTTTTGCTGGGTGAAGCCATCTATATAGACACATATAGGAGAGCCATGTCGGATGCATAGCGCAGTTATTAGGTCAGCGACATTGTCTGTCTACCGTATTACCTTAGGCTCACCTTTCATTTCAATGTCGATGATAATGCGCATTAGCAGCGAGGTGTAGCTTTCGCATTCGCCAGGTGGCGAGGCCGGTATTATCGAGAGATTCAATATCTTGCGAAAATCACTTAGCTCACGTTTTAGCAACTTCTTAAAATACGACCCATTGATCCAGCTAGGTATTTGAATGCATACATGATTCGATTCGCAGAATTTGTTGCTGTTATCGGGCATTCTGAGTGAGCAACTGGGCGAGATATTGTTCTGTACGCTCCGAACAGCGAGTCGCAACTGTTTCTGTTCTTATCAATCATGATTTTTCAGGCCCCTGTTTCGGTTTCTTTGGCAGGTCTACGTAGCACGCATAGTATGTTAGAACGCCTAGTGTAGGTGTTCCAGTCCGATCCAAGGCAGGTGAGATTGGACGCTCTGGAAATCTTATCAGGCATTGCTCACTAAACGGGTTCTCCTTGCTCAGCTTAACCGGTTCGTCAAGTGTCAACCATATGAGTCTAGAGCACAAGAGAGCCAACAAGAGAGACACCTGCTAACATGAGTTATATTGTCAAACGATGTATTTGTTTACACGGCAATTCATCACCGCTTGATGATCACATTATTACGTATATTGTATATATATGTGAGTATATATTTCGCACCCCGTTCATTAAATTATCTCTCAACAGAACTGTTGTCTGTTAGACTGCACTTAACTAAATAGTTTTCTAGCTACCACAAATGTTTCTATAGTTGTAACATACATATAAATATATACATATATATATAACAGATATATATATATGTATATTTATATATATATATATTATAGATGTAGATCGATTTGTATGCATTTTTTCTACGGTCTTCATTGAAAAGATGCAATGCGTAACTAGTTCAAACTGCACTCAATTAACTCACATTTTTCATTCCAGTTAATTGTCGAGGGTTGCGTCTAATGTTATAAGTAATATATATATATATATGTATAACTTTCCTAAATGCCTTCTCTTTGAAGATTCCTTCTATTCCTCAAGATCCTTGGCATCTTTGACTTTTTGCGCCCATGTGCTTATGTCCAATGGGTTTTTGTACCTTTGCTTTTAGGTAAATTTACTTTATCTTTCGTCTATGTATTTTTAAAAGGTAGCTGAACTTATGTGCAAAGCGTGATAAGACAACGAGTACGCAATGGTTAAAGTATATTTAGCAAATAATTGTTACTTTTATTGACATTCATTCAGTTTCATAATCATTAAAATTGAACAAGCCGCGATTGTAGAAAAATGGATACAAGTCCTTCATCACATTACCATAAATGGGATTGGAGGTAAGCCGCAGTCGTAAGTTTTCGCCTTCTTCGGTGTCAGACATCAGGCAGTGTAGATTGCTGTCCTTATTGCTGGGAAAGAGAATCACGGGCAGGTGATTGAAGAGAGCAAAGAAAGCTACACAGAAAGAAAGAAAGATGGGATGACAGCTTTAGGGAAAAGTCCACGTCTATTACCGTAAAAGGAATTGTACTTCTTATAGAGAGAAGCTTGTAGATCCCGTAACTTGATCAATGGCTTCTGATACTTCAATAGCTTTAGACACTCAGTTAAACGCTCCCAATAGATGCAGATGAACTGATCGAATTCCTTGATACGAATATCACAAGCTGCGGTTAATGTGATAAAGAATAACAGATCCAAGGCTGGACTGCCCCATGCACAGTTCTGAAAATCAACCAATATCAGCTGATCTATATTCCCATCTGGAAAATAATTAGACATCAAATTGCTTGACCAGAAGTCGCCATGAGCCAAGGTATTGAAATCAAACGGATCCACATCCAGACTCTTGCTACACATGGCCCAATACTGGTCTAAAGAAGGCTGTAATTTGCAAATTGGTTGTTTCTACTTTTAATGATAATTAACTTTGATACTTACAAAGTCTTTAATATATTTTTCGGCATCCTTCATGCCCCATGTAGCCATAGACTTTTTAAAGGATCTCTCTCTCAGTTGAAAACCTTGTTTCGTGAACTTTTCGCTCTTTAGTGCAATATATCCCTCAAGGAACTCGCTTGAGTAGGGACCATTTTGTTCTTCATATACGCTGCCCGCTGCATGGAACTCCGCCAGTTTGTGGAGGGCTCTAGTCATGTGAGCCATGTCCAAGCCCTTTAATCGATCAACATTCTGGAATTTCCTGGTGCTCAGATCTTCGAATATGAAGTGGATGCATCCCTCGCGTTGCTCCGTATGCAGACACTTGGGAGCTATTTGGATGTCTTCGCCGGCTGCCTTATAGAGCGCCTCGAAGGCGGGCAGATATGTTTCGTACATTTTCTGTTCCTTTGGGAACATACCAAGCAACTCGATTTCAGCTCCGCCCTGTTCGCGGGGCAGCATTGTCTTGAGGATATAAGTTTTTGTTTTTGTGCTGGCATCTAGTAATATTTTTCATAAGTTTTATTTTAACACAATCTTTATTTGTATACCCTGTACACATTTTAAGCTTGTAAAAGGTTGGTGTAACACTATACAAATTCGATTTTAATTTAATTTCCTTTCACCTAAGTTGATCTAGCCATGTCTTTCAGCGTCTTCGCTTGGTTGCCAAACTCTTTGCCCATCTGAATAAAATCGTCGACCTCAGAAACTATAAGTGCTTTAGCTTAACATGCTTAAATTTATTTTTATTTATTTAAGTCCCTAAATGCAATAATTATTTGGTGTCTGGTTAATCATTTAGAACAAATTCACAATTATCGGACACCTAATATCGAAGATACTTAAACTCATTTCCTATAGTGTGGATCAATGGGTAAAATAAGAGGTAAGGAGTCTTTGCGTCTAATCTGGAATCTGGAATGCTTGAAGCGTCAACTCAGCATATCGCTTACGGTATTTTATAGTCATGTACTCCCCATCTGTGCACTTTCGCTTATATATTTATTACCTTTCATTTCTAGGTCAATGTATATGCGCAGCATTATGGAGGTGAAGTTCTCGCCGGGCGGTATAGCTGCCACGGGTGTGAATTTCAATACTTTCACATGGTCCGGCTCGTCCTTATCGAGGACTGTTTGGAAATACTTTTCAGTGATCCATTCGGGAATGCTCAAATGCTCGTTTGGATTTACTCTTTCGTGTGATAGCGCCATTCGGTCAAAATACAGCACAACTGTTTCGCAGTGAGCTTAGTTAGGCACTGGCCACATGTTTTGGAAAGCTCTGAGAAGCAGACGTCGTTCACTACAGTCGCTCACTTTGTTTGAAAAAGTTCGCAATTTAAAAGCTGCACATTTTGCGAAGGCGAATGCTCATTATTTCCATATTTTACATGTGTAATGAATAGAAGAAGACGTCTTCGACATTTACTTTTTTTTTTTTTTACTTTACTTACTAGATAAGCATAGGTAAAACACCTGACCTATAAATTTGCCGCATAGGATGTTTTATTAAAGATCGTGATAAGACAAGCATCTTAAAGATAAATTATTCTGTACACTAACATCTTTATTATTCAACCTCATTCCGTTTTGTAATCATCAAAATTAAGCAATCCGCGATTGTAAAAAAATGGATACAAGTCCTTCATCACATTGCCATAACTAGGATTAGAAGTAACACGCAGTCGCAACTTCTCGCCGTCTTCGGTGTCGGCCATCAAGCTATGGATGTTGCAATCCTTATCGGTGGGAAAGAGCAATACGGGCAAGTGATTGAAGACAGCAAAGAAGGCTGTATAAAAGAGAGGAGCATTTTTTATCGTAACCACTTGAGAAAATCTCGTTTAAGTCTTACCATAGAAAGAGTTTTGTTTTTTATAGAGAGATGCGTGTAGATCTCTTAACTTGGGCAACGGCTTTTGGTACTTCAGGAGCTTTAGACACTCTATTAACCGCTCCCAATAGATGCAGATGAACTGATCGAATTCCTTGATACGAATATCCTTTGCAGCGGAAATTGTAATAAAAAATAAAAGATCCATCGCTGGACTTCCCCATTTGCAGATTTGAAAATCGACCAGAATTAGTTGATCGATTGCCCCATTGGACAAATAATTACACATGAAATTACTTGACCAGAAATCACCATGGGTTAACGTATTGAAATCCAGAGGGTCAGCGTCCAGAGTGCTGGCGGACATAGCCCAATACTCATCTACAGAAGGCTGTAGTTGCCAATGGGTTATTTATACCTTTTATAATAATTGAGTATTGTACTTACAAAACTTTTAATATATTTTTCGGCATCCTTCATGCCCCATGTTGCCATAGACTTTTTAAAAGACTTCTCCTTCAGCTTAAAGCCGTCTTTGGAGAACTTTTCAGTTTTAAGTGAAACGAATCCCTCAAGAAATTCATCTGGGTAGGGACCATTTTGTTCTTCATACACGCTGCTCGCTGCATGGAACTCCGCCAGTTTGTGGAGGGCTCTAGTCATGTGAGCCATGTCCAGGCCCTTCAATCGATCAACATTCTGGAATTTCCTGGTGCTCAGATCTTCGAATATGAAGTGGATGCATCCCTCTCGTTGCTCAGTATGTAGACACTTGGGAGCTAATTGGATGTCTTCGCCGGCTGCCTTATATAGGGCCTCGAAGGCGGGGAGATACTTCTGGTACATCTTCAGCTCCTTGGGGAACAGACCAAACAACTCAATATCAGATCCGCCCTTTTCGTTGGGCAGCATTGTCTTGAAGATGTAGGTTTTTGTCTTTGTGCTGCCATCTATTAATATGATTTCAAAATGTAATTTGTTATTTAACAGAATGCTTTTGTGTCTTACCCTTCATTTCGAGTTCGATATAGATACGCAGCATTATGGAGGTGAAGTTCTCGCCGGGCGGTATAGCTGCCACGGGTGTGAATTTCAATACTTTTACATGGTCCGGCTCGTCCTTATCGAGGACTGTTTGGAAATACTTTTCAGTGATCCATTCGGGAATGCTCAAATGCTCGTTTGGATTAACTATTCCGTTTGACTGTGACATCTTCACAATTATTCAACACGACTGATCTAGAAAAAGTCTAGTCGGGTACTGTGCGCGTGCTGTTGAGACGCTTGCGTCAACATGTTATTAGCTTTTGATGGCCTTTCCAAGGGGTATTTTAAATTTGCTAGTAAATATGTAACACAAAGAAGATGTAGTACACACATAAATATATATACAAAGCATATGTATCATATAGGAATATTAATCCCATATTTACGCTTTGTCATACATTTATAGGATTATATAACTATATCTAAATCGTAACTATATGTTATTGTACAATAATCAATACAAATTACTTTAATATCATATGTGAATAAGAGCGTCCAAGTGTCTGCGTGGGGAGTAATGTTATCAGCTAAAAACTTTTCGCTTATCAGTAGTTTATTATAAATGAACGTGCTTTTTGTAATGTTTTATATGTATATATCTACTCTTATTGCCTGAATAGTTGGAATCCAGGGTATATGGGTTTGTAAGAATGTATGTAACAAGTAGAAGCATGCATGGAAGATTCCATAAAGTATGCATGAGCTGAGTCGATTTAGCCCTGTCCATCTGCCCATCCATTGTCTTGTGTAGATGTATGAAAGCATCGATTCAATTTATTCGAGTTAAATCAATTTTTCATTATCAATAGCTATTCCCGTTTCAATGTAATCGATTAAAAACGATATTGAAGCTCAGTTATTAAAATATATATCGTATGACGTGAGCAAGAGTCTCCAAACTTTCCACTTAGTTAGATGTATATTTTATACAGTTTTCATTTTAATTACATTTTTGATAATAGAATATGTAGATCATATAAAAATCCTTAAAATTACCCCAAAAAAAATTAAATAAAATTTCAGCCAATTGGCAAGATTCTCGATTTGTTTTTGAATTGTCAGATCTCAGCTTTGCTCTATTTTTTAAATCCAAACTTTTTTATTTGCCGCCTCGAAAGCATACAAATGCAATTTATTCTGACAGACTATTGAATTAAGGAGTTGCGAGTTCAAATTATGCAAGGAACAGTCCTTTACCGAACATTTTAAGTCTTCGCATTTCTATTCTAATGCTCATAACTCCTTGTCCTGACTAAACCTTTTTAACCTGTTTATTTATCAGTTCCCGCTTGAAGAATTTGTTACGTCAGCATGATTAGTTGATTTAAATAGCTTTTAATCAAAACATTTCACTTCAATTTACTCAAACTGTTGATTTGTTTGACTCCCTCGATAAAGTGACTAAGCTCAAGTTTACTTACTAACTTGTAAATTATAAGTCAAACACATTACCTAATTCAAATATCATATGAAGAGCAGCTATTCATTGCCTGCACAAGATGATTTTTGTGAAGATCGTGATTAGACAACAAGTGCTTAATAGATAAGCCTTTACGGTCTACTAACATCGTTTTTATTCAACCTCATTCGGTTTTATAATCATCAAAGTTGAACAATCCGCGGTTATAGAAAAATGGATACAAGTCCTTCATCACATTGGCATAAGTAGGATTGGAGGCAACACGAAGTCGCCAATTTTCGCCTTCTTCGGTTTCGGCCGTCAGGCTATGTAGATTGCTGTCCTTATCAGAGGGAAACATAATTAAGCACAGGTGGTTGAAGACAGCAAAGAAGGCTATGGAGTAGAAGAAACAAATTTTTATCCGGACTCCTTAAGAAAATCTCGTTCAAGTTTTACCATAGAAAGAGTTTTGTTTTTTATAGAGAGATGCGTGTAGATCTCTTAACTTGGGCAACGGCTTTTGGTACTTCAGGAGCTTTAGACACTCTATTAACCGCTCCCAATAGATGCAGATGAACTGATCGAATTCCTTGATACGAATATCCTTTGCAGCGGAAATTGTAATAAAAAATAAAAGATCCATCGCTGGACTTCCCCATTTGCAGATTTGAAAATCGACCAGAATTAGTTGATCGATTGCCCCATTGGACAAATAATTACACATGAAATTACTTGACCAGAAATCACCATGGGTTAACGTATTAAAATCCAGAGGGTCAGCGTCCAGAGTGCTGGCGGACATAGCCCAATACTCATCTACAGAAGGCTGTAGTTGCCAATGGGTTATTTATACCTTTTATAATAATTGAGTATTGTACTTACAAAACTTTTTATATATTTTTCGGCATCCTTCATGCCCCATGTTGCCATAGACTTTTTAAAAGACTTCTCCTTCAGCTTAAAGCCGTCTTTGGAGAACTTTTCAGTTTTAAGTGAAACGAATCCCTCAAGAAATTCATCTGGGTAGGGACCATTTTGTTCTTCATACACGCTGCTCGCTGCATGGAACTCCGCCAGTTTGTGGAGGGCTCTAGTCATGTGAGCCATGTCCAAGCCCTTCAAGCGATCAACATTCTGGAATTTCCTGGTGCTCAGGTCTTCGAATATGAAGTGGATGCATCCCTCTCGTTGCTCAGTATGTAGACACTTGGGAGCTAATTGGATGTCTTCGCCGGCTGCCTTATAGAGTGCCTCAAAGGCGGGGAGATACTTCTGGTACATCTTCAGCTCCTTGGGGAACAGACCAAACAACTCAATATCAGATCCGCCCTTTTCGTTGGGCAGCATTGTCTTGAAGACGTAGGTTTTTGTCTTTGTGCTGCCATCTATTAATATGATTTCAAAATGTAATTTGTTATTTAACAGAATGCTTTTGTGTCTTACCCTTCATTTCGAGTTCGATATAGATACGCAGCATTATGGAGGTGAAGTTCTCGCCGGGCGGTATAGCTGCCACGGGTGTGAATTTCAATACTTTCACATGATCCGGCTCGTCCTTCTCGAGGACTGTTTGGAAATACTTTTCAGTGATCCATTCGGGAATGCTCAAATGCTCGTTTGGATTAACTATTCCGTTTGACTGTGACATCTTCACAAGAATTCAACACGACTGATGTACAAAGAGTCTAATTGAGTACTGTCCGCAAGCTTTTACGAAACTTGCTACGAAATGTTGAAAGCTGTTAAATTTTGTTTTCGATACTCTTAGAGAGGCTATTGCAAATTTGTTAGTAAATATGTAACCTAATAGTTTTTATTTTCTATAATTATATAAGTATTACAATTAAATTCACAGATACTTCAGCAGTATAAATTTAAAAATGTAGATCATAAAATGACTACAGGAATCATAGCTGTCCTTTTTCTGTCCCTTGTATTTCTATATGTATATATATATATATATATTAAAGTTAACTGTCTAAGAGTGCATTGAAACATCGGCGTGCGAAATGTGGTTCTTATCTTCAAAGTTCGTGCTTATCAGTTGGAATATAAATACATTTTGTAGTGTTAATAGTGACACAATACTATTGTTTTTGATATATATTTTTAATTATCTGCTGCTGATCTAAATGCTATTGATATCATTTTGTTAACGATTATCAATGTTTTATATAATGTTTAATTTTATTTTTTATTTTAAGAATTTGCTGTGTTATTAAAAGTGTTTATTAAAAAGTTATACACACACACTTATACTCACAAAGTGTGTGTGTATAACTTTTTAATAAAAACTCTCAAGTCATGCTTCCATTGAAGAAAATTTTAGGTGATTGGTGGCACACCTTGAATCTGATTTGCTTGAAACCACTGTTCTAATGATGAAATAAATAAGCAAACATTTAACTCAGGATGACAAAAATGATATAGATTCATTGTATTTTTAGAAATAGTTTAGAAATATATCATAAACATATAAAAATATACACATTCACATGTACCTACAGTGTGAATGTGAAAGTTTTTTCGAAAGTTAAGCGTTACTCTTACAGTTAACGAAATTCCTCTCTTTGCTTAATTATACTCTAAAATAAACAAGTCCAAACATGCACACAAGTCTTCTGGCCGAGCAAGATCTGAATGTGCCAAGCCAGAACCAGGTAGACTGTCGAAAGGCGAGGTTTTGCTTGGACGACCTTTATGATCTTCAATCTATTAATAGTATAAGTGCACACATCGACTTTAGGTAATTATAAAGTAATTAGCAGACATATGACTACTGACCCCTGATTCCATTTGAATAGCAAATAATTTTTTTAAATCTTAGACTTCAATTTCAGACATAGCTGAATACTAATTTACTAATACTAATTTATGTATGTTTTCTATTTACGATTTACCACTAAAATACGGCGTAATATGTTTTGCATAATGTGTTGTTGGCATTTTGAAGCTGAGAATGCTGAATGCTGAAAATGTTTCGGAATAAATTATTCAACTCATTTGTTTAAAGCAACGTGTGCCAATTGACGTCATAAGTTAACTAACAAATCAAACATAATTTGTGAAAATACTCAATGATATAACTCGAGAGATTTTAGTTATCAATTGATCTGAAATAATCCTGATAATATTAATAATAGTAATCATAATAAAAATAAATTTATTTATCACTATTATTGTTGGCCAAAATAGAATTAAAAATAGAAGTGAGTGTTCATTTGAATCTTGCCTTTGCCATTTATTGGTAAGTTTTTTTCTTTCCTATAAAAATGTCTGTACAAATGGAGTCAATCTTAAACATCTAGTCACGAATAGGGTATTCAAGCTGCAATTATGTAGCACCTCAATTAAACACAAATTAGTCATCGTGCCCGTTTCTGCGAGTCATGGTGAGTATTAGTTTAAAAAGGTGCGTTTGGCATTGGTTAAAAACAGATATATACTGATAAATTTTACTATGGAATGACTGTCGAAATATACAGGAAGTGGTTGTATTTTAGTTTTAGATGTAGTATCACCAGCATATCGAAATGATAAAAAAACACAAATTGTATACTGCCAATGTTGCTAAAGTAAGCCCTTATTGGCAAAGAACGGAAACAGCTGGAGCATAGCCTTCACATAGTAGGGATTGATGAAGGTCTTATAGCGAAAAGCGTCGCCTTCTGGTCCCGGCGTCATCATCATATCGATACTGGAATCCTTATCGGAGGGCAGGACTATCGCAACCAGTACGCCGTTCGCTGTGACTGGGCCTGGGAACAAAATGGAAATTCAATTTTATTTGGTTGATTGATCTGAATTGATTGGCCAACTTACCCCACTTGCCGTATTTCAACATCATGATGTGCAACTCCTTCAGCGAGGGAATGTGTTTTGAGTACTTCAGCAGTTTTAGACATTCCACTAAACGTTGGTGATAGAAACTAATGAAATAATCGAATTCCTTGACCTTGATGTCAAGTGATGCCGAGGTCGTTATTAAGTACCAAAGATCCTGTGCAGGTGATCCCCACTTGCCCACCTGCAAGTCCACAAATAGGGTGCGCTCGACGGGTCCCTCATCAGCGAACATTATGTTATTGCACCAAAGATCTCCATGATTTAGGCAATTGAACTCAGTTTCGTCCACCTTATTCAGATGAAGTGATTCCTCAAACATTTCCATTGGAGAAGGTGTATTCGAAATATATTTCTCAACATCCGGCAGCTGCCATTCCCTCATAGCCTTGAAATACTGCTTCAGACGCATTTCGCCCAATTGCTCGAAAATGGCACGATTGCTCTCCTTATAGAATGATTCGTAGTACATCTGGGCGAAGGGTCCGCTTTGTTCATATTTAACAGCTGAGGCTGCATGCAGCTCCGCCAATTTGCGTAGCACCCGTTGCATGTGAGGCAGATCCAATCCCTTGAGGCGATCTACATTATAAAAGTGCTGGCGCTTTAGATCCTCCAGGACAAGGGTTATGCGCTCTGGAGTCTCTTCGACATGTAAGCACTTCGGTGCTAACTCAATGTCGATGCCCGCTTCTTTGTAGAGCTTAATGTAGCTCGGTATATGCAACCGGTACATCTCGGTCTCTTTTGGAAACAAGTTCATCTCATTCACAAAAGCACCTCCCTTTCCTACGTCCAGCATAGTCTTCAATATGTACGATACTTTCTGCTCAGTGCCATCTGTGAAAGAGAACAGTTTGAGTTTGAGTTTGCTTGGCAACGGAGAAAGTAAGCGGACCAACCTTTGAGCTCGATGTCTATGATGACACGCACCATAATCGACGTATAGTTTTCACCTGGCTGAGTTGCTGCAACGGGCTTAAAGTTTTTGATGCTGGCAAAGTCTGTCACATCTTGCTCAATGATGGGTCGAAAATACTCCTCATTTATCCATTTCGGTATTGCGAGAAACTCATTCGGATTAAAAGGCTCCTCTGAATCGGTATTAGGTGACATTTTCTATAAGAGTGAGGCAGAGAGAAAATATAAATATTGAACTTGTCCTAATCAGCGATCGTTGTATTAGTTATTTAAGATCATATTAGCGATGTCCGTGATTATTTGAGTTACATCATGTGACTTAGTTTTTCGTTTATCAATAATCTGAAATACAAATCTCTTCAAAGGTCAAAGATCACATTTGCCTTACGAATAATATAATATATAAGATGATATAATATAGCTACAATTAGTAATTTAATTGAACAGATTTACATCGATCTCTCAGAAAGTACGAGTTTATTATAATTCCCACGATCTATATGTGCACATATAATTGCAAATACGTACGGCAGTTGAGCTCTATAGACAGAATTATAATCCCAGACGAAAAATAGTCAGAAACAAAGGTCTAGCGTATTCGAACGCAAAACAAATACTGATTGCTCGTTGCCGAACATCAAACGTACTGCCCGAGTATCGGGGTCCGTTCATAGAGCAAACTGGTTGTGTGTGAAAATGATTGTATATATATATATATATATGTATATAAACATATGTGACTGTGTGCCTAGCAGTAAACATATAATAAGTAATTAACTATGCCAAACTGTTAGTACTAAATATATGGAATCGTTGTAATTGATTTAAATTTTAGCAAACTACGATATGTGTGGGTGGAACAACGCTCAGGGTCGAGGCGGGGCCTACCGCGGGACCTCATAATCAACTTCATTCACCCAGCTTTATCAACTTGTCGCGTGCGAAGATTTTTGTGGTTGCTGCGCATTTGGACCATCAAAATTAATTGGTATTAATGAAAACAAATAAATGGGTATAACAAACTTTTAAACTGCTCAGGCACTCAAGAATACAGGAATGTCGCATTTATATATAAACAAATATATATATAAATATTTAAATATATTGTTTACACATTTTTGATCAGCCTAATGAAAGCATCTTCCATTATTGTAGTTTATTTTTAATATTTACATTTCAAATGGGTCTCTCTTCTTCGAGCACTGCTACACTTTCCCAACATCTCTCATTTATGTCAATGAACATTTCCAATGTGTTCCACATTTGAGTACAATATTTCCGAATCTGCTAATTATTTGCTGGCAGCGCGACTGGACTTTTTATCTGTTGATAAGGAAAAGCGTGGTGTAATTATTCAATGTGACAAGGGTCACAGTTATTATCGTTTAATTGTTACAGCTAGCCAAGTCAGTGCTAAGGCTGTAAGCCCGTTTGTTTGCGCAATGCCATTAACTATTTGTTTTTGTATACAGCTTAGATGTAAAAGCTCAATAAACATAGCGTGCTTCAAGCAAATTTTTAATTTTATTTTGTATTAAATTGTATGTTAGGCTGAAAATTAGTTTAGGAATGATAGATCTGTATACATATATATAAAAATATATTTTTAGATTTGTTGCTAGTCTAGAGACACGAGGTCATGCCAAATCCACTTGTTATGCTTTGCACAATTGGTACTTATAAATATATATATTTAATTGGGTAATCTATAGAGGAGGTCCACAGATCCATCCAGCTGCCAAAGCTGTGCGCTAAATGTAAAAGTCATTTTCCAATTGCTCCGCTCCAAAGTGCGTAGTTATCTAAATTTGGTATTTATATCTATATCTGTGCTATACATGATTTTATATTTTAAGTTCTAGTTTATGGATGCAATAGCGCCATAAATAAGACTGAATTCCCGACTTGCAACGCACCTAGCGCTTTATCAGACGAGATTACAAATACATAAGTTTCAAGTATGTGAACGATTGTAGAAAATAATAATTTGCCGATTTGATCTTGATCAAGACGTTGGCGTGGTGCTTGAAATTCAATTTAATTGAACTTGTAGAGTAATTAATAGTCGTATGCCTCTCAAGCCGCTGCACCTTCAAGCTGTATCCAGTTGCAATTCCCCTAGTGTAACCTAATATGCACTTACGTGTTTTTAATTGAAATTCTAGACGAGCGGCGCAAACAAATTGTTTCCATAAAAAAATAAAAATGTGCGCTAGCAGATGTAATTAATTGATATTAGGTGCATGTTATGATATATATAAATATCCATTTAGATGCAGAACATATGTTCTATACTTGGTAAGCTTTCTCGGTAACGCATTCCGGATCGAGATGCATAGCTGCTGGTAAGCACTGTATATTTTATATAATTATTATATATATTTTAATTATTTGTTCTTGCCTTGCCGTGATCCTTGTTAGAGGGCAACCAAACAGCAATTAACTGTATCTAGGTCTGGTAACTAATTGGAAATTATATTTCCTCTGGCAAATTGCTTTTGCTCAGCATAGTCGATGGTAATTGCATAGATGAGAATCGCCGAGTAAGGTCCGCACTGAAGTAAGATGATTTTTTCTTAAATATATATATAATTCGGTCAATCATTACGCGATTAAATATACAAAATAATTTAAATACAAACAAGCTAATTATATGGAAACGAGTTTTTATGCCATGACTATAAAAAAGCAAAATTTGTTTAGTTAATTGAGCTCGGGCAAAGTGTCTCTTTTATTATTATTCTCAACATGCTTTTATTTCGTATAATAGTAAAACATTTTGTAGCATGGCGTGATCAAAATTTGATCCATTGTTAAAATTTTAATAACTCATTACGAACCGCACTGCGCATTTGAATTGTAATTATTTCCAGTCGAGCAGACCGCGATTATCCAACCATGGCAGAATTTCGTTCATTGCCTGAACATATTTCGGATTGGTGTACATGGCGGCCTTCACCTTGGCGTCGTCATTCTCAAAATTGGAATGATCGTTTTTGTCCAGCATGACAACGGGCAGAACCTTAGAGACGACCAAGTAGGCTAACAATTGCAAAGATATCTTTATATAGAGTTCACATGGATATGTCTATGTGGTATACTCACCCGCCAATCCATTGCGAAAGAGAGATGCGTGCAAGTTCCTCAACTTGGGCAAAGGCCGATGATATTGCAGGAGCTTCAGATTGCCCACCAACTGGTCGAAATAGTAGCGTACAAAGTAGTCAAACTGATTGGTCTTGATCTTGGGCGCTGCCGAGGAAAGTATCAGATAATACAGATCATTTGCTGGGGAGCCATAGTTGCAGACTTGAAAGTCCACGAAGAGCGTTTCCTTGATCTTGCCAAAGGCATCGTACAGGAACATAATATTATAGTTCCAACAATCGCCATGATTGAGCACATTGAACTCCCGCGTGGACACCTGTTGATCCTGCAGCAGGCGGTTGACCAAATACTCATCGCTATTCGCCTACAAATGAGAGAGAGGCAGAGTCGTAAGATGAATTGATCTATAGAAAATATGTATATATATATATGTATAGCTTACCAACTTCTGATAGATATTTTGACAGTTTTTCCACTTCTTGAGCTGCGCTAGAAATGCGCCCGATGCATTGAACTCCTGCAGCAACTGGCGATTGGCTTCACTGAATACGCCCACTGTGAAGTCCTCCCCGAATAAGCCATTGTGCTCCACATAGCAGGCGGAGGCGGCATGGAAGGCAGCCAGCTTGGTAAGCACCTGCTGCATATGCTCCTGATCTAGGCCAGCCAAACGATTGGCATTCTTAAAGGACTTCGGCTTCAAGTCCTCCAGCAGCACATAATCCACGCCCAAATCCTGATCGAGCTTATAGGCGTTCGGAGCAAATTGGATTTTCTTGCCTACCTCGGCATAGAGCTTTTCGAACTTGGGCAGAAGGTCGTGATACATTTGCTCCTCCTTCTGGAAGAGACGCAACTTGTTGAGTATGGCGGCCATTATCTCGTTGTTATGCTGGGCCTTCAGCACAAAGGACACCTCCTTGCTGCTGTGATCTGCGCTGGTTAATCAAGGATTGCAATTGTTAGTCACACACCCAGATGTTCCGTTCAGCTTACCCAGCAGCTCGACTTCCACCAGCAGGCGCACTATCAGCGTTGAGTAGTTGTCCCCAGCATTGGCCGGCTGTGGCGTTACTGATCGTATCTTCTCAAAGTCCCCGATCTGGGCGCGCACTGCATTCTGCAGCGAGATTCTGGGCAGCCAAGGCGGCAAATTGGGGTCCGACGACTCGGCGTGTCCATTCGTTTGTGGGACCTCAGACATTTTGAGTGCTATGAATGTTTAATCAAAGTTAAGTTGAAAGAAGTCAATTTAATCGCTTCGACTTAAAGATTACAAATGTGATATGGTTCCAATAATTTAGCCAAATCTGGATTCTAAAATACACTGAAATTCTATCAACTGATTGCGACTTCTACTGCATCTGAGTTAGTTGTAAATCAGTTCTTTTTAATCGGCTGTTCTCTTATAGATCATAATTGGAGATATGCAGACGCGCCCATGTACAATTTAGAAACTATTTATTTTTTGCTATCCCACCCAGTTCTTTGTCATATTTTATGATAGTAAAATATGATCTCAAGTAATTAGGTATGCAAATATCTGGTCTTATGACTTTATATTTGCCCACTCCACAGCTATCTATACGTTTTTATAGCGTATTCTTCACTCTGATATCGATAAGATTTTTCTACAGAAATTGGTTAACCTAAAGGGCTCCCAATCATTTTAATCATTGGGATTCCCTTCCAAACGGTAAGTGTAATAAAATAATACCAATAAACTCTACTGTTGCACTATTGTACTTTAACGACTTCTCCAATACAACTAACAATGAAAATTGAAAACTGGGGAACCTTATCTATAACGCCAGATAATAATAACAAAAAAGTCAATAAAAGGAAGCTAAAAAGAAAACGTTGACGAAATATATGTATTTAATGATTGACTCAGGATAGTTTTAAAATATTTACAATCTTTTAAATAGGAATAAGTCAATATTTTGTATACTACACATTATGAACATCTATGAAAAACTACAGTTTTTGCTGATGAAACGGCCGAAGGAACTTTAATTATATATATATTTATATATGCAACTGTTGTTGAATTGTTTTAGTGCTTAGTCCCACTACTACTTCATGAGAAAAGAGGAAAGTAACCTTTATATGCATAGGAAAAAACGCTATAAATATATTTCAATTAACTGACGACCAATTTGGATTTTGAATTCAATCGGAAAACTTGCTGGTTGACCATTTCAGTGAAATGGATTGGCTTTCATAGACTAATACTGATAATTGTTTTTATACATATATATATATTTTTTTTTTTCTAAATTGATTAGATCATTATCAAGTCTAATGGCACACACAGTTTTATCGCACACAACTCGTAAATCTGATCACATGTCGGTTATATGTACTTTCAGTGGAAAAATCTCTTTTTAATCACTTTCAAATTCAAAAACGTTTACTCATCCACCTTTATGGGAAAAACTCTTTAAGGACACGCCTTCATATTAGTTTTTGAAGATTTGTAATTTCATTAAATTTAATTTCAATTTTGCTTTTCTCTTTTTCTTTTATAAAATTTTTTTTTTGACTTGTTAACTGCATCTGGAGCGTGAAAGAACTGTTTCAACTGTTTTCAGAGACGATATCACAGCAGCCCCGCAAAGTTGATTGTTAGATAGACACACAAACCTTTTTCCTTAATTAACGACGAATGAGAAATTGTTCGCACAATCGAATGCAGTTCGGCCAACGGCTGATTTCAAATTAGGTCCGGGCGTTAGGCATAAGACTCTGCTTGGCCCGATTTGGAATTGGCCAAGCAATTCGTTATCGCATCGGTGTTCAATTAGAGTTGATTTTGTAAATTGTTATTCGCAAAAACCCGGCATAAAGAGCGTTAAAAGCACACAATTTGGGCTAATATGATTTTTTAATAAACATTTGATATGGGGCGTCGCCAATTTCTCTTTTGATAAGGCCCGTAAGGAGGGTCTCGGCATTTCCACTTCCACTCTTCTTTCGCTTCGTGCTCTAATTATTGGGTGATTCTTTATTAATTGCTTCTGCTCGTATCGTGCACTGTGATTCAGTTGGACATGTGATAGACAACAATCGGCGTACTTATGATTGTATATATACATAAACATATATGTGGGGTATCTCTATCTTGAATGCCAAGTGGTTTGTACAGCTTTTTTCGTTTTATTATATTGTTCAGGTAATACCTTAAAAGGTGACTCGTTCAAGCCATGCCAAACCAGGCAGAACAACATTTTCTCTACAACTACAATCTACCTGCTAGGCAAACCCCCTATCGAACAGACTTTGATTGGAAATACATCAAAAATGCATACATTGTGTATTATTATGTGCATCTATGAAATATGAAATATTTAGCATATGTAAAAGCTCGATATATAAACTGAATTATTATAAATAGAATATAGAAAGATTTAAGGAAAATGCATATATATCTATGTTGTAAGAAAATATATATATTTTTTTTTATTATTTTACAACTTTGTTATTATCTCATTGCCAATTGTTTAGATCTTTAAAAGTCTACAGGTTTCAGGATATTAGTATTGCAGAGCACCACGATTAAATAGCCAGGGAAATATAATGCTGACATGTCTCTTATATCGGGTATTCGTAAACATTTGGGTTCTTAGACCATCGCCATCCGATGTTTCTGTAACGAAATCCTTCAGATTGGCATCATCAGTGCGATCGAGCAGTACAGGTGGGCAGAGAATCAGACAAACTTGGTACCCTACGGAGACAGAGATAGTATTTTGATCATAATAATTATTAATAGATCGCAGTATCTCACCAACGAAACCATATTTAAGCAGTTGAGCGTGCAGAGAGCGCAGCGTTGGAATCTTTGCTTGTGGATACTTGAGTAAAGTTAGGTGCTCGACCAACTGATCGTGATAGTACTTGATGAAGTAGTCAAAGTGACTCAACTTGAGCTCAAATTGTGTAGAGGCGAGTAGAAAATATAAAAGATCATATGCTACTGTGGTGTAGCGCGGCGCTTGGAAGTCCACGAGGTAAGTGGCAACGGGCACAGGCGACTCGTCCTGGTACTTGAAGAGTATATTATTGGTCCACAGGTCGCCGTGACTCAGTGCATTGAAGTCTTCTGGATCGGGATAATTTAAGCTAGACATAAGCTCAACAATTTTGGGCTGTATGTTGTGCTGCAAAGATTAGAGAAGATAAGATAAGATATTTGAAATATATATATCTCAATCCTACCACCGCCTCGCTGTAGCTCTCATAGCCTTCGTAGTTGGGCAAACAATGGAGCAACACTTTGCCCAGGGTATCGACCATATCTTGCAGCTGAGGTCTGATCGCATCCGAGAAGTTGGGCTTTAGAAAGTTCTGCGTATAGGCGCCCTTTTCCTCAATGCGAGTCGCTGAGGCAGCATGCCACTGGGCCAGCTTGGTGAGAACTCCCAAAACATGAGCCTTGTCCAGGCCTAGCAAGCGATCCGCGTTCTTAAAGCCGCTTGGCTGCAGATCCTCCAGCAGCACATACTCGTCGGGTGCATCTATTTCATAGCCAGTCGCACCGAATATCACATCAAGACCCACATCCTTGTACATTTGCTCCAATTCGGGCTTGATGTTAAGGAACACATCCCTCTCCACGGCGAACATGTTGTTCTTCTTCAGTACCTCACGATACATTTCAAAGTCGTGCGGCGTTTTCAGCATAAGACTTATTTTCTCAATCGTATTATCTTTTGATTAACCTTGATCTATAATATTTAGTACTTTTAGCTATTGTCTATGATTTACCTGCTAGCTGTACCTCGAAATGCAAACGCAGCATAATCGTGGAATAGTTTTCGCCTGGCTTGAGACCGGCTACCGGCTTAAAGCTCTTGATGCGACGAAAATTCGGAAAGCGTTTCTTCAGAACATCTTCAAATAGTTCCTGCTTCAGCCAGGTGGGAACCTGCACACTCGCTTCATCTGTCATGGCTAGTTAGACCTTTAAATTGCACTGTCAAATTGCGTTACTTCAAGTCGAAGTAAATATTGATTGCAACTGTGCTTTTACTATCTAATCATTAAGCGTAACGATTTCGATTATACCAATGTCATATGATAAAATATATAAAATAATATGTATATATATATATATGTATATATCTGCAAATGAGCTTAAATTCTGCAATAGTTGACTTTGCTGGCACCTATAATGCTACTGCTGATATTTGTGCATTCGACAACTGGTTTTGTCAACCAGCCCTAACAAGAGCTTTTAAGAGCTTGCTCATTGTGTGCACTGAGAGTCAGCAAATGTTTGTTTGGCACACTGAGAAAAAGTTTGAGAGAGAAAAGTTTCGCTCGAAAGCTTATCACTCAAAATTCTCTCTCATTCTCTCTTTCTCTTAATCTATACACAAAGATCAGAAGTGATTTATTTTTCGGTTAGCAAAACAAACAGAAAGCTTTTTGCGTGGTTTTGTGGACACAAGACGCCGTAAAGTGCATATCACTGGAAATGCAATCAATTAAGACAATAGAATGTGAAAGCTCACTATTGCTAGAGCTTTTTGATTCGAGGAGCCTTAAATTTATCGTCTATATTTAATAGATTTAATATGTTTTTATTTATAGCAAAAATGTGAAAGAATAATAAGAAATAATATTAAACTTAAAAACTTGAACCGCGCATGGCAGAGTAATTCTGTCAGAGAAAGTAAACAATTTCAGCTTAAGTTCTGACGCGTATTTTTCAGATATCGTGTTTCCAGTTCTTAGAACATGCAAATTTATTTTTGTTTGTATGTACGTAGGTATGTATGTCAATGAATGTTTGTTTTGATACTCAGATTCTGCTTGCATTTGCTGAATTTGTTTGTTTTATTTGTTAAAAACATTTTATATTTTATTAAAACTTGCATTAACATTAAAAAGCTTTTCTCTCTACAAAAATATTGTCTATAATATAGTGTAAAATTATAGAAATATATTAGTTTTAGTTAGCAGATATAGATATTAAATATTTCACAACATGGAACTGCATTTCGAAGTGGAAGACCACTGTCAAGTTAATAATACTTGCTTAAGTAATCAAATATCGATAAGATATATCAGAAATCAAGATTACAAATTTTGGTATTGAATTCACAATTGTTTTACGTGACTATTTATATCTCCAGAGCCCCACGGTTGAATAGCCAGGGCATTACCGCTTGGATATGCTTGCGATAGCGTGCATTGGAATAGAGGAGGTTCTTGAAGTCTAGGCCCTCAGCTGAATCACTGAGAAAGTTCTCAGCATTGGCTGATTCTGTGGGATCCAGCAAAATGCCACTCATAACAGACGTTGCGGTGATGAATCCTACAGAGGGTCGAAAGTTCGTTTAATTAGGAAAAACTTTCTTCCAATTAATAATAATACAAACCCCAAAGTCCATGCTTGAAGAGGGATATGTGTAAATCACTTAGTCTGGGCAGGACTTTTGGATATTTCAGTAGCTTAAGATTTTCCGAAAGGCTTTCATGATAGAACTTGATATAGTAATCGAACTTAGTAAGCTTATCCTCGAATTTGGTCGAGGACAGCAGAAAGTAATACAAATCCTGTGCCACAGAGCCGAATTTCGGTAGCTGGAAGTCCACAAGACAGGTCTCCTTGATTTTGCCAAAAGAATCGTGGGAGAACATCATGTTATTGCTCCAAAAGTCACCATGATTTAGTGCATTGAACTCGTTGGGATCGAGTTTGGAGCTTTTAAAGACTTCATCGGTGATCTTGGGCTGTAGAGCTCGCTATGAAGGAAGATAAAAATTATAGGGTATATCGATAGTCGGTACACAATATTTACCACTTGCTCCAAGTACTCTTCACTGCCTTCGTAGGTGGCACAGCTGTTGAGAAAGTTCGTAGCCATTTGTTTGTTTATCTCGGCCATCATCATTTTGTTCTCCTCCTTATAGAAGCCCACCATAAGCTGATCGGGATAGGCGCCCTTGGTGGCCACGCGCACTGCGGATGCGGCATGCCACATGGCCAGCTTTTGCAGAGCAGCTTCAGTGTGCATCTGATCCAGACCCTCCACACGATTTAAGTTCTTGAATCCCCTAGGCGACAGATCCTCGAGCAGTATATACTCGGTTTTGGCACCCTTCACCGCATAGGCCTGAGCGCCGAACTTGATGTGTACACCAGCGTCCCGATACAGTTGCTCCATTTCGGGCACATGGATATTGTACATATTGCGCTCAATATCAAACATATTATGTTGCCGCATCATCATCTGGAACATTTCCGATTGGTGTGGCACCTTCAGCATGTAGGATACAGACTTCTCGGTGCCATCTGAAATTCACATACACAAATGATTCACTTAACATATTAGATTACCTCTAATATAATTGAGCACAAATTCAATTACCCTCCAGCTCGACATCTATGTTCAAGCGTAGCATAACCGTCGAATAGTTCTCGCCAGCTCCTACTCCGCTGTTTGCCTTGAAGCTCTTGATTTTGGAGAATCCCTTGACTGATTCCTTTAGAACATCCACAAATGACTCAGGCTGCACCCAGTCGGGAACTTTACCGGCGATTGTATCGATCTTAGATTCAGCTGACATTTTTTATTACTTTTTCTTTATTAAACAATCAAAATGGATTGTGTAGTTATCCGCTGTTGTGCTTCTGATGCTCACCAACGAGCTTCTAATGGCACTTGAGCTTTTTTGCTCGGTTTATAGATAGAAAGCTTTCTGAGATCTCTTTACCAACTGGATTTGACTTTGACATTGACTAGTTCGCTCTTTACTGACAAATCATTGCGATCTCTTCTCATAGTCAGGGCAAACGCTTTCAAAGTTCAGCTCTTAAATATCAGGGTTGAATTTTGAGCACATCTACGGAAGCGTATTATATATGAAAGGTTCTCTTGTACAATATACAAGGAATAATATATCTGTGCTATTGAATGTCAAACCCCATACGGTATATATATTCTTCATTCCTATGATCAAAAGCTGTAATGAATAAACAAATAATTCATAGCAAATAAATAACTCAGTTTGGATTTCCTTTCCACCAAAATTTATCACATAAATTTATTGTCAATCAAAGATATTTTTGCTTTTAAATAAATACAGATTGGGAGGTCCTGTTCGGCCACACCCGACTAGAGCACTGTTGCCTCTTAGTAATTGGCAGACATTAACAGTGGGTATTATAACTATTTTTATAACTTTTTAAATATAAGTTCAATCAGGATGTAAATATATATTGAATGTGTATTAAATTTGTCCCTTATTTACAGCAAACTACTCAGAATCCCTGAAGCGCGCCACGATTTAGCAACCATGGCAATACGGCCTGGATATGTTTCAGATATCGTGGATTGGTATAGAGTAGGTTCTTAAAGACGGTGCCCTCCGTGGAGTCGCTGATAAAGTTCTCAAAACTTGCCGTATCCGTAGATTCGACCAGAACAGTGCTCATTGCGCCAGTGGCTGTCAGGTAACCTAGAAAATGGTGAGAACATAGAATTATAGCCCGAAAGAGCATAGATATAATTATTGTCTACTCACCCCAGAAGCCATACTTGTAGATCGTTATATGCAGTTCGCGGAGTAAAGGCATGCTCTTAGGATAATTTAATATGTTCAGATACTCAACTAGATTATCGTAATAGAACTTAATATTGCTGTCAAATTTGGTAAGCTTATTTTCGAATTTAGTCGAAGAAATCAGGAAGTAGACCAGATCTTGAGCAACACTGCCCCACTTCGGCACTTGGTAATCCACTAGCATAAGGTCCTTGATCTGGCCAAAGGCGTCGTAAGAGAACATCATATTGTTGCTCCAAAAGTCCCCATGATTTAGGACATTTAAAAAGTTTGGGTCTACTTTGGCCATTTTGAATATTTCTTCAGTTATTTTGGGTGCCAACTCTACCTGATAGATCAACAAAGATATAGTTATAGATCCAGTTATGATATTATTTTAACCGCCTTACTATTTTGTCTATGTAATCCTCGTTGTTTTCGTACTGCTTACATGCTTTAATAAAGTTCTGAGCAAGGCCTTTGTTTACCTCAGTTAGAATTGGGAGTAGTTCTTCCCTGTAGTAGGAACGCGTTATGTAATCGGGATAGTCACCCTTGGTAGCCACGCGTACCATGGATGCGGCATGCCACATCGCCAGCCTTTTGAGGGCGCATTCAACGTGCACCTGATCCAGGCCCTCAATGCGATTAGTGTTCTTGAAGCCTCTAGGTGCCAGATCCTCGAGAAGTATATAATCTGATTTGACGTCCTTCAGCTCGTAGGCATTGGCACCAAATTTCACTTCTAAACCAGCATACCGATAGATTTGCTCCAGCTCAGGTACTATGGTCTTGTACATGTCGGATTCATTTGTAAATATATTATTACTCTCCATAAATTTCTTAAAGATCTCCATCTCATGTGGCACTTTGAGCATATACGACACGAATTGCTCTTTACCATCTGTAACAGTTTCACATCATGAATTTTCCCGCTAAATGTGTTGTAGAGTTTTCATACTCTCTAGCTCGACAGCTATGCTCACACGAAACATTATTGTCGTATAGTTTTCACCGGCTGCTGATCCGCTGTTGGCCTTGAAGCTCTTGATCTTGGAGAAGCCATTGACCGTTTCCCTCAGCACATCCATAAATACCTCGGGCTGCACCCAGTTGGGCACATTCCTACCTGTGGGCTTGGGCTTTGATTCAGCTGACATTTCAACTTGATGTTTGAGGTAACCAAATAAGTTGCACTGTCGTTGCACAGCTGTGTCTACTGCAGTTAACTGTGCGTTTCTAATATTCCAATAGCTTTTGCAGCGCATTTATTTATACTGCTGCTCGTTCCCGAACGTAAGCCAGAAGTGCTCAAAGTGTGCTATCTGAACTCAAAGTTGAGCAGAATGCAACTACTTCTAACGAAACTAGTAGAAATGCTCTAGTCGGGAGTACCCAACTTAAAGATACCTTGCGCCATGTAAGTAGTTTGATAACTTTGACATTGAAAGGAAAAGTCAGGGAAATAAATGCAGAATCCGTCACTTTCTGGGTACCAAATCATATTTGGAATAAGTAATATAAATTTCGGAGATGTATACAGAAACAGAAATCATAATTTGAGTATTCTTATATACATAGAAATTCTTTTTTTTGTATAGGACAAACATGACTAGATCAATTTAGCTTGTCGTTCCGATCAACTGTACAAATACTTAAGTGCTCTGCCACGCCTCCTTTTGCATATTACATATTATGGCAACGAACCATTATGCCCTGAATTTTCCGTTTTAATAAGTTCCGGGTATAAAAACAACTGAATGCATTTATGGAAGCTTTTGACAGTCTCTGAGAACTTGATTTTGTTAAATACGTTATTCCAGAATTTAGAGAGCATTCGACTGATGGGAGCTTTCTTGGAACTCTCTGTCGATGCATTTGGGGCTGGAATAATAGTTGACGGTTCATTGACCCCGAAGAGCTGTATTTTCCATTTTGCTATGTTTATTAGTGGGTTTATTGCGAATGGTACTCGAGACTGATTACGTCTATTATCATGCCCAACTTACGTGAACTTTAATTGCTTTTCACTATCAATGATGTATGCTTATATGTACACTTTTGATCAGTTCGATATAGAATAGGATATAGATATAATATATATAGCATATATATTTCTGCTTAAGCATGGTTTGATTAATGTCCGATTGGTCGCTAAATCACACTTACATGTGATATATATTATACAATATGCATATTTCTAAGGCAAACAATGAACCCTGAGGGTCGCAGTTTCTACCAGTTTATGGCTTTATAAACATAAATCATTTCTGAGAACTACAAATACTATATGCCTCAATCGCGATCAGTCGTTCGACCTGTAAAGACGTGAATTCGAACAGCCTTCGCTTAAGCTCTACTGCTGCAGAGTTCTAAAAATAGAACTTTGCGGTGCATTCTTCAACGCAACAGCAACAAAAACCGCACACGCAGCGTTTTCTTATCGCTTGCTTCCGCGTAACTCAATTGCTTTAATTGCAATTTACGAAATTTCGTCGCTTGGCGCGAGTGCGCCTGCACTCAAAAGCACAATCCGCGATGACATCTAATGTCAATAACCTCGCTACAGCTGTAAAGGTAAATGCAGAAATGCAAGCCCAGCTTAACGTTGTGATGGCAAATAGGCAAGCCTCCATCATGCCAATAAACTCAAAAATAGATATCGCCTCCGTGCAAGGCATCACTAACAACAAAAACACGAAACGTAAACAGCCAAATTCACCAAAAACCATCAAGAAAAGGCTCATCTTCGACGAACCAAGCACCAGCAATGCAGCATTAATATCAGAAAATCGATTTTCACTGCTCGTAGAAGAAGATGAAGACTACAGCGAATCACCTGTAGCTCCAGAAGCCCCAGTATTGACCGACCAGCAAACTACACCGAAACCTCGTCCGCCCCCCATATGGTGTCCAAACATCAAGTCTGTGGCCCTACTTCAACAGATAATAGATAAAGTAATTGATGCTAAATCATACGTAATTAAGCCAAAGAAGAATAACATAGGTGTATTAACCCAATGCAGTGAGGACTATCGCAGAGTTATAGACCACTTTACTAAGCTGGAATTGGAGTTCCACTGCTACCAGCTTAAGGAGGACAAACCATATAGAGTCGTGTTCAAAGGGCTTCACTCCAGCACTGATACAACACTAATTAAAAAGGAATTGGAAACCAAAGGCCACACAATTACAAATGTGCACAACCCACTGAGCCGTATGGACAAAACACCGCTAAATATATTTTTTGTTGACGTGGCTCAGGCCCCCAACAACAAAGAAATTTTGGACATTCGAGTTGTCTGCAGGCAACGCTGCACAGTGGAACTGCCAAGAAGATACAACGACCTGACACAATGCCATCGCTGTCAAGAATTTGGACACACACAACGCTACTGCCACAAAGCTCCCAGATGTGTGCGTTGCGCCGGGAAACACGCATCCAAAGACTGCACCCGCGAAAAGGACCAGGCACCAACTTGTGTGCACTGTGAGTTACAGCACCCAGCCAACTATAAGGGCTGCCAAGTATACAAGCGGTTGCGCAAATTGCAATCCCCAGCACAAAAAAGGAGTCCCACACAAACACCGTCTACGGGTCCGAGTACTGCTTCCGAAATTACAAGGCCCCGGAGCATTACCCAAGCCACGAGCTTTGCAACGCCTATTAGTGGTGTTTCTTACGCACAGGCCGCTAGAGGTGGACCGTCAAATAAGAATACCACAAGTGACACTTTGTTCACTGAAATGCTTCAGCAACAACAACGTCAGTTTGACGCAATTAATGCCGAGCTCAAAGCGATGCGAGAAGTACAATCCCAACAAGCAACCATGCTAAACAGTTTAATGGCCATCATAACCAAGCTTGCCTACAAATAATGGCTTTACGTGTGGGTATCTGGAACGCCAATGGCCTGAGAAACAAGACTCAGGAACTGGCTGCGTTTCTCTCACAAGAAAACATAGATATAATGTTAATAACAGAAACTCATTAGTGCCCCACTACACAAATTTTCGGATACGAACACTATCAGGCTCATGGTGAAGGAGCAAACTGCTTTGGTGGATCCTCAATCCTCATACGAGCAACAATACCGCATACACCTTTACTGCCAATTTGCAACGCAACAATGCAGGTCTCAGCCATCACCCTGCCTACGTCTATTGGAGCGATCGAAGTTGCGTCAATTTATCTTCCGCCAAACACTGGTCTGTGTGATCATCACATGGAACAGGTTCTAGGCCAAAGGTTGAATAAGACCCTCATCGGCGGCGACTGGAATGGATGGCACCCATTTTGGGGAAGCAATAGTGCGAATCGTCGCGGAGAAGTCATATTTGAGGCGATTCAAAACTTACAATTCAGCATATTGGCGACTGGAGCCCCCACCCGTTACCCAATTAATGGACACAGGCCCTCGGCAATCGACTTCGCTGTCTACAAAGGCATCTGTGACCGGCAATTGACCATTGAAGAATCCTTGGACCTATCCTCTGACCACCTGCCACTAATAGTCACAATCCACGCGCAGCCACAGCCCTTGCCCATTAGGAAACAACTACTGCCAGCAGGATCAGATTTAGGAGTCTTTAGGCGCGAGCTCCATTACTCTTTGCACATAGAAATGGAACTTAACACTCCTGAAGACGTGGACTACGCAGCAAACAAACTGCAGGAAGAAATAGTCAAAGCTGCGCACCAAGCCGCCCCACCATCTTGCCAAACAAGACAACAGTCTCCGTACAACATCCCCCTCACCTTGGAGGCCCAACACCTACTAATACACAAAAGATGGGCCAGGAGACGCTGGTTAAGATTACGCACGCCTGATGCCAAATCCATGTACAACGAAGCCACGAGGCATCTTAAAGCTGCTCTCGCCCTGCTTCAAAAGAGGTGTATCAGCGATGCGCTGGTACGAGCTGAATCGCCCACTGACGCAGAGTTTCAATTATGGAAATTTACAAGAAAGCTCAAACGGCAGCCAATACGACGTCATCCCATTCGGAGCATTTCTGGTTCCTGGCACATTGGAGACGAAGCTCAAGCTGAGGCTTTTGCAAACCACCTTCAAGACCAATTCACGCCGGTGATTACCGCAGAGGCCTCAGAAATCGAAGCAACAGAAGACATCGTTCTCTCGCCCCTCCCAGCTGAAGACCAGATAACTGGATGTACAAAAGAAGAGGTTCTTGAACACATCAGAAGAGTGAAGGCAAAAAAATCCCCTGGATATGATCTAATAAACGGCAGAGTCCTTAGAGCACTGCCTGACTCCACCATAGACTACATAACTATGGTGTACAACGCCATGCTCCGCATCCGGCACTTTCCAGCCTGCTGGAAGCGCGCCGTGATTGTGATGATTCCTAAGCCTGGCAAACCCGTGGGAGAAATTGAGTCGTACAGACCAATTAGCCTGTTGCCAGTACTCTCCAAAATATTCGAAAGAATATTTCTGGAACGAGTACTGACACATCTGGGACGCCAGGAGGCCATTCCAAACCATCAGTTTGGCTTCAGGAGACAGCATGGAACACCGGAACAGGTTCACAGAGTTGTGCACCATATCCTTGGAGCCTTTGAAGAAAAGATGTACTGCTCTGCCGTCTTTTTAGACATCAAACAGGCGTTTGATCGAGTTTGGCACCTGGGACTGCTGCAGAAAGTGAGGACCACCCTTCCAGCCCCATTTTTCGCGTTGCTATCCTCATACCTTATTGGAAGAACCTTCCAAGTGTCAAGGGGGCAAACAGTATCCTTGACTAGACCAATTATGGCTGGAGTACCACAGGGTAGTGTTCTAGGCCCAACACTTTATACTTTATTCACAGGAGATATGCCAACTCCCGAGCCAAATATAGGAAGTACAGATGCAGTACTCATAGCGACCTATGCAGATGACACCGCCATCTTATCACGTCACGTATCTGCGCAAGAAGCTTCAGACTCACTACAAAAATATCTGGACTCTTTCGGACGCTGGGCAAAACGGTGGTGTATCACCATTAATGCACAAAAGTCTGTACATACTACCTTCGCCACTAGAAGAGGAGATTGCCCAAGCGTTGCATTGGGGCCCACTATTCCCAAAGCCTCAAAAGTAAAGTACCTTGGTATCACTCTTGACAGAAGGCTGACTTTTAAAGCGCACATAAGTCAAGTAACCTCAAAATGCAAAAGCAAGCTAAAAACCCTCGACTGGATGCTGAGAGCTTCAAGCAAGTTGTCTTACAGCAGCAAGGCCGCCATCTACAAGGCAATAGTTGTCCCAACCTTCGTATATGGTATCTCTCTATGGGGCTCCTCGGCGAAGACTACAAGGAACAAAATTCAGACCCTGCAGAATAAAGCACTACGCAGATGGACTGGAGCCAGCTGGTTTGTAAGAAACTCAGTCTTACATAGGGATTTAGCAATTCCCACAGTTGCTGAACTCATTGGGCGACACAGTTCAAGATACGCGGACAGACTTGCAGCGCATCCTAACCATCTCGCAAGCAACCTGGCTATAAACAACAATAGGCGAAGACTGAAGAGATTGCATCCTCTAGACAATATTAGAACTAATTAAGATAGTAGCTACAAGTGCAGAATAATTGGCATATCTGCCCTCCCATTAGTTAAGGTTTAGAGCTAAATGCGCTATAGAGTCTAAGACAATAAGCTGCAACAAAATAAAGAAATAAAAACGAAAAAAAAAAAAAAAAAAAAAAAAAAAAAAAAAAAAAAAAACTATATGCCTCAGAGAGTTAATTGTACACACAAAAGAAATGCGGGAATTGGTTGGATAAGTTCACTCTATCAGTTCTCTGTTGTTACTTTCCTGCACTTTAAATTCTTGAAAGAGTAACCAAACTACCTTAGCGAAAAAGCTTGATTTTGAATATAGGCTTTTAATGGATTTCCTGGGAATGGAGAACTTATCCAAGATCATTTGTGTGAAACTTCTAGGAAATCTCCCTCTAACATATAGTTTAACGCAACCAATATACCCTAAACTTACATTTTGAGCAGGGTAAGGGTATAAGAATTACATACTATATTGAGAGATCTATCGTTAACGCTTGTTTTGTTTTGCTCCGATGCTTCCATGTGGGAAGCTTTCAAATGAGCTTTTCAGATTAACGCTTCTCGTAGAACATGAAGCGTCTAATTTTAGAATATACGCGTGCTACTTGCGTAGTTGATTGATTTCACAATTTGATTGAAAACCCGTTTTTGTAAGCCAACACAGAACAAACTTTATTATAACTTGGACAAACTCCTTATCAAACCATAATGAATTCATTGGTCACAATGATTCGACTATTGTTATCAATAAAAGTAGTGACGCATCGGAGCTGATAGTACCGACAAATACTGATCAAAAATGCGTTGGTTTTGTGTAATTTGTTGTTTTTATCATTTTCTAATTGATAGGGCGCACTTAAAATCCCTAGAGGGCGCCACGGTTATGCAGCCACGGTAAAATTGCCTGGATATGTTTGCGGTATCGAGCATTGGTATAGAGCAGACTCTTAAAGTCGGTGCCCTCCGTGGAGTCGCTGAGAAAGTTGTCAAAGCTGGCCGTTTCCGTGGGATCCACCAAAACAGCGCTCATCACACCTGTGGCAGTCAGGTAACCTAAAAAGCAATGCAAAAATGTATCGTAACAGGAAATAAATCATATGCAATCATTGGAAACTCACCCCAGAAGCCGTACTTGAAGAGTGTTATGTGCAAGTCGCGCAGTGCAGGCACTGGCTTGGAATACTTTAGCGTCTTTAGGTTTTCGACTAGATTATCATAATAGAACTTGATGTAGTAGTCGAATTTTGTAAGTTTGTCCTCAAATTTGGTTGAGGACAGCAAGAAATAGTACAGATCTTGTGCGACACAGCCCCATTTAGGTAGTTGGAAGTCCACCAGGCATATGTCTTTAATTTTGTCAAAGGAGTCATGCGAGAACATCATATTGTTACTCCAGAAGTCGCCATGGTTGAGCACATTCAAATCATTTAAATCTACTTTGGTAATTTTTAATATTTCATCAGTTATCTTGGGCTCCAGTTCTAGCTAAGAAACCAAGTGCCAAGCCAAATATGTTAAGCTTTTGTCAAGAATATCAATTTGATTCACTTACTATTTGACTCATGTACTCCTCGTTGCCCTCGTATTGCTTACAGGCCTTACTAAAGCTTTGGAAAAGGTTGTTATTTATCTGAGTCATAGTTGGGCGTAGTTCCTCCTTGTAGAAGCCACGTTTAAGGAAATCTGGATAGTCACCCTTGGTGGCGACACGTAGCATGGATGCAGCGTGCCACATGGACAGCCTTTTCAGAGCGTATTCCGTGTGTGCCTGATCCAGACCCTCGGTGCGATTAGTGTTCTTAAAGCCTTTAGGTGCCAGATCCTCTAGAAGTATATAATCGGTCTTGGCGCCCTTCAGCTCATAGGCTTTGGCACCAAATTTCACTTCTACACCAGCATCTCGATAAATTTGCTCAAGCTCAGGTACTACGGTCTTGTACATCTGGAATTCAGTTTCAAAAATGTTATTCGATTCCATCATCTTCTTATAGATCTCTGACTGATGTGGCAGCTTCAGCATGAACGATATTGATTTCTCTTTACCATCTGAAAAAAGGTTGCATATTGAGCTTTTCAGATAGATAGATCGGTGTGATTACTTACCCTCCAGCTCGACAGTTATGTTCACACGCAACATGATCGTCGCATAGTTTTCACCTGCTGCTGATCCGCTGATGGCCTTGAAGCTCTTGATTTTAGAGAAGCCATTGACTGATTCCTTTAGAACATCCTCAAATAGTTCGGCCTGCACCCAGTCGGGCACATTGCTACCTGTGGGCTCGGGTTTTGATTCTGCTGACATTTCAACGATTTAATTAACGCAATTAAATAATTTCAACGGTCGTTGCGTAGTTGTGTTTCCTGTAGTTAACAGCGCGTTTCTAATATTCCAATAGCTTTTGCGGAGTATTTATTTATACTGACTGCTGCTCGCCCCCAAACGTAAGCTTAACTACTCAAAACGTGCTATCTGAACTGAAAATGAGCACAGCGCTACAAGTGCCATTAGCAAAAAGAGCAACGAAATACAAAAAAAAGAACACCAAAGCTTTTTTATCATCTCTGAAAACACGAACTTGTGAAATACATTGAAATGAATTTATTCAGAACTTTCGAAGAGCTTTCGTTCAGACTGATTGTTGTCTTGGAACTCTCAGACGCTACTTTTGGTTATTGGATATTAGTAAACTCTTCGCTGCACCCAACTTTGCATAAAATTAGGTTTATTATGATTGATCTACAGCGCTGATTAAAGATGTTATAAAAAAAACTTTCTATGAATATGGACTTATCATCAATATTACTATAAATGGCCGTAGATTTTTCTATACGCCCATTTATACGGCTACAGTCGACGGAGAGAATGGAATTTTCGCTCATATTTAATTGGCTAAGTCAAGTGGAGTCTTACCTATGTATATATTATACTTTTATAGTCGCAAAGTAAGTTCTTAAATCGACGAACTTTTTACGGAAAATTGACTGTGCTTAACTTCCAGACTTGACCGAATAAAGATATATTTGATAAGAAAATCTCTCTTCCTCCCTCTCTTTCTTCCTCACCTTCACTCACACTCTCTCTGCCGCTCTCTGTCTGTCTCTGCCAAGCTCTCTCTCTCTCTATTTTTCTATCTTGCCTAATGCCTAATAAAATTGCAAATTTATTTATCTGTTTTTAATCAAAGTATTTGTTTGCCTTTTGATAACATTTGCTAAAACAATTGTTCGTCCTTGTAGCAATAGCTGAAGTGTCCAAAACTCAAGTATTTAGTTTATGTAAACTTGAATTGTACTTTGTAGATAAGATAAATATATTTAATTGTTTAACTATCGGATTGTCAATGCCAGCAGGCAGAAAGAAAAATAATTTTTATGTTTTTATTTAATTTACATTTTTATTTCACTCTATCTATATTAGCTTTATTATCAGCTTTTTCTATTTACAGTATATAGGATGGAGCGCACCGCCATTGTGCAGCCAACCCAGGACAAGCTTTATATTCTCTTTAAAGTCCTTAACTTGAAGACCATAGATACTGAATACAACAGAATTACTATTTAGGCTTCTCTGTAGAGTTCATAGCTTAAGAATACTTCAGAGGTTGAATACCTGATTTTGTTTAAGCAAAATAGTCAGATCTTTAGATAAATTATGATAATTTTGTCTAAATTCTACTTTTAATTTAATAGCAGCCCATTTGCTATATGTATGTCATATGTTTTGCAGAGCACCGCGATTAGATAGCCAAGGCAGAACTAGGTTCAGGTGCTCCTTAAAGCTGTTGCTCGAGTAAAGGATTGTTCTAAACGCCTCACCCTCTGGCGTATCGGAAAATAGGTTATCAAAGCTGGCTGTTTCGGTGGCTTCTAATGCAGTGCCAGCCATCACACCACAGATCGCAAAATAACCTGTAAATAAAGGAAAACATGAAAGTACTTATGAAAGACATTTAATTTACCTTTTACTCACCCCAAATACCGGTCTTCAAGAGGGACTTATGTATCTCTATGAGACTAGGCAACTTTTTGCTATAATTTAACAGCTTCAAGTGCTTTATCAGCTGGTCGTAATACTGTTTGACGAAGTAATCAAATTTCTTTATTCTTATCTTCAGCTTCGGCGATGATAACAGAAAATAAATTAAGTCAAATGCAACACTTCCATATTTGCACATTTGATAGTCAACCAGATACGAATCCAAGAGCTTTCCTGTCTCCTTTTCATATAGAAACATGATATTGCTTAGCCAGCAATCAGAATGGTTTAAGACATTGAAGTCTTCCGGATCAATGGCGGCTACTTGGAGAATTTTATCGGTAATGCTACCGGCCAATCCTTTAACATCCTCGGCGCACGCCTCTTGTCCCTCCATTGTAGACAGAGTTTTAAGTATATAGGGCACCATGCCATCCGTCATTTTGCTCAACAGGTGCTTGCCATCCTCATTGCAAAGACCATCACTTATATGGCTGGGATAGAGTCCCTTTGTTGCCACCCGAACAGCAGACGCCGCATGCCACTGAGCCAGCTTTGTGAGCACTGATATGGTATGTTCCTCATCAACTCCTGCCTTACGAACAACTGATTGGAATCCTCTGGGTCGTAAATCCTCTAGCAGTACGTGTTCATTCGGCGTATCAAGCTTATAGCACTTGGCCCCGAACTCTACCTCTAAGCCAACATTGCGATAGAGCTGCTTGAATTCCTCCACGTATATCATGAACATGTCCCGTTCGATATCGAAGACGCTGTGTTTGTTCTTTCCCCAAGCTTCTTGGTAGGCCTCTGAAGCGTGCGGAAGCTTCATCATATATGACACGGTTTTGGTTGTGCTATCTATATAGATTATATATGCATATAATATTATATTCAATTTGATTTTTATCTGACCAACCTTTTAGTTGCACTTCGAGTGTTATGCGAAGCATAAGCGTTGCATAGTTATCGCCGGGTTTTGTGCCAGGCATAGCTTTAAAGGATCGTATATTTTGAAAGTCCTTGAAAGTATCCTTAAGCAGCTGCTCAAAAAGATCAGCTTTTACCCATTCGGGAACTTCAATCGTCGTTTCTATTGATATTGTTTGACTGTTGGACATTGTTATGCGAATTTTATAAGCACTTGCAATCTGTTGTAATCAGTCTGATGTCCGTGAAAGAACTGCAGTAGTAAGCTGGGGTTTCTGTTTAAATACAGACGTTTTTCAAAAAGCTTAAAGCTCCTGAAGCTTTTTGTAATATTACTATTTCGCAATCATTTTTTAGCATTTAAACATTTTATGATTGCAAACAGTTGTCCCGTCTGTGCTGTGATCACACACAGTCTGAACAATAAGGCTGAAACTTTTGCAGAAGCTCGATAGACCAGCAGTCAATAGAGTACTGGCAGTTGGAAAATTGAGGGTCAACCTTAGTATAAAAAGCAGTCAAAACGAATGCTCTTATAAATGCGAACTGTGCCAAGTTGTATAATTTATATATATTTTTATCTGTTTAGCCGTCTGTCTGTAAAAGTAAAGTAAGTAAAAGTAAAGTAAGCTTTTTCGACTGTATTGAAGTTAGAGATTTGAAGTTGTAGACAAATAAAATTGCATGGGGTATAAATTTACGCTCATAGTAAGGAGGGAAAAAAAAAATTTGGACGTCAAGTTACTGCTCTCTTAAGAAAATACGATAAAAGCCAGAATTTGCTAGCTTAAACCAAATATTCAACGTGGATCAGCTTAACTAATCAACTTATTCATTTTAATCCAATTTTGTATGGTCTAAATGTAAAGTAGTGAATACACTTGACTGTGGTGGCGTTCAGTTGTGTAATGATATTTATTCGTCTGAGCTAGAGTTATAATACTCTGAGTAAAGCGTATTTCATCTCTTAAATCTAGCTTATCAAGTGCTGACTGTGTAAGGGTCAACGCTCGTATGTCTAATTTTAGAATCTAAGCATGTAATTTGATCTATTCCTATTGCACTCTCTGCAAGTGGTTGAGTGTGTAGGCGGCATGCTTAGAATTCTTGAATATAATGTACGTTCATGCCTGAACAAAAGTTCTGTATTGTATATTGGTAGAAATCGGTTATAATAAATAGAAATTCTTTATATCTCATTTTGCAGAGCACCGCGATGGTGTAGCCAAGGCAGCACAAGCTTTAAGTGATCTTTGTAGATCTTGCCGTTGTAGAGTAGAGTTCGGAATGCATCGGCCTCTGGCGAATCGGAAAATAAATTATCAAAGCTGGCTGTTTCCGTTTCTTCCAGCAAACTTGCAGCCATCACATCGCACACCGCCAAATACCCTGTAAATGATAAAACACATGATCATACCTCGTAAAAGATATTGCATTTTCCTTATACCCACCCCAAATTCCATTCTTTAAGAGGGATTTATGTATATCTATCAGAGTAGGTAACTTTTTGTTGTAATTCAACAGCTTTAGATGCTTTATCAGCTGGTCGTAATACTGCTTGATAAAGTAATCGAATTTGTTTATTTTGATTTCAAGTTTAGTGGATGATAACAGGAATGAAATCAGGTCGATTGCTACGCTGCCATATTTACACATTTGGTAGTCGACCAGATAGGAGTCCAAGAGTTTTCCTGATTCTCTATCATAGAGAAACATAATATTGCTCAGCCAGCAATCCGAGTGGTTCAGTACATTAAACTCGGCTGGATCAATGACGCCCACTTGTAGAACTTTTTCCGTAATGTGACCGGCCAAACTCTTTATATCCTCATAGTATGCTTCATGTCCCTCAATCGTAGTTAGGGTATTAAGTATGTAGGGAACCATACTATCTGTTAATTTACTTATCAACTCTTTGCCGTCCTCATTGAAAATACCATCACTTATCTGACTAGGATAGGGACCCTTTCTGTCTACCCGAACAGCTGACGCCGCATGCCACTGAGCCAGCTTTGTGAGCACTGATATGGTATGTTCCTCATCAACTCCTGCCTTACGAACAACTGATTGGAATCCTCTAGGTCGTAGATCCTCCAGCAGTACGTGTTCATTCGGCGTATCAAGCTTATAGCACTTGGCCCCGAACTCTACCTCTAAGCCAACATTGCGATAGAGCTGCTTGAATTCCTCCACGTATATCATAAACATATCACGTTCGATATCGAACATACTGAACTTGTTCTTTCCAAAAGTTTCCTGATATTCCGCTGAATTTAGTGGTACTTTTAGCATGTACGATACGGGCTTTATAGTATTATCTACAAAGATTATGCATATAATTTCCTTTTATCTTATATCTTTTAATCTAGCTGACCTTTTAGTTGCACTTCAAGTTCTATACGCAGCATAAGCGTTGCATAATTATCACCGGGTTTTGTGCCAGGCATAGCCTTAAACGATCTAATATTTTGAAAGTCTTTGACTGTATTCTTAAGCAACTGCTCAAACAGTTCGGCATTGACCCATTCGGGTGTCTCGACTGTTGTTTGACTGTTCGATGACATTTTTGAAGCTATTTAAGATCACAAATCGGTTGTTGCCAGCGTGATTGCTGTGGAAGAACTGAAACTAGTCTAACTGATTATCTGCTATATAATCAGCATTTGAGAGAGAGCTTAAAGCTCTCGGATTTTCTGTGTAAGTACTTAGCAAACAATTGATATAAGCGATTTAGGGGCTCGGAACTATTATTTAATCTACTTTTGAACCATGCATTTATTTATTTAGGTTTGTTGTGAGTCGTTGTACTCGAGCGCAACCGACTGCATAATACTTGTTAAAAAACAGGTGAATATATTAGAAAATCAAAGTCCTCTACGCGAATATACTTCTGATATTTCATGAACTAGTATAAAAACAAATTATGAGCCTTTCACTAATATTGGGAATATTTGTTAATTAAATGTCCAAGGCACCACGATTCAATAGCCAGGGTAACACTATCTCGATATGCTTTCGATATCGCGGGTTTGCCGTGATCATGCTCCTAAAGTTGGCGCTCTCCTTGGAGTCGCCAAGAAACATATCAATATTGACCTCCTCGCAGGGTTCCAACAGTGCGGCAGCTAAAGCGCCCGTGGCAGTCAGATATCCTGAGTGAAAATGGAAATATTTTTACTTGAAAATAATTTCAACTAAACTATGTTTTATACTCCTTACCAAAAAGGCTGTACTTGATGAGCGATACATGTGTCTGCCCTAGAGAAGGCACAGTACTTTCATATTTAAGTAGTTTTAGTGACTTAACAAGGTTCTCATGATAGACCCTGACATAGTAGTCGAATTTGAGCAGCTTATCCTCGAGCTTGGTAGAGGAAAGCAGGAAGTAGTACAAATCCTGGGCAAAAGTACCGTACTTGGGAGTTTGGAAATCCACGAACAATATATCCTTCAGCTTGCCAAAAGTATCGTGGGTAAACATCATATTATTACACCAAAAGTCTCCATGGTTCAAGACATTAAACTCGGCTGGATCCGGCTTAGCCATGCGAAACGTGCGATCTACAAGTGTGGGCTGCATTGCTCTCTTAAAACAAAATCTATATATATGTGTGTTTTGTATAGAATTTTTATTGGCTTACGGCAATGAGGAGTACATAGAGCAAGTCTCTATGTACTCCTCATTGCCGTCGTAGTTGGCACAGCTATCGACAAAGTTCTGTGCTATTGGCTTGTTTATCTCGGTCATCATCGCGCGGTTCTGCTCCTTTAAGATGCCAGTTATCAGCTGATGCGGATAGGCGCCCTTGGTGGCCACACGAACTGCGGATGCGGCATGCCACTGAGCCAATCTCTTAAGAGTCGTTTCAACGTGCACCTGGTCCAGTCCCTCCAGACGGTTCATGTTCCTAAAGCCATTGACTGTTAGATCCTCTAACAAAATATAATCGCTCTTGGCACCCTTCAGTTGATAGGCTTTTGGACCAAATTTCAGCTCCAAGCCGGCATTCCGATAGATTTGCTCCAGCTCCGGCACATAAATATTATACATACTATTCTCAACTTCAAAGAAATTGTTGCTCTGCATCAACTTTTGAAATAACTCCATCTGATACGGTAACTTAAGCATATAGGACACTGTCTTATCCTTGCCGTCTACCAGTTCGATTTCTATGGTCACTCGCAGCATGACCGATCCAAAGTTTTCGCCTGGTCCTATGTCGCCGTTGGCCGTGAAACTCTTAATTTTTGAGTAGCCCTCGATCGAGTCCTTCAGCACACTCTCAAATAATTCGCTTTTTACCCATTCCGGCACTATGCTGGCTGGAGTATTATTAATATTATTTTTTTCCATTGCAATTTTGTTCCCAGCTTCAATTAATTTCATAATACTTTCTAGTAATTTTACTATTTTCTTTGTATAGGGCTAAGTGTTATTGATGACTGTTAGAATTTCGTAGCACTATTTATTCATTAGTAACCCTCTCTTGTGCCCTTTTACTCTAACAAAATAAATGCTCATGCCTTATATGGTACTAAGCTTTTGTCTCTCAAAAAAAGCGTTCATTAAGCTTTCTCTCCCGTTCCCTCTCTGCGCTAAATATGTTTTGCTCAACGAATCTAAAAATCAAAACAAAAATGGAAAACCTTATATGGTACGCCTGTGTTATCTAGGTTGCAGTTAATTAATTACTATTGTACATCTACGCTTGACAAAAAGTCTCTTATCATCATTGTTAACTATCTCAGATCTACAATCAGTTTATCTATTCAAAGAAAGTCAAGCAGTTAATATTTATTTATTATTATTTTATTGTTTTTATTATGTAGTTTGGTATGTAAGAAAAGCTCTTTACTTTGACATTATCTTCATCTTTGCATTTAGTTGATATAGCCTCTTTCAATAAGCCAAGGTAGTATAAGCTTGATTTGCTTTATATAGCTGGGATTTGTGAACATTTTATGCTTAAAGTCCACAGCCGAGTCGCCCTCAAACTTCGTAGTATTGGCATCGGGAGTGGGGGGTAAGAGAGTTACAGGCAGCATTCGTTGAGCGCACACAAATGCTAAAATTTAATATATACATGTATATACATGTTTCATGTACTTGATCATATATGGTACTATGTACATACCCCAGAGACTATAACTGCGTAGATTCTTATGCAATTCCGTTAAGGTAGGCAGTTTGTTAGCATATTTGAACAGCTTCAGATGCGCAATAAGCTCATCAAAATAAAACTCTATGAAATCATCAAATTTCTTTAATTTAATCTGTATATTGGGAGTTGTCATCAACAGGGAGAACAAGTCCTGAGCCGGTGTGCCATATTTTGGCACTTGAAAATCAACAAAACAAATGTCCTGGATATTCCCACCATTCAGCTTGAACAGAAAATTATTGCACCAGAAATCCCCATGGTTCAGCACATTAAACTCGGATTTTTTTACGCGGCCAAACTCCAAATATAGGTCATTCAGGCGTTCCGTGTAGTTGGTCTGCGAAAAATGGAAAAATATTTTTAAAAAACTGAAGCAAACTTTTAATTTGTTAGAAATATTATATATCTTACATATTTCATATACATATAATGTTTACTTACAACCAACAGTTGTTGACTTGGCTCCAGTTCATATAGCTGCTGCATATACTCCAAGAAGGGACCATTAAATGCTAAGTTCATATGCTTGACCCATTCTGGCTCTGACATATAACTTTTCTGATACTTTTCATCGTAGTCGCCCAGTTCGACGACTCTCTGAGCGGAGGCTGCATGCCATTGAGCTAACTTCTTAAGCACGGCCTTGATTTCGGTTTGGCCGAGGCCCACCATACGCTCCAGATTTATATACCCTTGCTTACGCAGATCTTCCATCAATATGTAGTCGCAGTTGGGTGGGTTTTCTATGAACTTCAGATGAGCTGGCTTAAATCTGACAGAGAGATTTGTATGCTTGGCATACAGTTGCCCTAGCTCGGGTACTAGACGCTCGTACATATCACTCTCAACGACGAACAATTCATGAAAATTGTGCTGATCGCCACGATCATTGACCAATGGAATTTTCAGTATGTAACTCTCATTATTGCAGCTGTCATCTGTAGATAAATATATGTGTAGGGTTGAAACCCTTTCTATGTACATTAATCGTATTTTAACTAAGTAAAATATGAGTATTTTGGAATTTAACTGTTAATTGCCTTTATGAATATTTATATCTAATAGAAACTTAAAATAAATTAAACATTTTCTATGGAGAGATTTTTCAAAAGATTCCTAAAAGTTTATATTTAAGATACATTTCATCTAGCTAAACTTCATTCTTTTACTTCTGTTAAGCTTAAACTTTGCTTTCTTATTAATGCCTTTTTATCAAAATACTTATGTAATACGCTGAAATTACTAATTAATTAATATCTTTTATAGTCTCTATCCAAATAATTTGTGTGCTTTTTTTAAGCTATAATATATATTAATAAAAAAAAATATTTTATATATAATGATTTTTTTATTAGTGTTTTTATTTGCAATCTGTCTTATACTAGACAATAAACTAATTTGTTTATATATAAAGATAAATTTAATAATGCACGCGTTTTGTTTCCTGCAAATTAATAAAATGCCAATTAGAGTATGTATGACTCACCTTTCAATCTGAACTCAACGCCGATTCTCAGCACTATCGTCATATAATTTTCCCCTCCACTGATCGCGGCGGTCACTTCAAACTTTTGTATCTCATCAAACTCACTGCAATTGTGTTTCAGTAAATCACTGAAAAGTTGTTGATTTACCCATTCCGGCGCATTTACGGTCGACATTTAATATTAGGATCTGTGGACGTGATGTCAACAGAGAGGTTTTCGCGTAATTGAGCCTGATACCCCCGAAATTCTAAACGAGACTAAGCGAAAGCTCTTTTGCTCTGTGTTTAATAAAGACTATATCTACTTGTTTGGATTTCGTAACTCTCTTTTGCTTTTTAGCTTTTAAATACATGCTCTTCATATATAAGTCATGAAGTTGTATTAAATTGTTGGCTCTCCAAAAAAGCGTTTATGAAGTTTTTTCTCTCTCTCTCTCTGCAAAATAAGCTTTCCTCAGCGAATCAAAAAGTCAAAACAAAAATGGAAAATCTTTTAATGGTATGCAGTCGCAGTTAGTTGTTTGCTAATTTCACATTTCGGAATGATAAATAGTCTCATCATTATTCTTAACTATCTCAGAACTACAATCAGTTTATCTATGCAGTTAACATATATTTATTATTATTTAATAACTTTTATTGGACAGTTTGGTATATATCTTAATCTTTGCGTCTAATTGATATAGCCTCTTTGAATAAGCCAGGGTAGTATTAGCTTTATTTGCTTCACATAGCTGGGATTTGTGAACATTTTACGCTTAAAGTTCATAGCTGTCTCGGAGTCGCCCATAAAGTTCGTAACATTGGAATCAGGACTGGGGGGAAACAGCGTTACGGGCAACATACGTTGAGCGCATACAAATGCTAAGATTTATTGATAAAAAATTAAAATAACATATAATTATTTGTATACGTTTCATGTACATATATCATTTATAGCACTATGTACATACCCCAGAGACTATTCTTGCGTAGATTTTCGTGCAATTCCGTTAAGGTGGGCAGTTTGTTGGCATATTTTAACATCTTTAGATGCGCAATAAGCTCGTCATAATAATACTCTATGAAATCATCGAATTTCTCCAGTTTAATGTGTAAATTGGGCGTTGTCATCAGAAGGCAGAACAAATCATGAGCTGGTGTACCATATTTTGGTAACTGAAAATCCACAAAGCAAATGTCGCGGATCTCGCCAGCATGCAGTTTAAAGAGAAAATTATTGCACCAGAAATCTCCATGGTTGAGCACATTGAACTCGCATCTGTTTACACGGCCAAAGTCCAAATATAGGTCTGTCAAGCGATCCATGTAGTTGGTCTGCGATAATTGAAAAAATACTTGTAAAAACAGAAATATAGTTGTAATTTGTTGTAAATGTTGGTCGGAGATTATTAATTGAACATTATATATTATATATTTTATATTCATCTTATGTTTACTTACAATCAATTGCTGTTGACCTGGCTCCAGCTCGTAGTGCTGCTGCATGCACTCCAAGTAGGGCACATTGAATGTTATATTCGCTTGCTCGATCCATTTTTGGCCCTCGGCGGACATATAACTTTTCTGATAGTTTTCATCGTAGTCGCCCAGTTCGACGACTCTCTGAGCGGAGGCTGCATGCCATTGAGCTAACTTCTTAAGCACGGCCTTAATTTCGGTTTGGCCGAGGCCCAACATTCGCTCCAGATTTATATACCCTTGCTTACGCAGATCTTCCATCAATATGTAGTCGCAGTTGGGTGGGTTTTCTATGAACTTCAGATGCGCGGGCTTAAATCTGACAGAGAGATTTGTATGCTTGGCATACAGTTGCTCTAGCTCGGGTACTAAACGGTCGTACATATCGTTCTCAGCAATAAAAAATTCATGAAAGTCGTGCTGATCGCCACGATCGTTGACCAATGGAATTTTCAGTATGTAACTCTCATCTTTGCAGCTGTCATCTTCAGATAAATATGTGTATAATGTAAGCCATCCTATGTATGTGTTACTGACTCACCCTTAAGTCGAAACTTAATTCCGATTCTCAGTACAATCGTCAAATAATTTTCGCCTCCACTGATTGCGGCCGACACTTCAAACTTTTGTATCTCATCAAACTCACTGCAATTGTGTTGCAGTAGATCACTGAAAAGTTGTTGATTTACCCATTCCGGAGTACTTGGGGTCGACATTTGTTATTGGAATCTGTGGATCTTTTAAGCGAAAATGCGTGTAACCTTTCCAAAGATCCAAACACAACTAAACAAAAGCTCTTTTGCTTAGTGTTTAAGAGAGACTACTTCTGATAAAAGCTCAGAAGACAACAGGCTTCTGCTCATATTTAAATATTTCTCAGCTCAATAATAAAATTCCTACACAGCTCTTAAATGAATGATGTCTGTTATCTACGTCTATTATCGCTTTCCTATCTTCAATTTGAAGGAAGTCACATCTTTACATGACCGTCTGGTGTATATAAACATGTGCCACCAGTCAAATATATTTAAAATGTTTAATTTATTCGTATCTTAAATACATCTTTCAGGTGTCGCTCATGAGGCTTACCTTCTTATGACAAATTAAACATTCAATGTCTTCTTTGGTTATTAGTTTTGTTTGGCTTATTGTGTGTTTAACGCTTAACGCTATGCATGTAGACATGTCGCCTCAGCTTATCTGGCCTGGCGAAATCCTTGGCACAGAAGGTGCACTGATAGGGCCGCTCGCCTGTGTGTTTGCGTCGATGGACTTTTAGTTCGTAGTGCACGGTAAACGACATGTCGCAGAGATCGCATTTGAATGGTTTCTCGCCGTTGTGCCGGCGCATATGTATGTTCAGCTTGTTCGGTGTCAAGGACTCTAGACCACATAGTGAACAGAGATATTTCTTTCCAGGATTCTTTTTGGCGACATGCATGTCGCGTATATGCTTGTCCAGGCTAGGTTGTACAACAAAAGAGCGCCAGCAGTGTGGACATTGGTATCTAAAACGCCTGCTTCGCTTGATCGTAACAGGTGCCTGATTGGATGACTTGGAATGTTGGTTGGACATGTGCAGCTCTAGATTTTCGCGCCACATGAATTTATAGCCACAGCGTGAGCACTTGAATTTCTTTTCCTGGTTAAGGCACTGCGTTCGCAAATGCCGCTCTAGCATGGTCTGCATCATATAAAATACACAATGAATATTAATATTACAATTACGAGGGGATTAGGTTACCTCGTCGACGGTCTTATAAATGCAATGCTCGCAGGAATAGGGTAACTTATCAAAGGTGTGCAGAGAATACTGATGTTCGCTCATGTCGCGTCGTCGCTGAAAGCTCATGTCACATAGAGCACATCGATAAGTTCTGCCAGAACTAGCAGATTCGTTGTCACTCTCATCTGTTTCATCTAGCAGCAGCTCAAACCCTTCTTCGGTGCTGATCATATAGTTCGATGCCTCTTCACTGTGTCCCTGCATCAAAATGTGCTGTCGTAGATCGCCAATACTAATGAATTGCGTGTCGCATAGTTTGCACAAGATGGACTTTGGCCCAGAAGTCTTCGCAGCATCCGCGAGCAGCGTCTCAGCCAATGGCAGATCCTCGCCGCTGAACCCATGCCGCTGTACATGCTTGTGCAACAGCGCGGGACGATAGAAAGTGCGCGTGCACCAACGACAGGGTAACAATTCATTGCTGCCATCGTGGTGCATTAGTTTGTGCTTGGTCACTGCGCTCTTATCCTGAAAACTACGTGAGCACTGATCGCAGGGGTACGTCTCTTGCTGCAAGATAAATATATTTCAAACAAATTCTTTACCATAACATAAGTTGTCGGAGCCCACCTTGTTCTTATGATCTACAAGATGGGCGCGCAAATTACGTCGCCAGAAAAAACGCTGCGGACACTTATCGCACATGAAACGCTTGAGCGTGTTCTGACACAGTTTGAGCGTATGATGATCTAGCAGCTGGGCACTCAGAAAACGTGAATCGCAACGCTGACAGACATGAGGGGCTTCTAGCCAGGTATGCTCCTGTCGATGATGCTCATGCAATTGATACTTGCGTGGAAACACGGCTTCTGGTGATTCACATAGCTCACATGCATAGCTGTGGCGTTCCACAACATCCGCTTCCCCATCGCTGTCCGTGTCGGAGCTGTCGAGATTCATCTCATATCGCGCCTCATTAGTTATGGAGTAATAGCGACCGTACATGCCCATTTTGAGATCATTGAAAATGCGCCGCTTTAATCCGGCAGCTGTGGATTCTACGGCGGTCTTATAAAAGCCCTCTGCTATCCGTTCAATGGGCTCGCCATGGACCTCGAATGCAAAGTCCTTAGGATGAGACTTTAAATGGTCGCGCAGCTCGCGCAATTTGATAAATCTGCGCAAACAGATCATACATTGAATTTCTTTGGAACCATTCGGTTTGCAGCGATTCAAATCGAAGCCTTTGACGCGACGATCGATGCGTGAGGGCTTCGACATGGCAGAAGTGTCCGTTGTGTATCTAGATGAGGTGGCTTCATCCTCATCCTCATCAGAATCCTTATAAGCCTTGTGATCGTTGTGCTTGTGCTTTATGAGACTAACAATGTACTTGTAGGACTTATCGCACTGATCGCATTTATAGTAATTATCTGTACTAGAGCTATCTGCTTCATCCTCATCTGGAATGCTAAGTAATGTGCTATTAATGAATCTGTATGCTTAAATTATTCATTTAGTTACGTGATCTCCTTAATGATGCTGTGTACAAGGGAATCTGTGGTTAGCGCCTTCGTGCGCTGCCGCTGTGATTCTTTTGCCTTATCTTTAATTGGCCTGGCCTGCGCTGATATCTGGCTGGAGACATGCGCCTTATGTTTATGCTTGATAAGTAGCATTATGTACTTGTAGGATTTATCGCATTGATCGCATTTGTAGTAGTTATCCGCGGATTCACTATCCAAGCTTAAAAACCAGCATATAAGTGAAGCGAAAGATATTCCTCATATATGAACTTACTTTGCCACGCAGTTGTTCGCCTCAATAGATCTGGGTAATGGTTCCACCTGATGAATTTTATCTTCTGCTTCCTCAGGCTTAGATGGACTATGATCCCGCTGCTTGTGTCTGAACAGATTGGTTACATATTTGAAGGCTTTGTCGCATTTATTGCATTTGTGTAGCCTGGGAAATTTTGTCTGAGCTGCTCGGCGTTGCTTTAGGGGAACATCATCGTCCTCATCATCGCTGCTGCTATCATCCATATTGCTCTTCTTAATCAAAGGATCAATTGTGCTGGTTGGATCCGCTGATGGCATAACTGGCTCTGTGGGCTCTTCCATTTTAATTGTTATGCCTTCTATATCCAGCAGTTGTATTGGAGTCTCGCGCAAACACTCCAAAGTGGCTGTTTCTATGTCTTCTGAAGGACAGTCTTTTGAGAGCTTTTGCAACCAGAGCTCATGGGTTTTGCGTGCTTGCTGAATAAAGTCATATGCATTGTCTAACCTTTGAGAACAGTTTCGACAAATCCAGGGCGGCAATTTTTCAGCTTGATCCATGCCAACCTGCAAAAAACATATTTAAAATGCTTCTCTAATCAATTTTATGAGTTTGGGGGTGGGCGAGAGGTTACCTCAAGCTTTGTTAACTCTAGCAGTAGTTGATTGTATGTTTTATCTGCGTATTTATTAAATGGCGTCTCGATCCCATAACGTCCATTGGCACCAGCACAGACTCTGCACGTTCTTGTCATTGTTTAACACGATTATAATTTATAATCGTATTTCCAATTCCAATTCGTTCAGATGTCAATCAATTCACCAAGTACACAAAATAGTCGAAGGTTTCGGTGTGGCCACACTGGTGAGTAACAGCTGTTTACGGCACAGCTGACCAAAGACTTATCGATAAGTAAATTCATCAATATTGTAATGTTTTCTTTACTTTTCACTTCATTATCATTTTGCAAACTGTAATGCATTTGTATTTAATCAGATTTATTAAATAAAGTTAAAAGCATGTTGCCGATGGATATTTGCCGCACTTGCACGCAACATGATGATAGCTTACTGCCGCTTGCGACGTGCACAGATAAATATGCAAATAAAAGCTTAAATGATATGTTGCACGAATTGACACAAAATGATGTGAGTAAATAATTAGTTATACAGCGTTATATTAATTTTTAGCTTGACAATCTTAGCCCCTGCAGGAACATACGGACGACAGTCTGCCTCAGCACTTGTGTATCGGTTGCCTGCACAAGCTGGAAGCGGCCTATGCGTTTGTGTTGCAGGCTCGACAGGCTCAGGAGCAATTGTTGTTACGGCTGCATAAAGGCTTGCAAACACAGTGCCTAGATGAGATGCCTATAGACATTAACTTGCAGCAAATCAAAATCGAAACGATTGTTGATATGCAACTACCTAGCAAAACCAAGAGTGATGACGAGAGGGAACAAGACATGGCTGCAGTATCTATTCCAGTCCTGAAATGGCAACCAGAAAGCGATAATGAGAGTGATCAGACTGCAGTTGAGTATGTAATTTGGCCACTGTTAGTAATTTGCATAATATATCTAAATGGCTTACAGCCAGGACGAAGACTTGAAGCCCACGCAAGTAAGGCGCAGCGCACGTAAATTCAGAACCAACATTGACAACGAAAATGAAGCAGCGTAAGCTACATATATGATATTTATATGTGATATAATCTTACCTTGTATAACAGATCTGGCCAAGCGAATCCGTTGCCTAACAAGCGGCGTCGCGGTCGCCCAGCACATCTAATCAAAAAGGAAACTGTCAACGAAGAAGGACGGCATGTATGCGATGTTTGTGGAAAGACATTTTCGTGGTACCGCGATATGCAGCGCCACTCGCGCATACACTTCGAACAGGCGACTTACGTGTGTGACAGTTGTGGCAAGAGCTTCTTGCGGAAAGACAAATACATGTTCCATCTTCGTTCGCACGAAAAACGTGCGGCCAAATCCCAGGCCATGCTACTGAGCAGCGAATGGCGCTTCGCTGAACGTCTCTACAGCTCTAGCCGACTCAAACGTGCGGAGTGTAAGCTGTGCGGCTTAAAATATCGGCGTATAGGGGAATTGCGCCAGCATCTGTCTTCCCATAACAACATTGAGACTTTGTCCAATCTGAGTTTGGAGAGTGACGTTATTAAGGAACAGTTTGATAGAGACCAGCGGCAGCTAGATTTGGCGCTGATAAAGCAACAATTGTGTGCAGACATTGCAAAGGGACGTGCTGAGCTAGACAAATACTGCGCTGTGGTCAATGCGTATGGCTATGAGCTCAGTCTTAGCGATTCAGACGAAGAGGTAGCTCAATATCAGTGCCAGCCGTGCAATACCAACTTCTCGCGCAAATATCGCCTTATGCGACACACTCTGGAGGAACACACACAGGCGGAGACTGCTTTTTCTTTGCAGCGCTGTGATGTTTGCCAAATTGGTTTTGTGTGTGCCAATATGTTGGAGCAACATCAACGCACACAGTGCTTCAACAAGCTGAAGCGTTACAACTGTCCCAACTGCCCAGGTAAATTTATTTGGCTGCAGAATTTGGAGCAGCATGCGTGCTCGCATCACATCAAGCAGCTCGACGGGGAACATCAAATAAAGCAGTGTTGTCTTTGTGATGCCCAATTGAACAGCATGATCGAATTACGCACTCATTTGCTCACCCATCAAGATGGACGCTGTGGCATATATCCAGAGCAGCAGGCGACCTTCTTTCGCACCTACTATCCCAACGGCCTTGACTGCAGTTTGTCAGACCTAAGCACAGTCATTGCTGCCGATTTTAAGGCGGAGAATTATGGACGATACTTCAATGCCAGAACGAAAAACGGCGAGGAGCTCGATTTCTTTGCTTCTGACTCTGATTTGAGTGATGCGGACCAGCAAAGTTCAGAAACTACCCTACATATATGTTCTGTGTGTGGCGAAACGAAAAGGCGCCTGTCTCGGCTGCTTGAGCATCAGAAAAGCAAGCATAGTCAGGAGCAGAAAAGTCTGCCATACGTCTGTGGCGATTGCGATTTGAGTTTTGTAGCCAATTCACTGCTCCAACAGCACCGCCGACGTGTTTGTGACAAGCAGCATGCCAAGTACCATTGCCAGCAATGTAGTCAGCGCTTTTACTGGTTTTCCAATTACAAGCTGCATATGCATCTGCAACACGAGACACAAGCTGAGGCGCAGACAGACGCTATCGATGAATACGAGCAGGAGTCCACGATGAGAAGCAAGCGCCAGTCAGCAGATGCCAAGTTGCAGTGCGGCGAGTGCGAAAAGGTGAAAAGTGATAAAAGCAAAACTAATTCATAACTAACCATTTCCAGTCGCTTTTAGGTGTTCATCTGGCACAAGGATCTGACGCGTCACAAGCGCCTGCACCAACCACAAGCCTTGGCGCAATACCATTGTGTGCACTGTGACCGCAAGTTCCATCGCAAGGATGGCCTTAAATCGCATATGCGTGTACATGGCGAACATGAGGTGGATGAAGCGGTCGCCAGGGAACCAATTCCACCCGCGCTACTGCCAGTGTTGCTAGCCCAACTGTGTCGGCCTAATGGCTGCAAACAAATTCAATGCATGATATGTCTCTCGCAGCATACCAAGATATCTGATCTACGTACTCATTTGCTTCAACATCAGTATACGGTCAAATTTGCAGAGGAGCGGGGCCAGCCAGAAAGCATTGCGAGCATTTCACGCTCCCTATATCCAGAACTAAGCACACCATTGGAGCAGCAGCAACTAATCGAGCGCATTCAAAGTGATGTGGCAAAAGGTGTGGAGCTGGAGAGATTCATATCCATTACCAACGAGGCAGGTATTGAGCTTAGCCTGGACAGCAGCGAAACAGAAACTGATTCCGACTCTACCGAGACAGTCGGAAGTAACAGTGGACTCTACAGCTGTGAGCTGTGCCAGCTGAAGGTCTCGCGCAAGCATCAGCTCTACGCCCATCAGCTGGAGCAGCATTCGTGGCAGCAGGCAACACGTGTTTGCAACTGTTGCCAGGCGAGATTTGTGAATGAGCAACTATTAGAGCATCATTATCGGACACTCTGTCGCAACGTTCAGCGACGCTTCTTTTGTCGCAAATGTCCGTTGCGTTTCCGCTGGCGCGAGAATCTGAAACTGCACTCAGACGTGGCACACAACGAAACCAGAGGCGAGCAATCGAACTTGGGCATTCATTTAAACGGATCGCGCCTGTTGCCTATTGCTAGCTACGACTGCACCGAATGCCATCGTAGTTTTAAAATGCAAAAGGATCTCACCAGGCACACTCTGATGCACGCTCAGGAGTCGAGCATTTATCGTTGTCGATGGTGTGCACGACGTTTCTATCGCCATGCCAATCTTCTGCAGCATATTGAGCGTCATGGAATTATCGCGGAACAGCTGCCCTATGCTGAGGCACTGCTGAATGCTAGCCGAAATCCGCATGGCCAAAAGTGCATCCAGTGCATGGTGTGCAACGTGACCTACCCCACCATTGCTGCACTGCGCAGCCATCTTCTATCAGCACCAACAGGCACACATCATGAGTTTAGCTCGTTGCTCAATTACTCCATTACCAACCAGTTGGGATACGAGCTGCTGCTTGACGACTCGGAAACGGATGAGGAAGCAAAGCCACCAGGTACGCCCGCGCACTACACATGCGGTATGTGCCAACTGCGCTGTGTGCGCAAGTTTGAGCTGCATCAGCATCAGCAAGCGATGCATCGGCTGGAGCGTATAAATGAGGGTTGTGATGTCTGCATCTTTAAGAGTGTCTCCCCAGATATCGTAGCCTATCATCGCCGCGTCTTATGCGACAACACGGAAAAGCGCTTCAAATGCTCAAAGTGTGGCTACAAGTTTATGTGGGAGGCGAATTTACTGCAGCACATGCAGTTGCAGCATCCAAGCAGCGAAACGCAGCAGGATGCAAGTTCTATTTCTGCACAAGAATTACCCAGCGCAGATTCCCAAATTTTTCAGTGCGGTCAGTGTCCTAGTAAATATAATCGCAAGGATCGCCTTACAGCACATGTAAAGAAATGTCATATGGCGGGAACTACAGGCGCCACGGCTGCAACAGATGCAAAGGCTATGAAAAATTCAACTGGCGCCAAGCAGCAAAAAAGTTTTCTTTGTGCCTTCTGCGGCAAGGCGGTCAGCTCCTCTTCCAATCTGATTATACACATACGTCGACATACTGGCGAGAAGCCTTTCAAGTGTGACTACTGCGATATGGCTTTCCCACGTTCCTCCGATCTACAGTGTCATCGACGCACCCACACGGGAGAGCGGCCGCACGTCTGCACCGTTTGCCAGAAGGGCTTTGCTCGATCCTACAAGCTGCAACAACATATGCGCATCCACAATGGCGAACGACCATACAAGTGTACCTATTGTGAAAAGAGTTTTACTCAGTCGAATGACCTGACGCTTCACATACGACGGCACACAGGCGAGCGTCCCTATCAGTGCAATACGTGCGGCGAACGCTTCATTCAGGGCACAGCCCTGAAAAATCATCGCCTGCAACATGGACACCACGATATGGAACTAGAGCAAATCAAAGATAACTAATTGATCTATAACAGTTCTTGCTATAATATATATAAATGCGTGTACTATATAATTTTCGTATTTAAATCGTAAAGTTGTTTCAGACTGGCAATAAATATCCATAATTTGAATTTGAATTTGCCCACCGATAACTTTAATGTAAACTTATCGCCCTTCGTTGCTTCAATCGATAAAAAAGGCGTCCCAAGTAAAAGTATCGTGGACTTAAAAAGTACTCATACTCATATTTAACGTACCGTTGCTGTGGTTACATTTACAAAAACTGAGCAAGCCGTGTGTTTGGTTCGGTTGACTTATAGTGGCAAACTGTAGCTCGGTAAACCACGATTAGCTAATCAAAAAATATATATCTATCTTTTAAATAAAATTATTGATCAGCAATAAACACACAGATAAAAGTAAAATTCTAATCAATCTGGGTGCAAAGTTAACGTATTTCTTTTAGGTTTCAAATTGTTTAGTTAGCTGCTTTAAAGCGTCGAAACATGGTCAAATCAAGTAAGCAGTCGCGTCCATTGCCTGCAACGGATCGGAGCAGTGTCAGCGTCAGTGGCAGCGCTAACTACATGGAACACACGTATTGTGTGGTGTTGCATGTAGTGGAGGGTGAGTCTTACCATGCCATATTAGTTCCTCATTGTAATTTTAGGTATAATTCTGGTGCAGCCATTAATTTTTATGGACGTGAAACAAGGGAGGGGGAGCGGGAGCAGATTATTATGAATGCTGCCCTCAACACAGTGGACTTTGAGGTTGAGGGCACGCCGTCGGTCACAACGGAAACAATCATATTCAATAGCAATTGTATTTGGGAGTGCGATATGGCTGGGATTAAGCGCATCAAGACGGACCATCGACCCGTCAAAGTCACATTCTTTTCCAGCAACAATATGGAACGCAAGATAATTGGATCGTTGCTACTCCCTGTACGGGGATTGCCAGTTCTAGGCACAGGCGGTAACAACAGTCCGCTTCAGCTGAAAATGTTCTGGCACAAGTTGATCTGCATTAGCAATGAGTTTCGGTCCCACAAACCGGAGGTTTTGCTCATGTTGGCCATTATCAAAAAGTCTCTGTTGCATACTAAGGACTTCAAGCATCTAACGGCTTTCAATAGTTCAGTGAGTCGAGATATATTATATAGAAAAACTATTGTAAGTCTTTAATCCGTTAACTTGATCCTGCAGGAGAAGCAAAGTCGAACACCGCCGCTACAGTCACCCGGTCATTCGATCACGGCCAACATGTTGCAGTCGCAGGTGCATCTACTGAGCATTTAATTATAAAACAATACTAATTTTTGGTTCGAATGGTTTTAGGCCAATGTCTATGTTCAGTCGCTGGTGCAATTGGGTCTGCTGCAGGTGGGCAACGATCCTCTGGTCGACTGTGACATCATCGAGGTGGTGCTGCAATTTAAACAGCTCAAGAATCTCAACAAATTTGTTAAGTCTTTATATAATAGCAAGGCGGATGAAGTGGAAACCGTGTTGCTTATGTTTGATTTTGTTGGCAATGTCACTAATATTGATCTTAAGTTAAGCAACTTGGATTCCTATACGCTCAACGATGTGCTCGGCCTGCGTTTCAAATCGTCTCTGCGTAGTATACGGTTGTATTTCCAGCGTATATTTTATTTGCCGATCAACATGTATGTTAATGGCACTTCAATAGGTAAGCTTTAGAATCCAGTCTCCGTTGCTCCATTTCTTACACATTTTGTTAGCCAATTATCGCATGGACTTCGGTAAGCTTTTGCCACCTGATAACTATTTTGCGGAAAATCGCAAATTTGTATACAGCGGTAGCTTTGCTTTTGACCGCTTTGGCCGCAACGGAAGTGCGCGTGAGCTGAAACCAATCATGGACTACACATTCACAGTGGATATACAGGAGGTGTATTGGCGCCAGCAGGGAAAGCAGATGGAACCGCAGATGAAGCAACAGCAACTGCATGAGGAATCGCTGGAAATGCAATCGGTGGGCACCACAGCTGTCATACTTGAAGTGCCCAATGATCGTGCTCATGATAAAGGGGTCGAATGGAGCCGCAATGCCGAAATGCAATCAGCTTCTGCTAATGGATCAGTGGGCAGCTTGAATGTGGGTGCTGAGCTTTCAGCTTCGGATGAACGAGACAGCGCCTCGGAGTCAGCACGCGATTCTGATGCACATGCAACTTTACACTCATCTCAAGGGCGTCGCAAGAAATTTACAAGGCTTTTAGCAGATAATTCTGAAAATTATGATGAGGAGGACCAAGGGGAAGACCATCCGTATACTCCAAAGGTTGTCACTCGAAAACTGCCCACAAGATTGGAACCTAAAGAGGAACAGCGTCCTGATGATGTAATAGATTCTGATGTTGACGTCGGTTCTGATTCCGAGATTTGTGGATTGTATGATAATGACAGTAACGACAAAAAAAGGGACGACTGGTTGGCGGAGCGTATTCACGAAACAAAGAAAGATAAGCAAAAACATAACACATCCTCAACTTGTGGTTTCGAAAAACAGTCATCCGTAAGAGGTGAAAAAATGAGCAGAGATTCTAAGGATGGTGGACAGCAAAGGAATATTCTGGACTTACAACATATCGACGAAAAGGCAACCCGATTTCTGCAGGATGAAATGCAACTCAAGGATCATATGACCAAGCGGAATGGAAAAAAGCTTTCAGCTAATAATATTGACGAAGATGAGGTTGATGATCAAATTATCGATGATTCTTGGGCTGAGTTAGAAAAGGAAAATAAAAAGAATTCATCAAAACAGTTGTCCGGGGAAGGCTCTGCTAGGCAATGTCTGAAACAAAACTTGGAAGACAAGCCAATAGATAAAGCGGAGCAAAAAACTGCGTCTAAACTACGCAAACCCCAAGCTCAGGTAACTCATGTCGAGGATGCTGACCTGTGCACAAACTATGAAGCTTCTACATTACCTAAACTAATAGAACATAGTAACAAAAATAAAATAAATCATTCAACTGATGATTCATTGGTCATCAAACCGAAAGTCATACGCAAGAAGAAGATCGTCTCTAAAACAGAAGAATTGGAGGTATTCGAGACCTCAACTTCCAAACCACGTACGGCTCGAATGAAATATGTGGCTTCACAGGAAAATCTAGATGTTGCGCCTGACTCGGGTAGCCATTTTGCTCGAGATAAACTCGGCACGAAGCCAAAAAACATAATCATAGACATGGATGCGCCAACAGAAACAGATGAACTGGAGGATTGCGTCCACAAACCAAAAGTTTCCCAGAATAAACCAATGCCAAATGCCGAAGAGGAAAGAATTTCTAGTGAAACAGTTTTTAAGATGAAAAAATCAAAATCAAAAAGGTCTTCCGTTTCAAAAACGGATCTCCTACTAGGTGCCCGCTGGGTGGAGGTGAGCAAGGAGCAGACCGAAGCCTTGAAAGAAACTGAGCAGTTCATTGAAACTAGCTGCAAAGCAGAGCTGGACGAAATATCAATTGAAGAGCAGTGCCTAGTGAACTCCAAGAAATCCACAAGTAAGAAACTGGTTCGCTCATCACGCACGATTTTAAAAAATAATATTGAATGTAATGATGTGAGTATTAGTTCGGAAGAATGTTCTAATATCCGTCCGGATCAGGACATTATACTAACAAAAATGAATTCAAAAATTGAAACTAGTGCTGAAAGCTCTGTTGTAGAGCAGCCAAAACTTGAGCGAAAAGGGATTCAAAAGGAAATTGTATGTGGTAACTCGCAGGATCTTCTAGTTAACCCGCAAAAGAATCAGGCAAAACCCAATTCTAGCAGAACCAGAGAACGGACTAGTCAAAAACTGGAGAATGTGTCTTCAGCATTATTAGATTTAAGTCCAACTAAAAAGCATGAGAAGAAGCACCGACAAAGTGCACAGAAATCTTTATTGCAAGAGTATTTGGATGCGGAAGAGTCTTGTGCTGTGGAGCAGCCTCAGGAAGTTAGCGTCCAGTCAGTGAAGTCACTCAAGTGCCACAACGTCAAGACAACGGGAGACGAACCTACGGAACCAGGGGAGTCGGGTGACCTGGAGTCGATAAACCGGAAAAGACTTGCGAAAAAAAAGAGAACAATTAAAGAACAAAGCGTTATCGGCAAGGTCTGTGCTATTAAAGAGAAGACTTCCGGTAAAGCCAACCTGGAAGGCACAGTGCACATGTACGACGAAACAAAAGGAACAGAGGAGCCAGCCAAAGATAGCCTCAAATTCGTAAACCAGAGCGTCAACACGGACATCAGCAATATGGATGAAAGCATCAAACAAATTATGGCAGCTGGCAGGAAGCTGCAGCACGAGATACAACGGAAATCACAAGAATACATTGACAGTTTAAGTCAGTGCCGATCTGATGCAGATATATCGGAGCAAGCACCGCACAATCAGGAGCAAAACATTACGCATACTGGTGCTGATTATGATTCCAAATTTGTCGAACTGGAGCAGCACATAGTGGTGTTGGAACAACATGTGCGTAAGTTTGAAAGCCGCACTCAGGATATGCAGGATATGAACTCAAAGCTGGAGCAGGAGAAGGTCCAGCTTAAGCAACGTATTACTCACATGGAGTACCAAATATCACAGTTGTGCCAGCAGAGCGCCAATGGCAACGATCTGCAGCAAATCCTCAGTGAGATGCGCCAGCAAAACATACGATACATGGACATGAGCAAGGCCAAGGATCGATACAAGAAGCAATGGCGACGCACTGCTAAGCGTGTGCACGCTCTTAAGCTGGCCATGTACGAGAAGAGAGTGCAGAATGAAAAAAACATACCGAAGTAAGTTAAACGAACTCTAACCGTACGCCACATTACTAATTGATTCCTACTTCCTTTCAGCGTGCTGAATCTGAAGAGTATTCTTACCCAGGATGCTAATGACTTTGAGCGAGAGTACGGGCGTTTTCGCAGGCCGACTACGTTCAGCTTTTCCGGTTCTGGTGACTCACCGGAGCCCTTGCTTAAGGATTATCTGCGCGGTCTTTCCAGCCAAACAGTACACCAACAAAACCCTGCTAATCTTGTGGATAGCACCCGAATGCATTAGCGCCGTTTCCTTTTAACGAAATTGTCCGTGATTTATGGTTAATTGTATGATTTTAGAATTTATATTCTTATTTGTGTTAGTTATTCGGTTTATCATTAAAATTTCTGCTTTCTTGGAGACAAGTGAATATTTAAACTCAAATTTGCGATCCAATTTACGTGAATCTCTACTCAATTAGTCTTACGACGTCATGTTTTATAGTAATAAGGATTACGAAGTTTTAAATCTATTGATCAAGGCATGTAATAATTGTGATGCATTCAAGACTGTTTCACTTTTGATGTTTACCATTAAGTTAGAATGTAAGCGTTTGCCTAACAAGGATATTTATTTTAATGTTAATTTCTTTTTATTGCTATACAAATATTAATATAAATTAACGCTAAGAATCCGTAATTTATTCCAACTTAAAGCCCACACGCACAAAGTAGGGCAATGTGTTCAGTGGCGCGGGATACTCCATGAGCCAGACGGGACCCTTGTATACCGTTGCGGTGTTACCATCAGTCCACTCGCCCTCGGGCAGGTAAATGTCTCGATTGGTGGCGTTTTCCAAAATGACCGGTGCCGCAATAATGTCATCGCCCAGCAAGAATTCTGCAGGAGTTTGAAAGGATAAATATAAAGTATAATAGTGGAAATAGAAGAGTCAACTTACCATCGTAGATGCCCTGAGCAACTATGTCATCGGGCGCAATCCACCAGAGGGGAGCGTTGACAGGTTCACCCGTTTCCGTGGCGCGCTTGAACATCTTCATGATGTAGGGCGTGTAATCCGAATGCATCTTAGTGAAGGTCTTGCTAATCTCAATAGTTTCTTCATCAAAATTCCAGGGCACGAAGGAGAACTGCAGACTGGGCATGAACACATTGGCCTGCAGCCAACGTAGGAAGAGCTCCTTCGTGGGCGGCTTCTCGTTGTAGCCATTACCGCCAATCATGTCGGGTAGCACAAAGGGATAACCATTCATATTCATCTGCAGCAGCGATGTAATCAGTGTCACTAAGCCATTGTTCCAGCCCCATTCGGAATCTTTATCGACAATGCGCACAAATATGGGCAAGTCCTGTGTGCTTTGGCCAGAGCGCACCTCAACCATATCGCCGAAGGCGGCCACTGTGCGCACGTAGTCGGTGGTAATCTGCAGCGGGGTCTGGTTTCCGTCACCCTGAAGCACCGGATCCGTGGGTACCCAACTGGTCTCGCCTGCGTCAAATTTGAAGCTATCAATGCCATCCTCGGTCTGCAGGCGTTTTAGGCGAGTGCTGAACCACTCCTGCACCGCCGTCTTGGTGAAGTCCAGATAGGCGGCATCCTTTGGCTGACTGTTCCACCACTGTGTATCGGCACTGCCTGCGTGATCGACTACCAGATAGCCCTGCTGTTTGGCCGTCTCGTAGATGGCTGTGCAGTTGTTGTTAATGAAGGGGTGTATCCATAAGGTTACCCTAAAGCCCAATGCCTTAAGATCATCTGTCAGCTTCTTGGCATCCGGAAACTTGTTTTTGCGGAAGGTGAGAGCCCCGTAGCAATCTTCCCAGTCGTCGTCAATCTCTAGTTGACTGTTCTCAAAGCCATTGTCAAGGATTTGCTGTGCAAAGTCGCGCACCACCTCGTCTGTGACCTCCGCCTTGTATAGCGCCCAGGTGGACCACACCGGATGCTGAACCATGCGCTCATCAGGATAGCCTGTTGGCTTGCCCAGCAGCGTGCTCACCGCGTACATATGGGCCGCCTTCGCATCTTTGGCAAAGCCAAGCTGATAGCTAAACTTGGACGAGGACAATCGTGTGTCGTAGGGCAAGGCACTAAATGCGCTGATGCAGAGCTGATCCTCCAGGCCGGCCGCATTCTGATCAATAAACAGAGGAGTTGTATTATCCACGAAAAGGAAGAAGCCCTCGCTGTTCAGCCAGTATCGTTCCGCCACACCCATATTGCCCAACTCCTTAGGCACATACGAGAAGTTGCTGTATTGCTGGCGCTCCACGGGCCAATAGTGTTGCTTCTGTTCCGAGCCGCCAAACCAATGAACGCGTCCCTTATTTAGCCTCACGCAATCCCTCGGCTGTGTGCCTTTCACCACCTGATCGCGAGCCACGCGGACATGGGTCACGCTGCTGCTGGATTGCACCAGGGTAAATTCGATGGTGGTGGTGCCGTCGCTCAGCTTGAAGCCACCAGTGGACGTGGCCTCCAGATCGCTGCTGGTCACAAAGTTATCCAAGGTCACGGTCTGCAGCGTGTTGGTGCCCTTCATCAGCTCATAATGCAGCTTATCGCCGCGTCGCAGTCTCAAATAGATGTCGCTATTTTCGAACCTGAAGCGCTGCTCGATGGTCTTGCAGGCATGGCCCGCCGTCCATAAACAGCATGTTGCCAATACTAGAACTGCACTTGCGTAGCCGAACCGCATTTTCGAAAAACTATTGCCAGAGCTAACCAAGTGCTGCGCTTATATAGCCAACGATCAGGCTAACTAGCGTGTTATGTATACAAATAAAGCTCTTGAGGCCTGCCCACAATTTGCACTGCTAAAGATGCACTCCAGGCAGCTGCTGATAAGCGACTATCAGCTCGAGCTCTCATAGAACCCAATGTATAATGCTTTATTGTATAGTATATATACAGAATATATTTCGAGTGTTATAATGCCACTGAGAGGCGGTCAAATGATACTTAATGACACTTGTGAAATGCTCGTAATTCGAATTGTTCAATTATTTCAGTTCTCTATGAAATTGAAGTTCTATACAATATATACATCAATCAGTGTGGTTAAGTGCTTCAGCATTATCTGTTGCACGGAAGAACCTACATATCTTATCACTGTATGACTAATATGCTTATATATACAATCTATATCTTACCGATAAAGGACATTCCACTATACATTCAATAAGTACAGATAAGCATGCCCCTGTTACGCGTAAACGGGGGTTTAATACCCTTTTTGGTTGTCTGTGTGCGACCTTGTGTTAAGGTCATCTGATATCAGGTTGCTAAGGAGGTCCACACTGCTCAGCCATTAGATGATTCCAAAAATATTTAATAGCTGATCTTCAGCCCCCTGCCTGAATTCTTTATGAACCATATAAAAACATTTCTTTCTTAAAATTTATCTAATTGGAATATATTTCATTGATTTTGTGTTAAGCTTAAAACTAGAATAATACATTTTCGAAAATCAATTTCAAGAAAACTAAATAATTTAAGTGCGTATAATAAATAAATCGCAGGAGTTGAATGTTAAAATGCTGCTCTAGATTTGTCACACTCGTTCACACAGTGAGAAGAGTATCTTTGCCTCGGGCTGCATGCCTTGAAACCGTAGAAAGAATCCTTCTGAAAATTCCGAAGCAAGAACATGATGCCAGATTGCTAATTTCAACAGGCTAGTTTTTATTGGACTGTGAACGAGCATTGTGCAGTCGGCTACATTCGACTGCATCGAACTGTATGTGAGTTGTAACTAGATGTAAATGCACTTAGGACTAATGAATTAAGATAACAGGACTTGGGCTACTTGGGCACTAGCTGGGCGCGCTCTTCCTCATTCTCATTTTTTCCATCTTCAAGCGACTCACTGGGCAGCTGCTTCGGCTGCAGTTCATCATGATATTCGAGCACAACACTTTGATGATGACGGCGTGCACTGAAGAGCTCCTCCTCCTCCTCCTCCTCGTCCTCGTCGCTATCGTCGGCGATCAGAGCGACGCGCGTGTAGATCTCCGACTTGGCCTCTCCCCGTTGGTAGAGCACTCCCCCAGCCACACCCACGCCCACCAATGATATAATAACAGCGATCACAAGCAACGCAGTGGTCCAGCTCATGTACTGCACCTTGCCATCGGTTGCCAGTTGCCCGCTAGTCGGATTGGAGATATCCACCACGGTGCTGCGCACAACGTAGGCGTAGCAATAGGTTTCATTGGTCTGAGGCAGTTTGCGCAGCTGGCTGCCCGGATTGCAGGTGCTGCACTGAGAGACGCTGGGGCCGTAGCAGCGCAGGCAGCTCTTGTCGCAGATGGAACAGATGCGACTGTGACGCGCCGTCAACAGCACGGTGCTGCTGCTGGACTCGCTGTCACGACGTCGACGTTCTGCCGCCTGCATCGGATCGTCCAGATCGCTGAAACTATGGCCAGTGCTGTGCGATTCGTTATCGGGATCTGGTGCAGCAGTAGCAGATGTGGCATCCAGTTCGTTCAGCATTACGTCCATATCTAGCTCATCTGCATTAGTCTGGGGGTAGGTGTGCTGAGGGCACTCGTCATAACAGAGGTCCTGATAGAAGTAACTGGGCTCCTGGCAGTCTGTGAAGAGCAGTTAATGAAGAGAATTAGTTCACAAGTGAACACATGACAAAAGAACTAGTAAGAAGGTGGTTACAACTAACCAATGTTGGTAAACCATTTACCTCCGAAACAGTGTTGATAAATGGTGCAAAGAAATTGGAAAATAGTAATGTTTAGTTAGTAGAGCAGTAGAAGAGTTGAAATCAAAACGTAAAAGAGTCTTGTGTACAAAACATAAGCAGCAAAAGAATTACATTTGGAATTATTTACTTTTATAATTGTTTATTTATTCACTTTTTTTATTTTTTTCTTTTTTGCATTAGTTGAGTCTCAGCTGAAACTTTTCCATTAACAACAAATGTTTAAAAGCAAGCGCAGTAGTCCAAAAAACATGCTCAAAATAAAAGTGGAAAGTCAGTTGTACATAGGTGGGATGTGCGTGTGTGCCGTACCGAAACCAGTGTTGGAAAGTAAACAAGCCATAACGATGAACAATGTGAGAATGCATTAAACAACTAGGTTAAATTATAGAATTTACGAGATTAACGAGTAGGAATACCAAATTACAGTGTTAATAATCACACAGCAGCACAGTACGCCAAGTACATGGGTTAAAAATATCAACAAATTACACAACACTAAAGAGTATTTAGAAAGCTTCTAACACTCAATGATTTTTTTTTAATTTTTTAAATTTTTTTTGTTTTGTATTTTTGCCAAACTCACCTTGCTTTTGAGCTATACAAGAAGGGGACGAAGTGTTCAATTTTGTAACTTTCTAAAATGTTTTTGGACCACATTTTTTTGTTCTTGCTGCGCAGTGAGTAAAACTTTGTTGTTGCAAAAAAAGTTTCACAATTTCGCTTTGCGTATATGAAATATTTGATTACGTTTTCAATGCATTTATTTATTACTCAGATAGTTATATTGGTATATATCTATATATATATATATACGATATATATATATACACAAAACATACATAAAAAGTGTTGATTCGAAATAGCGGCCATCAAATCTCATTTACAATAATATTTCAGTTTTCCTTATATTCATTAATTCTGCTTATTTCGTTTTATTTTTTACATTTAAAAATTGTAGTTTTCGCACAACTTTAGTATTTTGCTCCGAAAATGCAGCTGTTATTTAAATTTAGTTTTTAGTTTTAAATTTGTGTTTTAAATTTAATGTTTAATAGCTACCCCAGGCCCTAGTACCAATTTTTTTTTAATTTAGATCTATTTTGCTCATTCTCTTCATTTGTATATTATTTTTTTAGTATGCGCTTAAATATTAATTTGGCTTTTATTTTTAGGCTTCCTTTTGTCCTGGAAAATATTTAAGCATAAGTACCGCAGCCAGCACTGAGTTATGTTAATTAAATAAAATTCATAAGTGGAGAACGAATTTGGAAAATTTTATGAACAAGATTTTTGGAAAATTATGGTAAGTTTTCAGTTTTATTTATATATATATATATATATATATATTTAATAATTGTTAGTCTTATGCTTTAGTTATATATTTGCTTTTATTTCTGCTGCTAGTTATGGTATATGCTTGAAGATTTTCAGTTTGTTGCAATTAGACATATATAAAACGGCTAAGTTATTGTTTATAATTATTGTTGATTCCGTATATCATTTTTGTTTTCATGAGTTTGCTAAGTACAACAACAACTAAATTAATCGGAAGAATTTAAACAAAAGCTAATGTTTATATAGTATATTTATTATACAATTTATTTATTGTGCATTTACGATATGATTATTCATTTCAACAGCAGGCAACAAATATCTATAGACTGAAAACACAAACAAATTTTATCAAATGATATGCGATATATGTGTATATATTGGAGTAATTCAACTGAAGGAAAGTTGTTTGTGCGTTGTATTTGTTGTTGCTTATTGCATGAGATAGATAGATAGAGAGAGACAGAGAGAGAGAGAATTGGAAATAATTATTGCACTCGCGTTTCGTTTTGATTTAGTTTCGATATTTTTTTGTTATATATTTTCCATTAGAGACGAGCACGAAAGCAAAACGTGTTTTGTCGTGTCACGATAACACTCGTCAACATAAAGATGAACAACAAATATCATAACAGAGATATGTGTGTGAGTGTTGTAAAACGATTCGATTTGCTCTGATATGGAAATCAATTAAATTTTAGTTTTACATCTGACTTTCATTTATTTCATATTGCAGCGCACAAAATTACTGACTAGAAGTTTCTTGCTTATTACTTCTGGCATTTCTTCAACTTGTTTCATGCGCTTCTTATTTGTTTTATATATCTTTAATTAGTTCCTATGTTCACTAGAAAATTAGCTAATTTTTGTTTTGCTTTTTCCATTCTTTATTTTATTTTTCTTTTCCTTTTCGTATTGCAACTTTGTTAAAAACTGCAGGAACTTTTTCTATATATATATATATATTAATTGTCAAGTTTATGTTTATATATTTTTTTATATTAATTTTAATTATTTATTCTTGGTTTCTTGCCTACTTTAATACAATACGTATTCGTACCCTACACCCTAGAATTTCGTTTATTTTACTTTTTATTTTTAATCGATATTTCTTATTGGTTTTGTTTTAAGTTACAGTTTTAATACAAAAATTTGTTTACTCTGCTTTGGCGCCTTAACACTAAAGTTTTATGCAATTTACTTTTTTGTTTTAAAGGAATTTCAAAATTTTGCTCGTTAAGATTTACGTTTAAGATTTAGAAACAGTCTTTTACTATGAACTATAAACTGTTGAACATTTATTGTTTTGTTTTCTTTTGTTTTGTCTCGTTTTGCACGGCACTCGGAAATAATTAGCAAAATCAAAATCATTGTAGAAGAAGATTGTGGCAGTCAGTGCTGCTCAAACTGTGGCTATTTGGCTGGCCTGGCAATATCTGAAATGCATATATACGTAAAGACACACATGTACAGTGCACACGCACAACAAAGGGTTTGAGAGCCACTGTCTCAGGAAGTCTGCTCAGTCGGCATGAGCATTTGAAACTGTCGCGCCAGACCAACGCATTCAAAACTGTCGTGGCCAAGGCGCAATGCATGCAAAACTATGCGTAACATGACTTTGGCACAGGGTACTTAAAAACCCTCACTTTAAATGCACAAAACAACAAAAAATTATATAAAAATATTTATACAAAATAAAAAATATGAAAAAATAAAACGAAAACAATGAACAAATTTAACTAAACGCTTATAAAAATAATTAAAAATTAGGCTTTAACTACAAATTGTGTTTGTGCGCGTCGAAATTGAAGGAACAACCTTTTCATTTGTTGTGGTTGTTGTTGCTGTTATTGTTGGTGTTGTTTTGCCACGCCTACATTTATGTGAATAGGTGTACGTATAACTAGGCCTTACAGCTAAATTTAACTACAAAAAGTTTAAGTATATTTATTTTTTGGACTTGCAGTGTTTTTTGTTATCGTTTTTATATTTGTTTTCTACGCTTATTTATCATGTTTGTTTTCGTTGCTTACTTTACTATTGTTCAATTGATTTTCGTCAGCTTAGACAATGCTTAAGTCAAGCACACAAAATGCTTCTGTTTATGTTTGTTTTTTTTTTTTTTGTGAACAAAACTTTGAACTTGGAATTGAAGTTCACATTTGTTTTTACAGTTGTTGTTGTTGGGTATGTAAATAGTTTTTTCTTTAGTTGTTGTTGAATTATCTAATGTTTTTGTTGCTGTTGCCATTGTTGTTGTTGTCGTTGTTGTTGGCAATGGCTTGTTTAAAGTTTAGATAGAAGACTTGTGTTATGAGTAGAAAGATGAAAGACAAACCTAAACATTTCTGGTCGCTCCACTTGAGGCATGCAGCTGCATTGCTGCGATCCTGTGACATGCCCACTTCGCCCACCTGCAAGAACAAGAAGCAAAGCAAACAGAAATTGATTAATATTCGATTAAGGCAAAGATTTGTAAATCATGTGCAACGTGGCGTATGCGCAATAAAATACCAAATTCTTTGACAGTCTGTGTCTGATTGTTGGAAGATCAAAGACAGTTGTGGAATAGCATCGTAACATTAGAGCAACTAAATTTTATAATTTTTCGAAAATTATATTTTTTTTTTTTTCAGAAAATATGTTTATTTATCAAAAGAATCTCTTTAGCTCTCGAGAGATTCTTCTTAATGACAAAATATATTATTTCTAAGTTATAATAATAAATGAATATTATTATGCAATTAGTATTTATCTAACACTTTAAAGGGCTCTATACAGTATTCAATGTATATTCTCTGTTAAGCTTTAAAGACTTTGGCAGTTAAATGTTTTAGTTAAAAGCTATTTTTTATGCCCTGTGTCTGATTGGGTGGATGGCCAGTGGTGGGCCTGTCTGCTTTTCGCTGTGGTTCATTGCATGTTGCCGCCATGTCTGGCATTTCAGTTCCAAGTACTTAAGTATGTATGGAAAATGAACCCAGAGTGTGTGTGTGTGTGAGTGTGTGTGTGTGAGTGTGTGTGTGCTTATTTATTGCTGCCCTAACCAAAAAATGCTTGTCTAAATACGGCTATCTCCGTCTGCCCTTAACTCTCCCTCTCTGTCCCTGACTCTGTCTGTTTCTTTGCGTCTAACAGAACTTTCACATGCGATGAGGTCGCGTGTTGCTAACAGCAAAAAAAAAAAATGTTAGTTATGCAAAAAGTTTGCTAGCAGCACCATAAAAAGTCAAAGGTCAGTGCACTTTTAGTTTATTACAGCATACCCATACACACACACTACACCACTACACACACGGCCTGCCAAAAGTATGGAAAGAAAAAAATAAATATATTTCTGCAGCTTTTAAGCAACAAAAGCTGCTAGAAGGTTAAAGAACTGTCCGTTTCAGGCAGAACAACGCTTTGTGTGCCTATGCCAAGTGCACTTCAACGGCGCGCTACGACGTAGCGACAGTTGCAGCTGCACTGCCTCTCAAACTGTGCATGCAAAACGAATTCGAGTGCATTTAATGCTGCTGCTCCAGTGCGGCCAACAATGGCAGGAAAAGGCAAAAATCGCGTAGCCGCCCGTTGGTACGAGCAAGATCTTGGCACTTTGCCCATTGGCTAGGCCAAGATGCAGGCAGCGGGTCTGTGTGTATGTATGTGTGTGTGTAGTGTGCCGCGTGCCAAAAAAATTGAATTCAGCTTGCCAGCGAAGGAAGCAGAAACTAAAATCGAGCATTTTCGTATGCTAAATAGTGGAAAATTTATGAGCAGCTTGTGCATTAAAGCTGCGCAAATTGTTAGTGCAGAAGAAAGACTCAAAGGAAAATTTGAAAAGGAAGCGGCAAAAGGAAAAGCCAAAAATCATGCCAAACAGTAACTCAAAATGTTAATCTACCTACACGGAGCGAACAGCTTGCAAAGCGTTGCCAAAAAGTGAAGCCTTAGAGCCTCTAAGGCCTAGCAGCCTGACTAGTTAAAGGCCCTATATATAGATCATATATATACCAGACACATATATATATATATATGATATATCGTTTGCATCGTCTGTTATTGCATAACTCAAGCCAGCCACATGCAAGCAGCCGAAATTGTGCCGCTATCTTGACGTCGGCCACGGACACTCCGCATGTCTTCTTCCTCAGCTTCAGCTTCGGCTTCGGCTGCGGCTGCGGCTTCGATCTCAGGCAAGCCACTTGCTAAGCACTGCAAATCCAAGAAAAAACCAAAAGAAAAGAAAAAGCAAAAGCAAACCACAAAAATATCTCACATTAAGCGTTGTTTCATTTAATATTAAATGATTTTACTTGTGTTTAAAAAGAGCTCGTGTTAGAAAGCGTACGAAGCATGTTCTTTTCAGCTAAGCTTCTCACTGCGCTTCTTGCTGTGACTTATCTTGCATTTCATTTGCAGACGTCTCTAGAGTTTTCACTTGTTTACATAGCAAATTGTGTTTAACTTCGACTAAAGGTCGCCGAATATCCGAATCGCAGACAATTTGAAGTCTTCCAAATCTAAAGAAGAATAACTTCCAGCTCTTGAGTTCATATTGAGCTCCTCATTGAGCTACTCTTTAATCGCCTTCCTATGTTTTTGTCGAATTCCATTTCGCTCTCGGTGCTCCGTTCACTATGTTCTCTCTACAGCCCTGTCTCTTACTCTTGCTCTCTTGCTGGTGCTACTTATTAAGTCTCTTAGTTTTTTTTACCACCCTGGACTTGAAGAGTTTAATACTTTGCAAGCTGGCTGCTAAAGCAAAAATGTGACACCGACTCTGAGTGAAGTGTAAGTACGAGTTTAATGGGGCTTTGCTTGTACTTGGGTCAGATTATTGCTTGTGTTATTTAAATGGAATTGTGCTCACCTGTTGCATATTGCGCCATTGTCCGCTGGCATCGTGCTCGATGTCATTGTGCGCCATATCGTTGCCATACAAATGGAATTGGCTCTGCTGGCTCTGGTGGGGCTGGTCGTCCGGCTGGGCGGGCACCTCGGTGCCATAGAATATCAAGTCCCATTGTGTGATTTGCGCTGTAAGGCAACAAAATGTTATTAGAAAAGACTGCGAATTCAAAATCAACATGAAAATGAAAATGAAAACCGAAAAGCCAAACAAACGAAAAATCTGACCATATGATTTATGCAATGGAGAACGGGCGTGGACAGGGCCAATAAATCTGTCAAAGTATAAAACAAATGATGTGACTAAAGCTTTTCGAGCTGAGGCCAAATGATAAATGTGCTGCATATATTTTTGGCTGCTGACAGCCAACAATAATAGCAGCACTTGCACTTTGCACTTTGCACTTTTCAGTTAACATGCTTACAGCTTGCAGTTTGCACTTTCCAGTTTACAGTTTGATTGATGAAAGGCGGTCAGTGCCTGTCAAGCTGTGCACTAAGAAAATCATAACGAAACCGAAGAGCTATTCTAGTCAGCCACTTACACCACTTCTACTTAAACTTCAGATGCAATTATAAATAATAATAATGGCCAATAAATCCTTTGGCATCTATTCAGATCTATAGATCTAATGAATGTCAATTGCGATAGCTAAAGAGCCAGAGTTGAAAAAGGTAACATAAGATTTCTCTCTCCCTCCCTCTCTGTCTCTCTTTCATGTATACATCAAGTGCATCGTTAGTTCAGATTGGGCCAAGTATTGTGTAAACAAATAAAGAAGAAACGAAACTAAGCAAAATCAGCTTCTGATTAAGCTGATTAAGTGCATTTATCTGTCTACCATTTGCTGAGCTGCTCTTGCGATAGCTGCTCGGCGCTAGCTGCAAGGTGGCCTCCTCTGAGTCATCGTCATCGTCCGCCTCCGAATCAACATTGGCATTCACATTATCATCGTTGTCAGTCTGGGGCGCTAGCACACCGGCGGCGGCCATCAGCAGTTGCTGTTTTTTGAGTATGCGCTGATCGGGCAAAAAACTGCTGCCGCCCGCTGGCAGCATCGGCTGTGATGGAGGCGGCGGTGCGGATGGCGACTTCTTTGTATTGCCCGGTTTGCTGCTGCTGCTGCTGCTGCTGCTGCCAGCATTGCCCATTGTGGGCCGGAACAGGTCCACTTCAAATTGTTTGCCCTGTTTGCGCGGCGTCTGCTGCTGCTGTTGTTGTTGCGTGCCAGGCCTGGCTTTGGGCTGGTTGCTGGTTACGTAAGGCTCCAGCTCGGGAAATATAGCCTGAATCTTTTCATAGTGCTCGAATAGTTTTGGTATGCGCGAGTCCTGGCTGTTGTCCTTCACCTGTTTGGCTGCCTTGCCAGGTAGGCGTGGTCCAGTCGAGCCGTTGCCGCGATTGCTGCTGTTATTGTTGCTGTTGTTGTTCGAGTTGCTGTTGATAATTTCGCCTATGACTTTGCGCGTTTTTTCATCGTAAAGCTTTTCGCTGGAGCTAGCTTTGGGGCGTTGCGTTTGCAGACCATTTGCCTGGCCCTTTGACTTGCCTCCACCTCCGCCTCCGCCGCCTCCGCTGTGCTGCTGTGATATGCGATAATATTTGTTCTTGTTGCTACCAGTTCCAGTGCTGCTGCTGTTGCTGTTGCTATTGCTGCTCTGTATATTTTGTTCCTTTTTGTTGTTGGCCTTGCCATTGCCTGCCTTATTATTCTTACCGGCCTTGTTGTTGCCTTTGTTGTTGCCCTTATTGTTGTTGTTGTTGTTGCTGTTGGTTTTGCCCAGCAGGACGCCATATGTGGCAGAGATTTGCTGATAGCCTTGCTTGGGTGGCGGCACCGGCGGCAGCAACAGCAACGGATTGTTGGTCACTAAATTGGATTTATTGGATGGTATTTTGCCCAACGGCAGCTTGGCGCCACCTGCCGGCGTCAGGGCGAAATTGTTTGGCGATATGAGAGGATATTGCGGCGAATAGACCTGGTGCAGGTTGCTGCTGGTGCTGCCCTGTCCGCCACTCGAATTGGGCGTGGTTGCCTGTTCGTCGCCGCTGCCGACACGCGGTACCGAAATCGGATCCCTCGGATCGATGGTCAGCGTGGTTCCATAGAAGATCAGCGACCACTCGCGCAACAGGGCGTGGCCTGTTTAGCGATTGGTATTTTGTGGTATGTGGCATGGATGTTTTATTAGCAGTGGATGAGTTAATGAGCGTTAAGTCGTGTGTGGTTCCACAGAAAGCGCAGCATGTAAAATTGGTTCGTTTTTGTTGGAGATTACCAGTGAACAACTCTTCATATATCTAAATGTATATATAGTCGCGGAAACTTACCCATATAGCGTCCCTCGTTATGTATCTCCAGCTGCCAGTTGCCATGCGGCGACTCGCCCCACGTGTGCACCGACATGAAGGGCCATTGGTTGAACCCAGAACGCGAATTATCGTGAATGCTGTAGGGGAATGCGTGATAGAGTCGTTATTTAATAAGAGTCGTAGCTGCATCAAGAACCTTTCTTTTCGTGACCCCCGCTTAAGTCTCACTAGAACCAGTCAATAGATCCTAACCATGTTTACTAGCCATTTATGTGGGCTCCACCCAAGCTTTGATCCCACCTAATTCCCTTCGACTTACCGCGATGTCAGCAGCGTAACCCTCGTATTTGCTGGGGACTTCAGGTATAGCTGAATGTCGCCTCGTCGCTGCGAGGTTAAGGTGATCTTGGCCTGGACATGCTCCAGGTAGTTGACCGAGAGGCAGTGGTTGACGGACAGTTGCAGTGTGATGTGCTTGCGGGGCGGAATGGCTCTGCACAAGTGAAGCGCATTAAATTTGAGAAAATATGTGCTTTAGTCCAACAACTTACTTGTCCACGTGTGGAGCATTGATCTCGCAGCGCTGTTGCTCGGGCACCGTTTTCCAGCTGCGTGCGACGCGTACCATATCGGACGCATCCATGAGACCATAGCCAAAGGAGTGGCTCACACGTCGGCCAACACCGTTGATCGTCCAACTGGAATCCTTGAGATTCGCTGGCTTTGCGGTGCGCACCACAATGTGCTGCAGGTCGCGCCAGGTCAGATTCTGATTCGACTGCAGCACGAGGGCTGCAATGCCCGCGGCGAGCGGTGCCGAGGCCGAGGTGCCCGTATGCGATGCGGTGCATGAATGATGCAAATCTGTGGTGACCACCTGCTTCTCGCTCTGCCCGCCGCTGCTGTAGGTGGTGGCCAGCGTGGAGCTGCATTTCTCCGAATACCATGGCACGTTGCCCTCCTCGGTGGCGCTCGATATGGACAGCGTCCATATGGAGTTCGTATAGCCATCGCAATTGCAATTGTCCATCTCCCTGCCTCCATTGCCAGATGCCCAAATAAAGATGCTGCCCTTGCCGCCACGCCCCTTCGTTGTGCCCTCAATGAAGGCGCGTGAGGCCAGCTCGCCGGGTCCGTCCACAGTCTTGCCATCGTCGTCGGGCCCCCACGAGGCGCTATAGATGTCTATGTGCTGAGGATTGAGGGAGAGCGAGCGCGCCTCCACAGCATCAGTCACATCACCATCCAGCATCCGCACACCGCCCACACTTGCCCCATAGGCAATGCCCACCGCACAGAAGGAGTTGTTTGCTGTGGCAGCCACCTCGCCGGCACAGCGAGTACCATGGCGATTCGAGTCGGTCATGTCGTAGTGCGGCATGGGATCATCATCGTGGCTATTCACATCGTACGAGGCCTTGGGGTCCTATCGAAGGGAATACACATATTAGAGAAAATCTGGCCATGTCTAGATGCTTGCTAGTCTCTATTACGTAGTTTTGCTCAATGTCCGGATGATCGGACTCGAGTCCATCGTCTAATATGGTCACCACGACGCCTTTGCCAGTTATGCCCTCCCTCCAAGCGGGTATCACATTCATGTCCAGGCCACTGCCGCGATTCTATGGAACATATAGCTTAGTATGAGCTCTAAGCTCCGATTTCATCCACTTACCAGATACCACATCTGTGGCCACTTCGGATCATCGAAGGAGACTGCATCCACCAGCGACATGGCCCGGGATGAGGTACGCGACGGTCGCATTCGTATAAAATCGCGCTTTGAACGCGACTTGGCCCGCTGCTGTTTGGCCCAATGGACGCGCTCGTCCAAGTCGAGGCGGGTCTGATGATGTGCGGCGGGCGTCAGCGAACGCTTCGACACCTTGTGATGCGCGAAATGATAATGATCCTCAAAGATCTGTTAGGAAAAGTATAAATCGTAAGTGTTTTATAAGCATTACAAGTGAAAGGCTTAGACAATCGATAACATCAATATCGATTGTTTCAATACAAAAAATACATTCAACTTCAGCTAAAAACAAGCAAAGTTTTCTAATTGTCAGTTACCGAACACAATTCTGCTCAGCTTAAGAGATATCGGAATCGATCTGAATAGATCTCTAAGGAGTCTAGATTCAAACTGTTAGGCACGCATCATCAGTTTCTCTGTGTCGGGGCTCATTTTACAAGCAGTTGCCTTTGCAAAAAGTCTCAGTTAGTAAAACTTTTAGATTTGATATATTGTTTCTTACCGTTTTTATATTTAAAAAATATTCACAAACTATTTTTAACCCCATTGGACTGGAGAATGGCGCCGCGAATGGATAAAATTCGCGAGATTGCTGAAAAGCTATTCACGCCCTCGGAAATAAGTCGTTTCAATGCCTTTCGAATTGAGTTCTCTAAGAAATACTTATCCCCGAGTGCGTATAGCCTAAAATGGGAATTTAAGCGTCCCACATGGTCAGTGAAGCTGCCCAAGTGGGCCCAATTGCGTTACTTTACATCGGAGCGTGAGTCAAACCTCGTTTGCTGGGAATTTCATTTACTGGGGGCTGCTTCAATTCACAGATTCTAGCGAGGAGTGCTGTCATGAGCAGCCGCCGTGTGATTACGATTGGGACTTGTACCATCCGCGGGGTCCGCCATATGAGCCGCGCGACACTCACTATTGGTATCCGGATCCGGAGTATATCAGGAAAATCGAGAACCGAGTCTGTTATCCCGTAGGTACTGAGTGGAAGAGACGCCCAGATCCGAAGGCTAAGCTACCGCCGCCCATGAATCGGACATTCCGTTCCAAGTTCATCAACTTTGGACCTGCACATCCGGCGGCCCATGGCGTGCTCCGCATGATCCTGGAGCTGGACAATGAAACGGTGTTGTCCGCTGACCCACACATTGGCTTGCTGCACCGTGGCACAGAGAAGCTGATCGAGCACAAGACCTACACACAGGCCTTGCCCTATTTCGCTCGCCTCGACTATGTGTCCTGCATGGCCTGCGAGCAGGCGTATTCCCTGGCCGTGGAGAAGCTGCTGAACATTGAGGTCCCGCCCAGGGCCAAGTATATACGCACGATGTGCGCTGAGCTGATGCGTCTCACCAATCACACCATGGCCGTGGCCTCATCTGTGCTGGATTGCGGCGCCATCACGCCCCTCTTCTGGCTCTTCGAGGAACGCGAGAAGCTCTACGAGTTCTCGGAGCGTCTGTCGGGTGCTCGTCTGCATGCGGCGTATATTCGACCCGGTGGCGTGGCCATGGATATGCCCATTGGGTTCAGCCAGGATCTGTATCACTTTCTCGAAAGCTTCACCCATCGTCTCGATGAGGTGGAGGATGTTGTCACCGATAATCGCATTTGGCGCATGCGTAACATTGGCATCGGACGCATCTCAGCGCACGACGCACTGAACTATGGCTGCACGGGACCCGTGCTGCGTGCCACAGGCGTCAAGTGGGATCTACGCAAGCAGCAGCCCTACGATGCCTATGCCGCAATGAAGTTCGATGTGCCCATCGGGTCGCAGGGCGACTGCTACGATCGCTACCTCGTGCGCATGCGTGAGATGCGCGAGTCGTGCAGCATCATAATACAGTGCCTGGAGCAGATGCCGCCGGGCAACATTAAGGTTGATGATCGCAAGGTGGCGCCACCCCAGCGCCGAAAGATGAAGACGGGCATGGAGGATCTGATACATCATTTCAAGTTCTTTTCGCAGGGCTACAACGTTCCGCCCGGAGCAACGTACACGGCCATTGAGTCGCCCAAGGGCGAGTTTGGCGTCTATCTCGTCTCCGACGGCAGCTCTCGGCCCTATCGCTGCAAGATTCGCGCCGCGTCCTATACGCATCTGGCGCTGCTCAGCAAACTATCGCCATCGTATCTGTTGGCCGATATTGTGGCCATCATTGGCTCACTGGACATTGTCTTTGGTGAGATCGATCGTTAAATGTGCTTTGCTGTTCGATAAAGCGTAAAATAAAGTTCTTCGAACTAAAAGCGTGATCTTGTCAATCCTGCTTGCCTCTTGCCCTTGCCAGGGCTTACACTTTACAGAGATACTCTAAGCAACTACTGCATATGCTTGTCAAACTTAGCCAAGTGACTTTCAAACTGCTCTCAAGTTTACGCAGCACTGTGAACGTCCAGCTCAAATTATTTGATTGCAAAAATCTCAGCTTTTGATTGTTAAACTTTGTCCAACGTTCAGCTCCGACTTTAATTCTTAAACTCTCTCGAGCATGTGAACCTTTGCGTTTGACTGTCAAACTTTGTGAGCATGCGAGTGTCAAAGGAGATGCGTGTTGTTAAATTTGATGCGTGCTAGTGTCGCCGCCCCAAACTCTAGCTGACATTTAATTACACACACTTTAACAACAACAATAACATCAAGTGTGGCGGCGTCAATGCAAACAGCATAAACTAAAAATATAAACAACGATAAGACCTACAGCCAAATCCCATAATTACGGACTGTAATGGGAAAGTCGTTTACAAAATGTTTGGCCACAGTTTTATACAACTGTTCATACACACACACACACACACACATACACCCACACACAACACATTGTAATTGCATATTTTGTATTAAGTTAGTAAAACTCTGATTTATTCAGGCACGTCTCTGGGTCTCTGTGTCTCTTAAAGAGCCAGATGGGCTGCCTTCGTGTCTGGAATTTGTTCATAATTGCATTTTATTATATGAAATTCTTCAGTAAATTACAATTAAAGTGCATGCCAACGATTTTTCAATTACATTCAGTTATGCCTCAGGAATGTCTTTCTGAATGGCAATTTCGCCAAATGGCATTTTGTGGTCGAAACTTTTGTTTGTTCACTGGGCAAACACACACAAAGCATGTAAAGATACTATAAAATTAAGTTAGGCCAGTGAAAATTAAATACATCCAAAGTGTTAATTAAGTGTTCAAGTTTAAATTGGGAAGCTGCTGAAACAATGGCCCAGTATTCTGTAACGAATTTGTGTGCAAGGCAATACTCTACTCTGACAAACATTTATAAAGAATACGGCTTCAAGGCAAGGCAACATATAGAAACTTTTACATTTTATGGGCTGCAGTGCTATTACAGTGACAAGCAGTTGGCAACGCTGCCAAGCGTTCACTGTAGAGGACTGTGTTGACAGCATTGTAAAGTAAATTGCATATGAGTATGTGTGTGTGTGTGTGTGTGTGTAACATACGCTCTTCAGTGTTGCCCAAAACAGCAACATGCATAAAGCATTAGAGGAAAACAAAGAGAGAGACAGAGAGAGAGAAAACGAGAGACAGACAGAGAGAGAGTGACTGTGATCACACACACACACCCACACACACACCCACCCACACATACACCCACACACAGGCACACGCACACGCACACGCATCATTAAGCGCTTTACAAATATTGTCATTGACCGAAAGTCCGGGCTAGCTGCACGCAGCCAGGTGCAACAACGAGCTGCAACAACGAGCTGCAACAACAAGAAGCAATTGCAATGTTGCATAAAAGTATGCAACACAATTTATTTATACCCACAGCAGGATGTCGCCTTTCGATTTGCATCTGCGGAAGCAGCGGCTGGGCCTGAGCATATGTGCATGCTACGCATGTGTGCGTGTGCGTGTGCGTGTGTGTTTAGCTTTCAGTGTGTGTTTGTTGTGTGATAGTTGAGGACTTGAAAAACGGACGTCCGTGCTGCCAATGGTGTGCCTAGCAACAAAATGCCTAACCCACAGCCTCGCTGTGCCTGCCGTATGCCGGCTCATTTCATGTCCCCCTCGCGTCCTGCTGAGCACTAAAATTTTAATTGCAGCCACTCTCTGGGCGTACGTGTTGCCCCGCACTGCGAGCTCGTTTAGGTTGCTACAACTAGATCCACAGCAGCTCTGTCTCTTCCTCTGCCTCTTGCGACTGCCGAGTTTATCAAGTTTATTAATTTATGCAGCCCAGCAGCAGCTATAGCAGAGGTGGCCTGGCTGGAGTGTGGCAGGAAACGGCAGTCCGTCCGGATAGGATCTACATACTAGTTAGTTAAAGATACTCCCCGCACTGCCCGCATACATATGCAATTTTTATCCAACACTTTAATTGAGTTTGGTGTCAAAGTTAAGTTTATAGCTCAGCACTGAAAGCAGTTCGAGCGGGTCCTCTTTTTAGGGTACTCTGCCTCTGGACGAGCTTAGTTTTAATTGTTTTGTTGTGGTTTCAATTAAAATTGACTTAAAGCTTCAATCTGCTTCAGGCTGTCTGTCTGTCTGTCTGTCTGTCTCTCCCTCCCACTGCCTCCCACTCCCTAAGCCTCCGTCTCTTTCCATCAATGCTGCCATCAAATTTAAGTGCTAATGCGGCGCACGTTGATGGATTAATGGATATTCTGTGTGCTGTTCCTGTGTATGTGTGCCAGGCTATACACAAGCATTAACTTTTACAGGCCATTGGCTGCCCGTGCTCTTAAATATAAATAGAAGATTCGAATAGTTAAAGCTGCAACAAAGCAAACGTATAACCTAATCCAAGCTTAGCTTGGCTGAGAGCTCATTGAATAAGAGACGCATCAAATTTCATGTCATGGATATTCCTTGATTAAAATCATTTGCTCGAGCCGTAATTACTTTGAAGAAATGAGAGGCATATTGAACAACTATTAAATCAATTTAACTGTGCATAATTCGGTAAATCATATAATCTTGAAGAGCTTTTAGAACTTATGTGTTTACTGAATTGTAGGAATCATGGCAAGCCTCTATAAGCTGAGTCTTAAAATAATGTAGTCAGCATTAGTCTATTCACTTTACAAATTTGTTTCAAATTTTATAAATTGTCAGTGAGAATTCCGACTAAATCAAATAGAATTAGGCATATGAGTGCTGACCCTTACACAGTCAGCACTTGATAAGCTGGATTTAAGAGATGAAATACGCTTGAGTACGGGTATAAGAACTCTAGCTCAGACGAATAAAGATCATTACACAACTGAACGCCACTAATGTCAAGTGTATTCACATTGGCCCTTCCAGTCGGAGAATACAAGACTAAATAACATCATAGTCAACTGTACTCACAATCTCTCTAAACTCGATTCTCTGCATCTCCCTGCTTCACTTTTTAGTTTCTCAGCTTACCACTTTCTCTCTTGATATCTAACTCTCCTGTTTTCTCTCTCTCCCTCACACACTTTCTCACACTTTCTCTATAACTCCCTCTTTCTCTCCCTCTATCATTCTAACGTAAAACCAGCCAATTTTCTAGTGCATTTGTCAGAGACAACAAAGTACACAAGTACAAAAGCGATAAAGCTTCAACAGATTGCAACAACAATCAGAGAATAGATAGAGAGAGAGAGAGAAACAGAAAGAGCAATGAGAGAGAGAGAGAGACAGTGAGTTAGAGTAATATGTTAAGCTGTGAATAATGTGAAACGTGCAGTGCACGAGCGGGAATTGGAGCCAACGAGAAAAGCTTTTAAAATTGTCAACAATTTAATTAATCAACGTGGCGCGTAGAAAAAAGGTAGAATGAATTGAGGGTGGGGTGCGGTCATAAGAGGCGTGGCTGCCAGATTAGCCATTGGGCTGGCTGTGAATGCGGTTTTTGCAAATCGCTTGTCACGTCTGCCACGCTCAATTGCCGGCGCGAGTGGTTAATTTTTAAGCAGAACCTCCAACAGCCAGACAGACAGACAGACAGACAGCCAACCTGCTGTGCAATATAAATATGTCCAACATTTAATTAGCTGCTAATTAATTACGCTCCAAAGTCGACGATGAGCAGAAGCAGCGGTTTGTGGCGACGCGTGCATTCAGGCATTGGCATTCAATTAACTGGGCGAGATATTAGATAATCATGTGGAAGGAAGTTAATGCGTTGTGGCCATGTCGTTAATCAAGTATTACAATATGCGTATTATAATAGTTAGATAAGCAAATTGCTAAATGAAACTAGGCAAGTTGAGGACTTTGAGGCTGAGGCTGACATTCTTTAAAGCTAAGGAAAGTGTCGGGATGCTCGGCAACTAAGCTTTATTTAATCTTTCACAACAAGCTATTAAAGAAGACGTTGAACTCATGTTTTCAAATATGCCACATATTTGGCTTTCGGAAGGTAAATTTAAACCACATTACGTTCGCTGTGCCACAACAATTTTGAACATCATTACAAGGCTGCCAGTTGCAGTTGCAGTTGACATCTTACGCAGCTTGTGTGTGGTATTTCACAGCTTTTAACGCTTGGGGCACAAATATTACACTTTTTCTGAAATATTCGAGCGCCTAAACTGGCAAAGGTATTTACAGCTACGAGCGTATTGGCATAGGATAATACGAGCTTTCATAAGCTTTGGCTTGAATTGAAAAACAAATATGCGCAGGATTTCTTGTGATAGAAAGAGTTCGAAATTGATTTAAAGTTAGTAATCATTGATGCTCGAGAGTGGAAGATATATTAAAAGAAATGTAAGTTAACGTGGAGAAAAAAACATTTTTTGTTATACAGCAACAAAGTTTCTGATTCAGCTTTAAGTTAACTTTCATTCTTAGGCAGCAATGCCTAAGCCTCTCCCTGGGCTTGGAATCTGCTTTGCTTCACTCACATTAGCTGCCTTTGAGGCAGCTCAAATGTTACCATGGCCATTTTCATGCATACAAATATTGCATTTGTTGGGAATCATTTGCGGTTGTCGCCTGTTGCTTTTTATGCGAAAGCTTTGAAATGAAAATTGTTTGTTTTTTATTGCCCAATTGTTGGCGTTCGGCTTTTGTTAAAATATTTATGAAAAGTTGAGTCGATTTGTGCCAAACAATTGCTGGATTGGGTGCACTCAATGTACAGTTGTGCGGCCAATGTTGCCACAGAACACACACACGCAGAGAGAAAAGCTGAATCCAGGCAGGGCAGAGACCACAATGTACCACAACAACAACAACAGCAGAAAAAAGAGCAAAAGAAACTTTTGCCTGCATGTTTATGGCTTTTGCTC